TACATTCTCAAGATAAAGACCAGAATGCCTCCACTTACCCAATGTGACAGAGAAATGACTCTGTTATCTCGACCCAATTGTCAAGTTGTTCAATGCACACAGAGGAATCGAGGAGGGGCAGGTAAATTTCCGCGGATTTCCCCACGGTTGGAGGCCTTAGGCATCCACGGCGCTTCCAAACTTCGAAGTCATCTTCCCCGTACTTTGTACTTTGTTCATGCTTCATACTTCCAGGGTGACTTTCCAGTCCTAATCTGGTCCTTCTCCGTGGCTCTCGTATTCTGATATGCACCTTGGAATGGATATCTTGACACTGCACAGAGTACAGAGTACTCCGTAACTACGTCACTTACTCTGTATCACCTTTCCTCCACACCCGGGCACTGTGTGTGCCAGATAACTACCTTGTCCATTACTCCGTCCTCCTCCATGCTGACTGTAAAGACCCCATCCGAGGTTGTTCATCATTGTGTTCTGGATTACTCCATCCGTACCCATACTCCGTATCGCTGTCTCAAATCTAGTCAATGCTGCGAATCCTCGATACGAGATAGGGGTCACGGGGCTGAAGCGAAGAAATCCCACTGTTTCAAAGGCCATTAGCCTGCTAGTTTATAGTGCGATGCCAGGGGTTGATAAATGGACCTGATCCAGTTCTGCAGGAGCCACGGAACCAACATAGATCTCGAGTACGGAGTACGGGGGATCTTTAGTCTTTACGGAGGACTCCGTACCTTTAGTTAGAACTGAAGTAGGTACATAGTCTTACAAAGTGTTAGTTTTGAGGCTCTTGACTTTTGACAGTAAATACAAGACTAACAGTCACTACAGTCGTATTCGTAGTAAATAGGAGTTATACTTTGTTCAGACATCGGGAAAATCGGGCCCCCCTTAACCCACATCGATATTCTGCCCCTTTTATGTTTTTCCTCGACCTTACCTGGGATTCACTTCCTTGCCTGTCCTTATTCTTTCTCTCTTTTGCCTTCCGGCATTATTGGTAAATCCTCCCCTAATCCTCCAAATCTCCCCTCAATTCAGTCTTATTCGCCCCTTTTTTTTGCTTTTTTTTTTGATTTTTTGATTTTTTTTTTCTCGTCTTGTCCCCTTTTAGTTCCCACTTAGCCTCTTTCAGCTAATGACTGTTTGTCCCCAGTGTTGGATCTTTCTCTTCTCTTTCCCTCTGATGCTGGGAGACTCACATACATATGGGCATTCTCTAAGGCCAGGTTAGTCTCATTCCCCCCCTACACACATTCCAATTGACTGAACTTTTTCAGACACGTCTCCATTTGAGAGTTTCTACTTCTTTTTTGTCCCTTGTTCTTGATTTCTGTGGATCTCCTGAATGGTGATCTGATAATCCCTGTCCCTTATTTTTACTTTTTTACCTCTACCAAAGAGCCTTGTCTGGTTAGGGTGTGCCCCCGACACGACTAGGTCCTCTTTCAGGGTCAAGTAGATTTCCCTCGCCATGCAAACCTCGGATGTATCAAGCATCCCGAATAATTCGCGTTTGATTCACCCCAAATACGCGTTGAACGGCGATACTGGTTTCTCCCACGGAGCCTACAACAACAATCACCCCAACTCTGTTCAAGGATTCTCGGATCGAAACGCCCGTCGCGCCAATATTCCCAATATCAACACCGGCGCCGGCCAACCCTCCGATATGGCGTCCGGCTTCGATATGAACTATACCCCCCTACTCCCTTCCCAGCTGCTAGTAGGCAGTCCTTTCCAACCCGGAACCCCCTCGGCCTTTGCGTCCCCTCAGTTCCAGAACTTCGGCGGCTTCCCGCAGGCCAATGGCAATGGACACGCCCAGAACAACCAGAACCACATGCACAGCCCAACGCAAGGAATGCAGAACCACGGACTGTATGGGATGATGTCTCCCGATGGTATGGGTCCCTCGCAGATGATGGGCGCACCCCAGTCGCCCATCAACGGTCTTGGTGGTATGGGTAATGCGGCTCTGGGCAGCCCCCAAGCTTCGGTGGCCCCTGGCATGCTCTCCGGGACTAGTCGTACCGTGTATCTCGGAAACATCCCGGCTGAAACATCTGCCGAGGAGATTCTGAACCACGTTCGCAGTGGCCAGATCGAGTCGGTGCGCCTGCTCCCCGATAAGAACTGCGCATTCATCTCCTTTTTGGACAGTAGCTCTGCTACTCATTTCCACTCCGACGCCATTTTGAAGAAGCTGGCGATCAAGGGAAATGACATCAAGGTAGGCTGGGGCAAGCCTTCTCAGGTACCTACCTCCGTGGCGTTGGCGGTCCAGCAGTCTGGAGCGTCGCGCAATGTTTACCTCGGAAATTTGGCCGAGGAAACATCCGAGGACGATCTTCGCGAGGAGTTGGGCAAGTTTGGGTCCATCGATACTGTGAAGATCGTCAAGGAGAAGGCGATTGGGTTCGTCCATTTCTTGTCTATCAGCAACGCCATGAAGGCTGTCACTCAGCTTCCCCAGGAGCCGCAATGGCAGGCACCAAAGCGTGTCTTCTATGGGAAGGACCGATGTGCGTACGTCTCTAAGACACAGCAACAAAACGCTGCGCAATTCTTGGGAATTGCACCAGGGTATGCGCACGTGCTCAACACGGCTGACCGTGACTTGATCACAAACGCGCTTGCGCAACAGTCGGTCGCCGCGGCCGCTGTTGCGACAACCGCGGGCGGTGTCAACAACCTTGGAAACCGCACCATCTACCTTGGTAACATTCACCCTGAGACAACCATTGAAGAGATCTGTAATGTTGTTCGTGGAGGCTTGCTCCACCACATCCGATACATCCCCGACAAGCATATCTGCTTCGTGACTTTCATTGATCCTACCTCGGCTGCCTCATTCTACGCATTGAGCAACTTGCAGGGTCTGATGATCCACAACCGACGCCTCAAGATTGGTTGGGGCAAGCACTCTGGCCCTCTGCCGCCTGCTATTGCCTTGGCGGTCAGCGGCGGTGCGTCGCGTAATGTCTATATTGGAAACCTGGATGATGCCTGGACGGAGGAACGCCTTCGCCAGGACTTCTCGGAATACGGCGAGATTGAGCTGGTCAACACCTTGCGTGAGAAGAGCTGTGCTTTTGTCAACTTCACCAACATTGCCAATGCCATCAAGGCAATTGAAGGCATGCGCAACCGGGAAGACTACCGTCGCTTCAAGATCAACTTCGGCAAGGACCGCTGTGGAAACCCACCACGCCAGACCGGAAACGCTCAACAAAACGGCCAACAAGGCCGCAATGGCGCTGGATTGGAAGGTCCGCAATCCCCAGACCCCGTGATGAACGGCTTCCAGCCAAACCTCAACCAAAATGGCTCCCAGCCCAGCCCAACTCGCCCTGCCCTTTCTCCAGCTCCTGGATCTACCGGCTCTCAAAACGGCCAACAGCACCGCCACCCGCTACAAACCGTCTCTTCCCCATCGGGTGTGCTGAATGTCGGCTCCAGCAACCCGCTCACTATGTATTTGAACCAAATGTCTCACCAGGGTCAGGACCAAGAGAACCATCTCAGCGACCCCATGCTCGCAGGATTGCAGGCACAGCAAGCTCCGCAGCAGCAACTGTATAACGGCGCCAGCAATGGCGACCTCTCAAACGGTAGCATGGATCCTCCCATGCACCAACACAAAGCCTCCAACAACAGCTATTTGAGCGTGGCAAACGGCCCCAGCCACGCCCACCATGCAAGCACCAGCAGCCTCAGCATCCCCCGTGCCTCGCACTCGCGCGCTGTCAGCTTGCCCTCGTTCTCTCAGGAGCCCTTTGGTCCTGTCTCGGGGGCCCCTAGCCACCCGCGCGCTGGTGGTGCCCACCAGCCCCAGCAGAGCTTCTCCAGCTTCTCCGCCCTTGGTGGATTGAACCACTCTGGATTTGGATTGGCTATCCAAAATGAAAACTCGCTGCCCGGGTGGGCTGAAGAGGAGATCGGTGCCAAATAAACCATGCTCCGACAGATGCACCTCGACTCATTCTCGGCGAAACTAATATATTTTCCTTTCTTCTTTTTTGATTACACATAGTCCCTTCTTGATTGTCATGTCTTCCCCCATCATTTGATTCTGATTCATCTCTTGTATTGGTCATATTCTCTTTTTATTCACTTCTGACTCTTGCCATTCACTCTCGAATATTTTCTCTTCTTCTCTGCCTGTTTTGGATTTTCTTGCCCCCCTTTGCCCGAACATATTTCGTTCGCCAATGATCTTATTCCCCTATTAATCCTTTTCATGCCACTTTCCCCTTCTTTTACCACATTGTATTGCTATTTGGCTATGGGTCTCTTCCTTTTATCCTTTTATTTCTTCTTTATTTTGATCTAGGGGCCGTGGGCACACGGCTTTTTCCGCTGAATGATGCCACGGAGAGGATGAGTTGGATGACTCGTGGCGACCGAAGTCGCCTGCATCATATACCATACACTCGGGCAATGGTTGCCCTTCTTTCTCATGACCTTTTTGGTTGATGATACTTCCATATACCGTCAGGCCGGTTGCACGGGTGGTGTGGCCCAGTGAAGTACCCTACCTTGTTGTCTCATGATCCTGACTCACAGAGACGGTTGGGGCTGCAAATGTGTAATTAGTGGAAAGGTCCTGGGGAAAGAATGAAATGAGTCGATGAGAATAATATATTGTAAAGATGAAAGATATCAGTCGGTCTTACTTAAGTATCCCTAAGTATTCGTAGTTAGTATAAATACAGCCTAAGTGGTGTTCGAGTGATCGAATTATGGCCTTGGATATGGTCAAGCTATCCACTTGGTGTTCTCGCTTTATATTGTCTAGAAAACAGGACAACATTTTTCTATTGGTTTTACATTCTTTTGAAATTTCTAATCGTACAGAGCAGTGTCCTGCAGTATAGAATCTATATCACGTGACTGTCTATACCGCAAGGGACCCACATCAAATTGATGCTTCACCATCTTGTCCTCTTCCGCCTCCCCACAACACCCAAGCCATTGCAGGACTCTAGCATCACAAGATGGCGCTCCCACCCGAGCAAATCAACATCAAGCGTCGACGCGAGGAGGAACCCGTCGAGACACTATGTACGAATTGATCCCCTTGTTTTTCTCCCCACCTGGGCATGATGTAGACCCCTCCAAAAAAAAATTACATGCTTCAGACTATCTCTCCTTCCGCCGCACAGCAAACTAGATGAACTCGTCTTGCAGAACTAATTCATATTACAGTCATTCAATCCGCTGTGCATCAGACCAAGCGGCGCTTTACGGACTTTATCTTCCAGAGAGTCACACTAAAAGCCAGCCAGGTCGATGATGGAACAACAAGTCCACCAGCATCACCGCACCCAGCGGCGCAGCGGCTCCTTCGTAGTCCCCGCTCTGTCAGCAGTCTGCATGTGAAAAGACGAGCACCAGCGTCCTCTACAGGCGTACCCACAGTGCGAGCCACCTCACCAGGGGCTGAATTCCGCGAAGCGCAGCGGGTGGCAACAGCGCGCAAAGAAGCAGAAGAGAGGCATAGAAATGCAATTTATTCAGGCCCTTCACCATTCTCAGACCTTCCAGCTCTTCCCAAGCCTGACTCGAATGCATCTACTGCATCCAGACCGCGCAGCCCTGCTAGAGCATCATCGCCTAGCCGCGCACAGGCTCTGCGTCGGTTCCAGATCTCGCGCTCAAATCTTGCTTCCCTTCATAGTACCGGTGGTGGAGTCCAGAAGAGAAGAGCGGGCCCCGCGCCTGGCGTTGCTGTGCTGGTCGAGCAACTTCAGCGAAACCCCCATTCGCGCAAGGGCTCTATGGTCTCTGATATGATTGCTGAGGGGGAGACGCATTCCAGGGGTCTTTCTGCTTTGTCCAAGGAGCTCGTTGCAGACCCGGTGGCTTCATCGCCTACCAAGCCTCGCAAACGCCCTGTTGTCAATCAGGCAGAGAAACGGTGGCGTGAACAACGCAGGGGCACAATATCAACCGCGAAGCAGAATCTCTCTGATTCGCTGGAGAAATCTGCCAGTACACAGGATAAAAATTGGGATGAAGAACCTGAGCGTTTGGCACGGGAGTTCGAGCAGGTCGCGCTGGAGATAGAGCAAGATCAAGAGGAGGAGAATGGTATGGATGTTGATTCTCAGGCTGGTCGTAACCCTCCTGCGCCGGTGCCTCATCCTCAGCCCATCTTGAGCTCTGGTCCCAAGACACCTCTGAAGCACCAGCCACGTCTGCCAAAAGAGCCCCGAATCGCTCCCTCGCCTGCAGCTTCGCAGGTTACAAAGAGTGACGAGGCTGTGGAGGAAGATGATGAGGGTGACTATGTCTATGATGTGTACATCCGACGACCTTTGTCGGAAAGCGAGATGCTCAAAAATCCTTTGGCCGAATACGAATCCGAGCAGCAGCAAAAGAGTGTCACGAAGAGTCAACCGGGTGTTGGTGTCATTGTCATCACTGCTGAGGATGAGCAGTACTGGGAGGACTTCGTTGAGGACGATGAGGAGGAATGGGACAGTGAAGATGCTGACTCTAATGGTATGTAACACATGCCTTCTATCCTTTCATCTGCTCTTTCCCGTTCATTCTCTTCGATTTGGTTATGAACTGACTTTGTTTGGCGTGTTAGCTGAAAACAACCCTGCAAACGACTATCCCGACGAGGAGATTTCATCTGACGACGACGACGACGACGACGACGAGTTCGACTTTGATGATTCTGCGAGTGAGGATGGTGGAGATGGGTACATGTCGCGCTGGCGTGGGCCTGTAGACTCTGACGATGAGTACTGATGTGTATCATGAACAGCTGTCCTCACAAGCCAACGAGTAGCAACTGGCGTCAGCCCATGCTATCTACTTTACTGTGACTTTTACTCCGTACTTATCCCAAGATTTAGGCGCTCACCTGGCACTTGACTGCTTTGGTGCCTTTATCTCTCTTCCTGTTAGAGATATCCCACACAATGCCTCGCAATTTATTTTTCATGCTCCGGCCTGTTTACGCATACATATAACCAGCGCCAGCCTCAAAAGCCATGAAATTTACCTATCGTTGTTTTTGTCAGATTCAATTCCAAAGCTTCACACATGCACAGTTCCCAGTGTCCTGTTTTATTGAGGAATATTTTCAAGGCAGACATGATGAGCTGTGTCCCACTGCGCATATCCCAGCAAACGCCATGCCGCCTCTAGCTTTACATGGATGTTTGTTTGACGCATGTACAGCCTTGAAAACCAGACTAGTACACACCATCCCTGCCACGGTATCACTCCGATGTAGCACCCATTGAAGTATAGAACCAAATCGATACCCAACAAACAAGTCTGCTAACATCTCAAGTTGGAGAGTCCCCACTTCGCCGATCCTACAGTGACCAAAACCGACAGTGAAACAGGAAACCCCATGTTTTTCCGATACATATGTGGGCAGAAAAGCAGCCAGTAACATAAAAAGCCGCAACCAACAGCGCCAACTCACCGTGTCTCGACATCGTGTGATATGGGTTTCCCAGCGCTTCTCCTAAGCCCCTCCCACCTGGGCAAGCCCCTCACCACGAAACAGGACAGATCCCAAGCGGTAGGTCCGCTCAGCCCAGGATATTGGCGGGGGCAATGTTAAGAAGTGCATATGCTCAGGGAAGATATTCCTCCGATCTACCCCGAACCACGCTTTATACATCGCTGAGGTCGAAATAGGAAGGACGTTCACGGGTAGTGTCCACGCCCACGTGGTATCTGGCGTAATGCGGGGTAGCAGATGTCATTGCTGACGGGTAGAGTCGGTTTCTAGAGCATCAGGTGAGAATGAGATCTTGCATCTTACAATCAGATATGATTTTTGGACTTTATTGGGTGAGAGAATGATCTCACCACTTCGTCTGGGCAGTTCTTGGTCCCGGGACTGCCGCATTAAGGAACATCTCCAGGGCTTGCGCTCCAAGGTTTATTCGTACGTACAAGCACAGCCTCTTCAGAGGGTCACCAATTGGTCTTGCTGCATCCAGTAGTCACTTTTAAAACACCGCAGATCAATTGTTGAGTAGTCACACTCCAAACCTTGAAGCTCGGCAGTTGAGACCCTAGACTCCAACTTTAGAAACGTTTTGAACGCCTTACACAAAATGCCAAGACAAGGCTGCCACCTGCAGAAATGACACGGCTTACAACCTAAATCCTGTGAGGGAATTCGGGCACCCGAAAATTGGAGATTGAAGAATTTTCCAGCAGCTGAAGATCATGCTCCGTGTTCTCCGGTTCCACAGTAAAACGCAATCTACGACTTCAGGAGTACAATGTTGGACGCTATGGGCAATATACCTCAGGTAGTGTGCAATATATTTGAGGGTCCACCTCGGCTACTATCTAACTTCCATAGTTCTAAGTTCTGTAATATATAAATGACTCCATTCTCAGTGGGTGTTTCACATTTGTTCCCTGCAAGGCCTGCAATGTGAGGCTCTGCACCCGTACTGGATTTTTCAACCTGAAACGCCGTACAGTACGAGTCGCCCTTTCGTAGGGATCAAATGTTGCACCCCGTACTCGGCCCCCGAAGTAACGTTCTGACTCGTAAAACTCGAAAATAACAAAGGTGGCGTCACTCTTGCACAGCCAATTTTCCCTGGAACTCCATGTATGGAGTACGGAGAGGATGTTGCCAAACAGAGTCAAGATGTGCGAGGGTCCTGAAGTCCTTATTCTGACGAATCCACTATTTCTCGTATACCAACGAATAACCGGGACACTTAACCCAATCGCCGACGATTGTGGTCAGCTCATCTCAGATATCTCCGTTTTTCAAAGTTGATAGAGTTGATAGTCGATTCTTAGCAAGGTTCTGAGGATATTGCATGTCTTATTTTCTCTCTTTCTTTATCATGTGTTAGCCCCGTCAAACTATACGGAGCGAACCTGCCAAAGTCGGCGTGGCGTGCCATCATGCTTCAGGCGTCTGATGACTCTTTGCCCCAACCCAAACGTCGGAGAAATTTCGCGCGTTGTGAATGACTCGAAGCGACAGAGGATGGAGTACTCGTAATCTTGCTGAACTAGGCATAGTAGTCAATGTTAGACCGAAGACTACGCCCAAAATACGACCTCATCAAAATGCTACACACCATCCGTTGAAACTCGACGTTAGAAATCCAATCTTAAGCCACCGGCAATTAGAACACCGACATACCCAAAGTTGCCCATGGCAAAAGGTCCGTTCCCGAGGCTAAATATCCGAAGCTCTGGCTTCGGTGTGATGTCGGCAGCATTAGCCTTTTGCCATTTCGTCAATGCCCCGGGACTGATTGGCGTGAATGGAGAACGCACACGAGTCGACTACCGCATCGGTGTACTCACCGATAGTTGTTGAGATTGGCATGCATTGGACCCGTCCATTTCATTTGGGGTGTGAGTGCGAGGTGTGCATGCATCTTATGATCGCCGCGGTCGCTCATGACCAGAGGCCGACAATTCTGTCGGTCAATTCCTTTTTTATTCGGATGGACCAATCAGCGGTGCTTCTAACTGTTGGTTTTCCATAAATTTTTTTCTTTTTTTTTTTTCTCTCGGTACAACGAGAAAAAGCACCAAGGATTCCATGTTACATCCGCCCCCTTCATTCACCGAATGCCCAGGTGCCAGCCTTGCAGCGAGGTTCTCAACCGTAATTCGTACGCAGTTGATGTATAGATACATATCGGTGTTGTACTGCTTAACCTTCGATCGCCCGTGTAACAATCTCCTAGATCAGGCCGCCAGGGCTGATCAGAATCCACAGTGGAAATTTGATTCTGCAGCATCCAGAACTTTAGACTGTAGAGTTTATATCCACATGCAGGAATCTGAAGTCATGAATAATTGAAGAATAACATGCCTGAATCCGACAATGGTTTTGTTCTCCACATATGGAGACGCTAACTTCGTGCATATACGGGACCCCGTGCATGATATTTACGCCATCCTATAGAAACGCGCGTTGAGGTGGTTATGTTTCTCCGGCAGTTAGTGGGCCTTGATTTTAATTAAGGTCCGATGGATACAAGACGTACTGCACAGACCAGTCCAGTGCGAAGAAGATCTCATCCCGTGAAGAGTCAAGCTGAAGAGTTGCAGATCCAAATATTGATCCCCAAACGGGGCACTCCGTACGTACTTTCAATGTTGGGTGTGCTCCGTATACAACTTAGAAACGCCGGTAGTCCCACTTTACACCGTGCGACCATCATGTATTCGGCACGCCTAGTTTACATGTAAGCGAAGCTTTGTACAACCGTTAGAAGGTCCAAAAAAAAAAAACAAAAAACAAATTAAGCTAGCAGGGACGTAAAGAACAGGAAAAGATCGCCGAGCATACGAAAATAAGCACAACATTCCTTTCGGCAGGAAACGAATCGTCTAAGAGCCACGTGTTGTTAGTGCTTACCTCCTTGCTGAGCCCGTCTGCATGGCCCCCGGGGTGACTATGGCAAAGGATCACGATGAGTTCGTTGGAGGGAACAGCCTTTAACATGTCTCAAAAGGAACCCACACGAAAAAGCCGATATACGAGTAGAATACCCGTACGAAGGATACTCAATCAGGCGCTGTACTCGGCACTCCGTTCTCCGTACTCCGTACAAGGACTCCATCAGCCATGTCCCCATTTTTTTTTTAAGTGAATACGAGTCGTGAAGAAGATCCGTAAAAAGGCGTCCAATAGTACGAATTGGATTAGAAGGTTTCCGACGGACTAGAGAACTCCTGATGCCATGAGTGGTGATACTTTTCAACGCGAGTCAGAGTTCTTACACATTGGTCACTTCGTATAATTTTGATTATCAAAATGGCTTGGCTGATGCTATATTGAGCCGAGGGATTCCTTCAGGGCTTATATTCGTGCTTACGTCTGTAACCTGGGTTCGTGGCCTTGCCATTGTCCTCATGGGTACTAGTGTGTAAAATAACCCGCGATGTAATTTACGGTATGGCAGCTTTAAGACCTGGTATCCATTTGTCCTTTCGGCCGGGCATTCTTATTCGTTGCTTCGCTTATCATATCTACGCGGTTTGGGTGTCGATCGATTCCAGAATTTGGCGTCATCGAACTGATCAATTTTTACGTCGTTTTTTTAAGTTCTGCTGACATTCTTTATTGCAGGCATGGGAGCCTAATGCTGCCGAAAAGTCAGATCTCCTTCAGACAAAGGTGACAGCATGACTTACTTCACCCTAAGCTGCATGGGGCAAAAGGGCAGGGACACTAGCAGTAGATACTGTATATTGAGCCTCCTTGGCATGTCGTTGCCCCAATTTTGATTTTGAAATGCTTGCAGTCTGGGGCCATACGAGTAGCACTGGCACACATTACGAGTAGATGTAGTAAGGGGTTGCGCCTTGATCTTGGTATGACGAAGCTTTCTCATTGGCTCAACACCTGGGTTACTATATTCGGTAATTAGATTCATTAGGAGTATGGGTACGGTGTACTCCGTAGATACGGAGTTGTTGTACTTGTATTGGAGATGAACCATTGAGCCGAGATAGAAATGATTGGGGCCACTTTGCCCCCGTTTTTCTTTGGGGACAATTTTTTCTTTCTTGATCATAGGGAGTACTTGCACTCTTCTTTTTGCGCCAGACATAACCGTGGGGTCCAAAAGTTCATAAAGCGGAGGTGCAATGTGTGCCCTTTCACTAGACACTGCAGTAGTATCTCATACCCACGAAGTACAGTTCTGACTTAGTGGAGTGCGACACCAACGATGCATTATCTGTTTACAGTAAACGCAGAAACGTCCAACTGTGCACAACAGCTACAGGCGCCCCTAATCATGTCGTGTCTAGTGTAAATTATGCGTAATCTTTTAGGCGGCTGAAACATACAATCCCCGAAGGCTCCGAAGCAGAGTTTGTGTCAGAAGGAGAGACTCGGCTCCGAGGGGCGGAGCTCGGATCATGGCGCAGGGGCCACGAACCTGCCCTTGTTTGTGGCTGCCCTTGGAGGATCGGAATGCTTGGATGAGACACGCCTCTTCCGTGTTTCCAGACAAGATCGCAAGATGTAAAGCTGCGGCGCCTGGTTCTTTGCGGCTTTTGGGCGGATTTCCCCCCTACCTCCAACACTTGCGGAGTGACCGGGGTTCTCGGTGCGTTACTCCGTAGGTACATGCATACACCGTCAGGTGCTTGCCAATGTAGGACGCCCAATACTTCTGCGCAAGTTACCGGGATCGTCAGTGATTAAACACTCAGAGCTAATGCCAAACGATCGAGTCTCAGTATACTCGTAAGCACACTGTAAGGCGCAAATGATGTATAAGAATGTCATGCCATGCGTAGTACAAGATCTCATACAAGATCTGACAGCTCGGTGTAGTTCGGGGGATCTACTCCGATCCAAGGTTCGCCAGTTATTGCCTGAGCCTCAAAGACCGATCCATGGTTGAAGAAGTGAGGAATTTGGAATTCCGCGCGTAAATTATGAAATAGTGTACCAGTCAATTATTGAAGTATTGCCCGTGAAATCGGATTTACCGATGTTTGCACTTTTTGGTGGGGGCTGTCCCGCCCCTCTCTGGCTTTTCATTGCAAGTAACGGCCCTGCCCGCAAACTGTGGGCATCCTGATCAGTGCGTAATGTTGCGCAGTGACTGCGCGTCTCCCGTCCAGGGTCCAGCCCAATACAGGTTTGAGTGTGGGAACGAGTCAGTTCCAGACGGCAACATTCCGTTCCAGATTTGGGACATTGGATGACTTTCGTCCCAGTCTAGATCTTCGTCCGAGATGTTGGCCCCCAAAACCAAAGGTCCATACGAAGAGTACGAGTAGCTCATCTTCATAAGAACAGAGCTAGTGACGAACTAACTAAATACCGACATCTCCGATAATGTAAATGAACAGATTGTTTCTTTTTCCTCTTGCGTGCGTACGATAGGCGGCTATCGCTAACGCTTAGCAGGGCAGACTTGTACTAGCGTCCCCAGTGGCTGCCATAGAGCTTCAAGATATGGATTTGGAATTTAATGCATGATGTGACCACTGCGTTATGATACAAAGAAGTCGGGCGCGGAGAAAGAAAATCAAAAAGGAATAATTTTTGGGTCACCAAAAGGGCGATTTCGACACATCTCATCAGCGATCTGCGCGGCTCAGACAAAGAGTGGAAAACGGGATGGGGAAAAAGAAAGGAAAAGAAAAAGAATGTAAGCGATGGCCGCAATTGGCCCAGAAGAAACAAATTTTGAAATTAAGAACCAATCTAGCAACGTTTTCTCAAATTTAAAACTCAAATATCGTCACCTTTTGGTTGGCCGTTGGATTGATGCCAATATGCACGGCATGACTCGCGGAACGGGCAATTCAATAATGCCAAATGACCCGTTAGTCGGCAGCTTTTTTTTTCTTTTAATTCCTGGCGAGCGTCTGCTAGTTTGTAGAGCGGCATAAATCCCATACAGGGTAAGGCTCTTGAGAATTAAGTACTCGTAGTTACTTGTACTAGTTATTCTGCACTTCGTACTTTCATTTAGACGAGGTGCACTTGTATATCAATACACAGCGGTATCGAAGGCACGTGACCCAACCGAGCTGCGGCTACGCGACTGACGAAGGCCAGGGGGATTCTGATTGGACTGGGGGAAACAAAGAAACTTGAGCGGGGAGGGTAATGGGCTGGTTTACTAGTAGTTGATCCGATCTGCACGGAATCGGGGGCTTCAGGGACTAGGATGATGACCGGTGAGGAGAGGATTGCCAAGGGGTTTCGGAAGCAACGGGCCATACAGCGCGGGAAAATGACGCCCTAGTTGAACATGGGTTTGGCGCTTGCGCAAGTTCACTGCGCCGCACAAGATACGATTCCTGTGTTGGTCACTGCGCTTGTTGGGGGAGTTTGTTTTTTCTTTTTTTGTTTTTCTTTTTTTTTTTCTCGCTCTCAGTACAGAGTACTCCGTACTGCAATGTAAAGATCTTGCAACGAACATGGCCCGAAAATCTACATTGTTTGGTTTTCTCCTTCAAAGTACTCAAAACAGCATTGATGTTGATAGTTCATGCCCAATGTCAAGTTGATCCGACGCCAGATAAATTAACAGTGAAGAAAATCCGAGTAAAACCGTTGGCAGCTGCAGATGACCGACGATCTACCTGGTCAAGGCGCAGATCGAGGGAAAATGGCGCATAGGGGGGAATTTTTAATCACACGAGTAAACATGACTTTACACTGGATATGAAAAGTGGGTACCAACTCGGCTGTATCATGGAGATTTCAATATGCAAGTTGACTGCACACGATAATCCCCTCCTTCTGTGCACCGGCTGCTGCCGACTAACGCTAGAGCTTGTTATTGGATCCCCCGCGTAGACTGGAGAAAAGAAAAGGATGTCCATGGTTCGCTGACTCTCCGAGGTTACCATACTTGTATTTCATTCTGGCCAGGTGTTCGAAGTATCGAGCCGCGACCTGAGCTGTCTCGCGTCTCTTACCTCATAATGCGACCTGAGATGCAGAGATAAATGCGTTGGCATGCCCTCTCTGCATCTGAGGCCAAATTGAGCCTGCATTAGCTCGACGCGCTCATTCGTCCCGACGTCCCAGGGCCATGGCGTACGTCGTAACAGATGACTTTTGCGTCTACCAATAGACGCCGCGCGTTTGTGTTGGTTTTTTGGTTTTTGGTTTTTCCTTTTGATTTACTTTTCTTTTTTCCCTCGCCTGTATGTTGATTTCCTTCTCGTTCAAGTTGTCTCGCCCTGGAAATGAAAGGGGCAAAAAGAACAACCTAACATCTGACTGTGTCTAGGCGGTTTATCCACTTCACATGAAGAACGGGTAGCGTAGTGCAAAATGAAACATTCCATTCTAAAACAGAAAATGCACGCGAGGATTTTCTTCAATTGATTTCCTTCGCGTTATTGGCTCACATGCTTATGCTGCCGTCTCATTTGAGAGCCTATCGTCTAGCCGCTCATGCAGTGGCAGGGCTGCAGATGTCCTTTATAGGCATGAAGTAGGGCAACAAAAATCTTGGTGTTTTGATCGGTTGTACCCCGTAACTTGCTTGTAATCTAGGATTTGAAATCATTTCTCTTGAGAATTGAGGCGTCTGTATGCTACCAGGTCTCATGTGCTTATCTTCCTATATTCTTTGTTAGATCCTTGAAGGTGTCTACTCGTACTCTGAATTCTTTACGCCTCATACTCAGCAGAATTTGTCATAAACTTTGCCCGCGCTAAGAATCGAAAAAAGGTTAATGGTAAAAAAAAAAATGGTAATTTTCAATACCCCGTGGCCCCCATTTTTACTCGTAAATGTATGCTGTATGCGGAATACCTCCAGAAGGGATCGGCCGGATTGTGTCATCTCGAAGCTCCAAAATTTGCCGCGAATTGTACGAGTATAACAAAGAGATCGTCCCAAACCAAGTTCTACGTCTGCTTGACTCGGAGTAGACCGTTAAAGATCGCCACTTCATATATCAATTTAAACAGTGGCGAATATAAATTCTTGTTCTTAAAAGGAATTTTAATGAAAATAACCGAATTTAAAAAAAAAAAAAAAAAAAAAAATCTATAATAAAATAGCACGTTAAAAGTCCAAAACCATACGGGGATTTGTATGCTCTCCACCGGACGGAGAATCCTGCTTCACCGATATACCACTAAGAAAATAATAATAAAATATAATGTCTCTGGGGGTGGAACCTCTAAAAAAACCCCCCATCGGACTACCCCCCCCTGTTAGCCCCAAGGAGCCTTGTCACGTATCCGCGGTACACTACTATACAGGGGGCCAAAGGAGCACAACCAACCCGGCCCAGGCAAATCGGTCCAGTGCACCAACAGATTCACCTAGGAGCTATTTTTCGATTTATTTCCAATCCATTTTTCTCATTTAAGGCCGAGGGCTCCAGGTGATCTTCCTTTTCTTCTGGAGATTTTTAAAGATCTATAAACCTTGCCCGGTACCCTCTATACTTCTCTCACCTCCCTTACTTCCCATGTCCACCTTAGATCCATTGATCTGATATACTTCCTCTTCACCCCCACTCTTCTCTCAATCGACTCAAAGCGCTTAGGGAAAATATATCCAAACCCCAGATATCGCCGATCTACTATAAGTTGTTCAGAGACACATGCCATCCAGAATGGAATCACAATCATACGAAAAGCTGCCTTCATCACGACAAAGCAAAATGAAGATTGACGCTCTGCTCAACCCGGGCGATGAGGATTCAGACTCCCCACGGCCAAAGCACGTCTCAATCCCCCACCGTCACAGCTACCATCAGCCATCACCAAGTTTCCCCCCAAGTCCCAACTACTGGTATAACCAAGGCTATCATGAGAGCCCGGACCCTTCGTCCGCCAAACACAATTATCCCGGCCACTTCCCTCAACAGGCCCAAGTCTTTGTTAGCTACCACCATAACAACCAACCCCGAGGCAGCACCAGCACAAACCACAGCTCGCTCTCCGCTCCCTCTTCACCAGACCCTTACCACTCTCGTGAACGTTACTCCAGCGTCTCTAGCAGCTCCTCGACAAACGGCGACCGTCGCCGTCCTCCTCGCCCCAAGTACGAGGAAGAGGAGATGTACTTCATCTGGTATCACCGGGTCGACCTGTGTCAGGAATGGAAAGAGGTCCGCGAGGCTTTCAACCGCCAGTTCCCAGACCGCCAGAGACGTGGCTTCCAGGGTATCCAGTGCAAGTTCTACCGCTTTATTAAGGAGAAGAAGTGTCCGACTTTGCGAGAGCAGAGGCGCATGCGTGACGGCGAGTTCCTTCGAGAAGGGGCATCTGCTGCGCTCGTTGGCGAGGGAGGCGGAGCACCCAAGTTTGGCGTCCGAGAATACACCAACGTTTGGTATCCTTGGATGAGGAAAGGAGATGCAGACGCTGTGATGCAGCGCATGTGATTTCAATGTCTACTGATTCATCTCTTTTGTTTTTTTTCTTTTGTCTTTTACTCTCTCTTATGACTTTGCGTGGGTCGGTCTTCGTCTTTTTGTTTAAAGATACCTCACTGGAGTTCTTTTCATCAGTTCAGCGTGGGAGGTCTGTTGTCACTTTTTTTCCCGATCATTATATTAGGCCTTATCCATCTCCAATGAGGCTCCTGTCATTTCTTCGTCTTGTCTTTCTATCCGCCCCTTTCACTATATACTTTGGAGTTATATGTCTACAATCTACAGCGTGGAGCCATCCATCACATGACAAATGTCAATGCTGTTGAAAAGTTGAGATATAGATTTAGAAATTTTAGATACTAGAAATTTTACTTGTAATCTGACAGGTCACATCGCGTTCTCTGCAAGATCATTCCCAACATTCAATATAGAATGTACGAAGTACCTATGTGCTTGTACCTACTCTGTACTCCGTCATTCATATGCACTTGGACATCTCATCATTGCTCACCGCACAGTACTCAGTTTTGACCCAACACTAGATCAGTTTTCACCACTCCATACTTTCAGCCCCTTGCCTTCGTTCCTGACTCGCCAACCTTCCCCAGGCGCATATCTCAATGTAACAATCCCGTACAATCTTCGTCATCATCGCCCCAGCCTCGCCCCAGCCCCAGTTGGGGGGCCAGCAACCTTGAAACAACATTGCCATTGAGCCAGGGGCTGACCGCAACACCAACAATTGAAGCATGCACCCCCGGCAGTCCTGAATTAGTCGCAAGGATAAGCACAAAGCAAATAGTCTCCTACGAACCATTCTACCCGCAGTGGAGCAGAGCCCCTCAAGAACTCCAGCACAGCCGACGATACCCCGAAGAAAGAACGTGTGCACAGCCGACTCAATCTCCAGATCCTAACTAGCCGCCCATGGAGTACGAGTACGCGCCGGGATTTGCCATGAAGCAACGCAAGGCAGATTCCAACTCCTTCGCTATTCTCCTTCGCTACTCGTCAAGGGATCTCTGGCCTCTTTTGGTTGATTTGTCATCATTTCAGATTCAACATGCATTATACGGAGTGCGAAGTATGGAGAATTCATACTGAACCCCGGGGTGATGTCAATAGTTCGTTACGATTTGACAGGGGCGGTGGGATCACATCACACCTTTGGAAATCACCTACGTAGCAACTGCAGGCGTATCGATCAAAGCCCCATGTTCGTAGTCTCGATTTGGAGTTTTAGAGATCGGGCTTTCTTATTTGACAACCGATCATCCGCAGCATGATCTGCGTTATTAGAACCTCGTAATCCATAACTAGTTGATTATATTATATACGACAATCACTCGTAATCGTACACTCAAGTGAGGTGTCGAGAGGACGGGAAAGAAAAAAATAATAATAATCAATACGAGTAACACCCGGGCAGAATCATCAGGCGACAGGGGAAGAAATGACATGTCGCGCATCTAAGGTATTGGATCTGCAATGCGGGTTTCTTTTCTTTTTGCATCCACGGTCTGCTCAATATCATGTCACTTGAGGGTGAAAGACACAGAAATGATACAGAAGATCGACAAGAAGAAAAACATGAGGGGCCAAGGCCTGCCTTAGCGTACTGTCGGGCTCGGGGAAGCAGCCGCGGACTCCATAGTAGAATCCTTTTGACAGAGGGATGATCCCGGGACGTGATCCCCGATCTCGTGTCTTAGCCTCATCTTTTGGAGATTTACTCCGTACTCGTAGGGGGAAAAGAATTGGCTGTGGGGCCTGTCTCAGAGCGGTAAAGCAGGTCGAGAATTGATCGGCAATATGATGACATACAGTGCAGATACGAGACTGCTGGGCTACTCGTATGAACAATCAAAAGCTATCTAAGGGAGATCCTAGGCCTGGTGTTGTAGGTCATCAGGGGTAGGGAAAACACGGGCTATATGATCTGCTACATATGACCGTTACACAGCGCATGGAGTACAGAGTACTCGTACATACTCTGTACACGTAAAACATGCACTGCAATGCAAGTTGCGACTTGAAAATGTGAAAATGTGAAAATGACATTATGAACTCGTTTAAAAAAGAAAAACAAAAATGTACGAAAAGACCGAACAATCCAGATTGGAACATCTCCGGTGCGGTTCGCCCTAAAGTCGCCCTAAAGTCGCCCGTTCCACCCGGGAATCCAAGCTATACCCTTTCCGGCTGTCGAATCGTGGAGCTAGTCCAGAACAGGTAGGAGGGGCCCTTTTTGGCACAGATATAGTTCGTGTTAGCTCATTCCATTTCCACCAATCATAGTCCCTGATTATCCCGTAAAATACACCCCCTTCCCCAGGGCTGGCACGTTGGAGTAATACCAGCCAACGAGGTCGTGAGGATATTAATATATAGAAGTACGAATAGTACGAGTAGTACGAAGTCCTTCGTATCTAGGTACGGAGTACGAACTCGTTAGGTACAGTTGCATCGTTGGTATGTTGACAATGCAGAATTACTACAATAGATGCACCTAGGTCGTTGGGCCTCGGGCTGCTGTGGTCCGTTACTACCTCCAGGGCTAGGTAAGTATCTTGAACAGTTTTTATTGAGCTATCTGTGGACAACGTCCGTTAGAGAAGGTACGCCTATTTAGATGCTCATTGAAATTCCTTGGCATGTCAGAAAGATATCCGAGATGCATCCCATTATTCTCCATGTGCTCTGTTCGAGTCCATAGCCATGCCGGGCTGTTGGGAAACGAGAAGTCGACACGAGGATCCACTAACCACGAATCGCCTCGAACGCAGGGTTGGGCTCATCGATGAAGTGGTAAGTCGACGCAAGAGCGCAACTGGTACACTGGTCAGCAACCATCCCAAGCAATTGAAATTCTGTCAACTTACGGGTCAACTTCGAATCGGGGGATGCAATCATAAGTTCCCTCTTTGATGTCCTGCATGAACTTCCAGCCATCATGCAGGTCGTAGAAAGAGATGGTGACATCAACACCGGACTTAGGTAAACCGTGAGCAGGGGCCCATATTCAAACAGAACAGGGTTGGGTCATAACTTACCTCGGCCTGGGTAATCAGGATCCGCTCGAACTTCATTCCCTCCCATCCATCTTGCGCAAGAACGCCCAGAACAGAGATATCGTCGTCGCCAACCTTGAAACCAGGAGCGATGCCGGCGAGACACACAACACGAGAAGCACCTTCAGCAACTCGATCCGCCAGGGCGGCATTGTCAGGAAGACCCTCCTCGGGCAGGGTGACAGTAATGACAGCCTCATTGCCATCAGCGGCCATGTACTTGATACCGGCAGAGTGTTTCTCATGGTAGTCAAGACACTCCTTCTCTTCAACGAACTGAACCACAACGGTACCATCCTCGGACCAGGCTTGCTCGATGGCACCTCCGTGAGTCAACAACAAGATGCGAGAAATAGTGGCCCACTCGGGCAGGTCACCAAACACAACACGACGGACAACACCAGCAGCAGCAGCCTTGGCCGCCTTCTCCTTGAGAATACGCAACTTGTGGAATTGGGCCAGGAAATCACCAGGAGCAGCAATGCCCTGGGAACGGGAGCCCTTGGAGTGAGAATCGGCCTTTTCCCCAGCGCTGCCAGACTCCATGTTCGGGTTATCGACTTTGACAGAAACGTGATCACGCACACCGTCAACACCGTCAGAAAGGTCGTCGGGAAAAAACTCCGCGGCGGCCCCAGACAGAACGGGTGGAACCTGTATATTGTCAGACAAGATGAAGCGACTGCGAAGAATATTGATTTCCCAGCCAGACCCAGGGACGAAGTGCTCCAAGCAGAGCCACCAATGTGTCTCATGTGTGAAGTGAGAATGATCAGAGGCGGGACTTACCTTGATTAAGGCCATCGTTGCAATCAGCCTTAGAGGTAGGCAAGGATGATGAGAGACGAAAGAATGAAAGTTGCGAAGATGGCACGTGAGAGAGAGAGGAGGAAGAAGAGATGAAAAAGAAAACAAAATATTATGAAGAGTGCGTCGGGCTAAGTTGGGAAGGCGCAGATTTGGGAAGGTGCGATGTTGTGTACTTCAACTGGGTGTGTTCACCTGTTCACACTGTGGACTTTACACGGCGTGGATAATGACCACCTGAGCATACAGTCATGTATAACCATGAAATATATGACTGTGTTCCAACTGCTGAATACCCTTGAGTTCCTGAATGATGGATAACTTGGTATGAGTAGGCATTTTACTTGACCATAGGCATTGTCCTCATACTTCAGGTAACACAAGTCTCCCATCGTCTCATCACCTTGCAGGAAGTTGAATGGATCAAAGACTGGTGTTTTCTGAAAAGACTATGCAAACTAATTCCATGGAAAACCTACAATGTCATTCAGGTAAAAGTGGACACAGCTAATTCTTGAGGTATTATCTGCCTACAATAAGATTGTGACAAGCAGTGCCCAGGTGCCTGGCTTCCGTCTAAGGAAACGCCCAGAAAGTGCGGATACAACCTAGGTAGGCAATGAAAGAATGTTAAGTCAGACCATCCATGGATGAAGCTGCACCTGAATTATCTAGTCCACCTGGGCAAGTATTGATAACCATTCTTATACAGATGGTTTTTACGAAAGTATCCAAAGAACAAAGAGTCGCTTTACTCGGCCTTCTCAAGAAAAAGAGACTTCATCAGGGAATAGAGTTGGGTATCAGATTTTAATTAGAAAAGATGCTAACTATGAGGGCACAGGAATATTTTCAAAGCCTTTCTGCCCAGGTTTCCGGTCTTCAACAATGACCTGAAGACCACGACGTCCACAGTAGCCATCGTTGCCAGCAACCCGATCAACAACCTGGAATGAACCACCGCCATCCAACTTTGCATTCGGGACCCAGACCGTCTCCTTGACATTTTGACCGAGGACCTCCGCCCGCCGGGGATTATACCAAGGAAGGCCAACGAGATGATTGCCCAGGTTGTGAAGGAACGAGTACAGTCCTTCAAAGCGACGAGTGACACCGAGCCACGAAAGTGTGCGATGATTGTAGGCAGTCCGCACAAATGGATTCATGTAGATGCCAGTGTCAGAAATCTCGTCCACATTAGTCTGGGGATCCTGGATATCCGCGTGGATGAGGCAGCATTCTGAGGCTTCCCAGAATAGATCATGACTGGAGCGGAAGCGTGCTGGATTTGGTGATGTGGGTGGCGACCCGGATTGGAAATATTTCGAATCAAAAGCGACCATTCCACCCCAGCAGCTGCGTACTCGCACGGCATCTTTGCCGGCAAGCACGTCCCTTCGACTCTCGCCCTTGCCGGACGTTGTGAACCAGGGATAAAAGGGGAGGCCCATGCTGTAGCCTTCAAGATCGCGGGTTGCATATGTGTCGTAAAACTTGAAGGGGTTGTCGAAGTCTACAGCACACGCTGCGCGATATTGTGCGATGCCGTCCGCATTTGCGTTGGTGGAAAAGAGAAGTTGGACTGTGTCGATGGGGTGGAAGAGGATGTCGTTCATGTACAGGAGTTTATCGAACTTCATATTTGGAAGGTCGGTCAATGGCTGTAACGCCTTGTTCCGTACCTGTGCCAAATATTCAATTCGCTTCACTCGGTTGGATCCACCTGGTATGGTCACAGTTGGCAGAGTCTTTGGGTCCAGGTGCTTCTCCGAAACAATGGACTTTTGGCATGTCACCTTCTTCTCCAGCTCACGCAGTGCACGCTCCCCCTCGTCGCCGCTGTCGTTTTCATAGATACTCAAGAATACATTGTCGTGCCCGAGTAGATCAATGAGATCAACGAGCTGTTCCCCCCATTGGCCCCGAGCAAGCTCACCCCCACTGTCATAAAGACTAGCCGCAATAAAAACCTTTTCACCCCGCGGGTTTCCACGTCCTGAGTATGAACTTCCAAGCACCGATTCGCGGAGTGTAGAGTAGTGCGCTGGTGGGTGTGTATACGAGGGGAACAGGATCGAAGTGAAGAGCGTAAGGGCGAAAACTATACCCGCAACCACGTGGATATAGCAGCAGCGGCGAATGCAGAATCGGCGGGTGCAGCTTGGGCGTGGGGTGCCTGCAAGAGCTGGTCTTGAGTTGGTCTTCAGACGACGATATCCCGTTGTCGCCGTCGAAAAGAGCCGGGATAGCCAAGGCAGTCGGCGTTTGCCAAATTGGGATGTGGGAGGGACTTGGGATTCAAAATCGGCCTCGTCTAGGTTAAATGTACCCTGCGAGTCAATTGACGATCGCGAAGCCATTTCCCATTCATCGGGATGAAGCAACCGGGCAGTCATGGTTGCACCGAATTGGGGCTGCTTGCCCTTGCTTAATTCAGCTATAGGAAGATCGAGTGATGGGAAGATCAGCTGTAGCCATGGTCAAAAGGGGGTCTGTTGGTACAGATGTTGGATGGTTTTCGCTTTTCCCCATGGAGAAACTTACATCATCCGATCACGTGGGTCCCGAAGTATACATGTATCGCCATGAGCTCACCAGGTTTGAATCTCAAGAAACTATATGCAAAAGAGGAAAACAACTGTTGCTAGATAGATTGAGAGACAATGTAGTCAGCAAATCTATCTATGAAGCTTCTAAGATTGGGAAGCCTAATGGAAAATGTGCAACATAAAGCTTCCAATGGAAGCTCCGGTACAGAGTGACGTAGCTTCAGCCTGACAGGCTCGACTACTCGTCGCCCCGATGATTTATATTTCTTGGGTCTAATCTCTTTCCCATTCCTCTTACATCTATCTCTAACCATCTAAACATCTGTTGTGCACCGTGGACATAAATCAATCACCTTGTAATTGCTTCCCCGCATCTCACCATGTCGCAATCGCAATTCAAATTCGCCAACTCGAATGCTAAAGTACCAGGCGACGGTACCCCACCCCCAGAATTCATCATCAATGCCCCAGCTTCGACCGACGTTTGGGCCAAGCCCCCATCCACAACTCGTTTCTCAGCCCCAATCCTGTACAAATCAATGCCACTGAAGTCATTCAAGCGGGCCCGCGTGGCCTTCAACGCTCTCTGGGAAAAGACATACGACCAAGGTGGTCTGATCATTGTCCTCAACTACGCCGATGGTAACCAAAAGTGGGTGAAGAGCGGCATTGAGCTTACCCATGGACGACCCCACCTCAGTGCGGTGGCCAAAGACAACTGGGCTGATTGGAGTCTGCTTCCGGTCCCCTCGGGCGGGAGTGCAGCGACTCTGGAGATGGTCCGAGAGGAGGACAATAGTCTGTGGATCTACCTGGTCGAGGGTGTGCAGAAGTCGCCCATCCGTGAGGTCACTTGGGTCTTTAACGAAGATGTAAAGGACATCTGGGTTGGAGTATATGCCGCTCGACCTTCGAGTGAGGGTGGTGAGCTGCCAGTCAACTTTGGTCATTTGATTATCGACCAGGCTTAGCTACAGGGTGGTCAAATGTCAACAGTTGAGTTCGTTATGAAGGAGTAGGTCTCAAAGTCGAGGTGTCACTGCTGTCATTCATTTTATATTGATTATACACTGGTCAGAAGAAACACAAGCCCTGGTCGCTCCAGGGCTGTTTATACCGAAATAACACTTTGAATATTATATGTCATTGCACACACTGGGCACTTACAAAACTGGCCTGTGGGTGCCTGATTTGGGATTGGCCAAAAACCAACCTTGTACGATAACGACCAGGTATAAGCAGTGTCTACCGCGATAAAGAATCAGGCATCCAATAAGTCATTGGGCCCTTGGACGCTATACACTTTCCAAGGTTCGTACTTACTTAAGTACTCACCTCTTTTCTTCCGAGGCTCCTAGGATCTATGTATTCACATTGCAGTATGGCAAGGTTCATCCTGGGTCCTCTAGATCAGGATGGGAGAGCGGCCACAGAGGAGAGATTGTGAAAACCACAGGTGCTCCAGTGTCGGCTATAGCGTAGGTAAAAAGTACCAAATTGCTATTAGTACGAAGAAGCGAGGTATGACAGCGGCTGATAGCCAAGACCCCACCAGGGTTCTACAGTGTCGATCTGATGTTACATGTATCACCAGCACAAGATAGACAGTGTCGATCAGGCGATATGCAGACACTCTTTGATCACATCATAACTTCATTTGATAGGTCTGTTGCTGTGGGTGGTCAGCCGCAATGTGCTCAGGGCCACCAGGTGCATGAGTGCATGAATGCATGAGTGGAGCGATCAACGTTAATCTGAACATCTGCAGCTGTCAAGCTGGACATTCACAAGCTAGAACCCATTCTTTGGCAAGATTTTAGGAGAATTCCATCCGGCTCGGGTGTTTCATGTCAGGCCTCCACATGTGGAATCGCTAAGTAATCTAAATCGACTCGGAACTCTGCACATACGAGTAATTATTCTATACTTAAGTAGGAGCACCTTCCTCTTTCTCATGTCTGATATCATTTAAAGACACTTGATTATCCCACTCTGTTAGTTTATATTGTATTGGTTCACATAGTACAGCCTTGGTCGTTATCTGATCCAAGCGTGTAACTAGAGTCGGATATAAGCGCTGCTCACGCCCTATTTGGAATGCCGAGGCCACGACATACCAATTGCGTAGTATGACCAGAATTTGGTGGAGCAAGGCAATTTATGCGCACTTTGTCTTGAACTTTCGAGTTTTCTTTTCTTTTTTCTTTTAATCATGGGGACCAAGTCAAGTGATAATCGGAAATGTGTAATGATCCGAGTGGTTAAAATCCGATCCAATCAATGTATATGAAGTCTGACTACTCCGTCTTTTCCGTGTAAAACAATGCATGACTCACCGTATAATAACTTCAGGGCTACAACAAATTGAGGCAATAAAATCGGCCACCTAAGAACCAGGGATCCCCGGCAATCAAACTTTCCATCTTATCTGATGTAAGTACCAGAAAAGAGAGTGACTTGGCAGTACCAAGGAATGTGCCCATGCCACCTGGTGGACTGAGGTATCTGACGGGTACCCCGTTCGGCAAGTGTTCCGTACCTGGCCATCTGGAGCCCTTTAATTTCCTGTCTTTGACACACTCTTGATGTCGCATTCCAACGCGACATCATGCTCACAGTCTTGATTTGTGAAGCACATTCTGACACTGTACTTGTAGAGTGAAGTGCAGAACTCTCTTTTCCATCTTGTTTGCTGCCACAGACCCCATCAGCCCGCATAAGTGCGACCGACGATCGGGCTTGGTCTCAGCGCAGTGCACACAAGACCTAAAGGCCTAAACTCTTCATAGCCTTCCCCTTACAGTTGGGCGTCCTCCGAAGCACGGCGGATCTACCCATCCGCCAATCTGCCCCATAGCTGCCTACCGAATCCTGCTTGGTACATCAAATAGCCCTTTATGGGTGGTTCTACAGGCAAGCGCGCTTCGACATATATTCTACTCATCGCATCGCCCCATATTTCTGCTCATTCCTTCCCGAATCGGTCTCCGATTCGTTGTCGCCGTCTCGTGTTTTCGTTTCTTTTTCCCTACTAGGACCTGACTGGCTCAGTGTTCCCCTAGCTGAAATCCCGCCAAGGGTGTGTGCTTAGTAGAGGCTTTTCATCCCTTTTATGTGATACGCCCGCTGTTGAGTTGGATGTTGCATGAACTCTTTTGTTTTCCCAGGAAAAAAGTCCGGATTATCACTTAATCGTCGCTATCTGCCTAGTCGTCGCTACGTGCTTAGTCGTCGCTACGTGCTTAGTCGTCGCTACGTGCTTAGTCGTCGCTACGTGCTTAGTCGTCGTCGTTAAGATCGACCTGGGGTACCTGAGTACATGCTTTCTTCCAAACTCTTTACTGATCCCACCGCTGCCTATTCGTTTATGGACACCTGTTGATCTGCACAATCTTTGTTGAGGCTCTACACTGTGGTGCAACACCGAGATGCCAATTATCGATCCACGTTCTGGACCGTCCTACGGCACTATGGAACCAGACATGGAGCATGAAAGAGAGCAACTGCTGCGGAATGAAAACGAAGTTGAGGGCCAGACCACTGGACAATCTGCACCGGACGATATACAAGAAGGAGTCCAAAAAATTGAGGCCATCAATTTGACTTGGACAGCCAAGTCTCTGATGGTGGCCTACGTCAGGTTCGTGTGGCTTGCAGTCCCGTGCCTTTACTGATCCCCCCTGCTGACTTGGCACAAAGCATATTCCTCATGGCCTTCTGCACATCACTAGAAGGACAGACGGTAATGTCGCTATCTGCATATGCAACAAGTGCATTCAGTAAGCACTCGTTGATCTCGACGGTCCTCGTTATTCAAAATGTGGTAAATGGTATGTACCCGACCCCCACCCCCCACTTTGGGTGAGCATGGACGCCTGGCTGATCTCAACACTAGCCGTCATTAAACCTCCGATGGCAAAGGTTGCCGATGTGTTCGGTCGCTTCGAGGCCTTCTGCCTGAGCATTCTCATATACGTGCTGGGATATATTCAGATGGCCGGCTCCACCAACGTTCAGACCTATGCTTCGGCGCAAATATTTTATTCCGCTGGCTCAACTGGACTGCAAATCTTACAACAGGTGTTTATCGCTGATAGCAGTGATCTGCTGAACCGTGCTTTCCTCGCGCTTCTCCCCGAATTTCCATTCCTCGTGACGGTCTGGCTTGGACCAACCATCGCCGGTGCCGTCCTGCGCACCAGTTCATGGCGATGGGGATATGGTATGTGGGCTGTGATCTTGCCTGCATCATTCCTCCCATTGGCTCTCACGTTGTTGTTCAACCAGCGCAAAGCCCAAAGATTAAACCTGATCAAGAAGCGAACCAAGAGACACACGAGCTTTGTTGGCATCCTGCGCCGGACATGGTATGATCTAGACGTCGGTGGCCTGGTGCTTCTCTCCGCGGCAGTCACTTTGATCCTGGTGCCATTGACTCTGGCAGCCACCGCCAAAAACGGTTGGAAGAATGCGGGCATTCTGGTCATGATGGTTCTCGGTGTTGCCTGTCTCTGTCTGCTGCCATTGTGGGAGTCTAACAAGAAATTGGCACCCAAGCCTCTTCTGTCTCTCCATCTTCTCAAGCAGAAGACCGCGCTTGCAGGATGTGCATTGGCCTTCTGGTATTTCAGTGAGTATAAGCCTCTTCGGCATTCTGTCCATTCGCGAAAACTTTTTGCTAACCCCCATTCTAGTGGCATTCTACTTTTCCGTTCAGCCTTATCTATACTCCTACCTCCAGGTTGTCCAAGGGTATGACGTTGCCACAGCTGGTCGCGTCACCCAAACCTTTGCTTTCACATCTACAATTGCTGCATTTAGTGTGTCTCTTCTCATCAAGTACACTCGAAGATACCGCATCTACGTGACTATTGGATGTGTCGTCTACATGACCGGTCTGGTTCTGATGCTCACATGCCGCGGAGAAGGGGCCTCGCATCTCCAAATCCTAGGCACCCAGGTCATCGTCGGCATTGGTGGTGGTCTGGTCAACGTTCCCGTTCAACTGGGTGTTCAAGCGTCAGCCAGCCACCAGGAAGTTGCCGCCGCGACCGCGATGTTCCTAACTTCTATGGAAATGGGAGGTGCAGTTGGTGCCGCCATTTCCGGTGCTGTGTGGTCTTCTGCCATCCCGCATAAGCTTCTGCAGTACCTTCCCGAGGAAACCAAAGATCAAGCTGGCGATATTTTCGGCAAGCTGACTACCGCCCTGTCCTACCCAATGGGATCCCCTACTCGCATTGCCATCAACCGCGCCTACCAGGAGACCATGCACCGACTCTTGACCCTAGCAGTCATCGCCACCCTTCCTCTCATCCCACTCAGTCTCATCATGGTGAACTACAAACTTGACAAGGTAGGTTGCGAATGACAATCCATGGATAATAATTCTGGCTGACCCTTTTTTTTTTTTTTTCCCAGATGGGCTATGGTAACTCCGAACCACAAGGTCATCTGGTTCCAGCCGAGCCAGAACAAGGCTCCGAGGACGGACACTCGAAGCGAACTTGAACAATCATGCACCAAGTGCAGTGCAATGTGCACGACCATTATGACCTTACGAATCCCAGCCCCTCGACTCATTTTTCCGTTATATCTAAACACGGTTGCATTTTGATACATCCCATCCAGCGTCCAGTTTATCATTACCCATTACCTGACCTTCTATTCTACTTACAACTTCCTGTATGCGTTTTCTAGCAGACATTGCATATGGCGTTACTTTCCCACGGCGTGCTCTCTAGAGGTGTTGGGATTTTAGACATTTTTACTGAAATGCATTACCAATATCCATTCACTTCTCAAGACCCAGATGTTATTCCTCCCGGAGATTCCAATATGGCCGGCTTGCCGCTCTCTGTAACAGAGTCAATCTCCCGCGATGCCCTGTGGGTCTAGGTCATTTCCTGCAACGTCAGAGGGAATAACGGTTCCCGGCGCGATAGGCGTCGGTACTCCGTAGGCATGCAGCCACTGGGCCGACAAACGGTGCCTGACAACCTCTTCCGAGTTCCCCAGTCCAGCTTCGAACCGGCTTGGGACATTTACCAGTTAGACGGATTTAGATTAGGATCTCCTGCATTGGCATTCAATCCGTGCCAGGCCTAGATCGCCCCCTTTTTTTTTTTTCTCCCACCCCCCTCTTCCCCCCGGAACTCCCTGACAGCCTCGTATTACCTCCACGTCTCTGGACCTCTAGATTGCGCGTGCATGTACCTGCATATATGCATGCAGACCGGTTTCCGGAGGCCTTGTTCTTTTGTGTTGGGCTGTATATATCAGGTGAGTAACGAGTAGGAAGAGAACCTCGGTAGGAAGTACGAGTAGATACGAGAGTATAAGGGTAGCTCATTGCAGATTACTAGGTCTAGACGTGGGTCATTGAGATTCCCCATTTGAATTTAAGGCGAAACGGGTACAAATGAAAGGAGAGTTGGCGTGAAACGGGTCAGATCATTGGAAAAAGAAGAGAAGAAGACAAGAGAAACAACGGAAACAAAAGGAACAAGAGAAATAAGAGGCCAAAATTACCATTTTGATCTCGTTCAAAGTCGGTGAGATGATCTGCCCTGCGACCGTGATCTTTGGAGATTCAAATATTCGACATTTGCTGATTTGCTGATTTTTTTGATTTGCTAGGACCTTACAATAACATCAGATTTCTTCACTTGATCTTTGCTGGCGTCAGAGAAAGGAAAGAAAAAAAAAAGAATACTAAAGCGAGGTGTACAGACCGTGTATCGAGACTAGCCGTCTAGACTCTACTCTGCGGGTTGCCCCATTCAATCCAGACCACAGCTTCTTCCTCCCTTTTTGTCTCCCACAGTCTTCCTCCTCTAGTCTTACCAACCCTCCAACCTTTCTTGTTTCAAAATGGTTGTTGCTACCATCAAGTATGCTGGCCCCTGCTCCAGCTTATCCCCTCACTTGCTAACTATCTCCAGGTGTGTCGTGGTGGGGGACGGTGCAGTTGGAAAGACCTGCTTGCTCATCTCATACACAACGAACAAGTTCCCTTCGGAATATGTCCCCACTGTCTTTGATAACTACGCCGTCACGGTGATGTGAGTTGAGCCTCAGCACTGAAGCACTTCCCCGATCTCCCCTGGCCTCTTGCTAACCCCCCATCCCCAGGATCGGCGATGAACCTTACACGCTGGGTCTGTTCGATACTGCCGGTCAAGAGGATTATGATCGTCTGCGCCCTCTCTCCTACCCGCAGACTGATGTCTTCCTTGTTTGCTTCTCCGTCACCTCCCCCGCCTCCTTTGAGAACGTGAGGGAAAAGTGGTTCCCCGAGGTTCACCACCACTGTCCTGGTGTCCCCTGCCTGATTGTTGGCACACAAACCGATTTGCGCGACGATGCGGGTGTTCGGGACAAGCTCGCCCGCCAAAAGATGCAGCCCATCCGGAAGGAAGACGGTGATCGCATGGCAAAGGAACTTGGCGCCGTGAAATACGTGGAGTGTTCCGCTCTGACACAGTACAAGCTCAAGGATGTGTTTGATGAGGTACATCCCTCCCCTCTCCCCACATCTTCCTGTTTATCTTTGTTGCTTACACATTTTCTTCGATAGGCTATTGTTGCGGCGCTCGAGCCTGCGCCCAAGAAGAAGTCAAGGGGCTGCCGCCTGCTGTAAACGCCTTCTGGGACCTCTCAACAGGTTGGACCGAGTGCGACAGAACCTGTGTGCTTGGATTGATGCCTGGTTGACACGCGCCTCGAAGCAGCTACGATGGAATGAACCTGTTTTGTCTCTTTTTCTCTTACGTTCTACTGGGCGGCAAATAAGCTGGGTTTTTTTGGGGGGATCTTTCAAATGCGACAATATACGGGATGTGGGATCCTTTTTCTTTTATGTCATGGGCTAGTTGATGCCATGTGAGGCGTTTCAGATCTACGTTTCCAGTTTGAACATGGCTTTTGATGTTTGATCCCCTTCTCTACAGTTTTGTTTCGTCCCAAATCCCCCAAATAACCAGCTCTATCTTGCTGCATCCTTCTCTCTTCTCTTTCTCTCCCCTTTTGCTCGTCTCTTCTGTGCTTCGCCAGGCTGCGTCTGCCGTCTTCAACTTCCTGTTTCCGTCGCGATACCGATACCGATACCGATACTGATCCTCTTTGCCCATGAACTCTAGCGACAGCTCTTTTCTTCTTCCTGCGTGTCGCTCCATTTATTCCCACCTTCCCACCCCGTGCTTTACTCTTTCATCGTCTCTTTCGGCGTTGGATGTCAGGGCGTCGTGCTTTGGTTTGACAATATCCGTTCTATTTCACCTTGAATCGCCAGTCGTTTTCTCCCTGCGTTCTCATTTTCACGTCTCAATTTACCCCAGCCTTTCATCTCCCTGAATATGACACCTGAGCTGTGACCTTCCCTTGCAGATCCAGTCTTTGTTGAAATTTCCAAGTTTGTCCCTTTGATCCCGATCTACTTGTGACTTTGATACATACTGTGCTCATGTTCTGCGTTCTGTTCCATGAGCGAGCTGAAATCTGGTCAGAAAGTCACAGATAGACCCAATCCAGATCAGCTCTTTGAAATTACTGCAAAGCAATATCCATCCATACCTAGTACTTCATAGCTTGTAGTCCATGGGTATACACTCTGATATCATCAGCCATGGAGCTCGGTTCGCCTCGGGTAAGCATTACATCATAGCCATGACATAGTTCATTCAGTCTTCGCTTCATTCATCTCGTACAACGTATATACATCATTGACACTATATATCCTTGGATCTTTTTCAAAGCTCATCCTTGGCTTCCTTCTGGGCCGCCTCCTCAGCCTCAATCTGCTCCATCCAACCGTACCAGCCACCAAGCTCCTCATCAACCCCAGACTTGACAATGCTGGTAATAATCTCAAAGGCAACCTGCGCAGCAGCAAGAGCAGTAGTCTCACCCTTGTTATCATAAGCAGGCGAAACCTCCACAATATCCGCACCCACAACATTGAGTTTCTCCAGACCACGCAGAATGCGAATGAACTCGCGCGTAGTCCAGCCACCAGGCTCGGGAGTACCAGTACCAGGAGCCGTAGAGGGATCAAGCACATCAATATCAACAGACAAATAAACAGGCTGCTCAGGATCAAGACCAGTGCGCGCAATAATTGTCTCAACAACACCCATGGGGCCAAGCTCATCAATATCATCCGCATGAATCCGGATAAATCCCTGCTCAGGTCCGGGGTTTGTATAATCCCCAGCATCAACACCAGTCAATCGCGTACGCAGACCCGCATGTGCAGATGTAGCATTGCAAATCAATCCCTCCCGACTAGCCTTGTGGAAGAAACTACCGTGGTTGAACTGCGTCTGCTCACTCTGCCAGTACGCGCTGTACCGCACAGGGTTCCAGGTATCAAGGTGCGCATCGAAGTGCAGCACCGTAATTGGCTTCTGGTAGATCTGGTACAGAGCTCGCAGAGCTGGCAGCGCAACACTGTGATCTCCGCCCAGGGTGACTAGCTTTGGGTGGCTGTGGCCGATGCCCGTTGCCTTGGGCGACTTGTTCACGATCTTGCGGGATCCAAGCTCCAGGAATGCTTCGTACATCTGGCGCTCGGCAAGCCCGTTGTCGAAGGGTGTGATGGGGATGTCGCCACAGTCGGTGATCTTTGCCCATGACTTGTATGGGTTGATTCCGGCACGCGTGTTGTAGCTGGTTGGTGCCATCTGGCGGGCGCTGGCGGCGCGGATCGCCCGAGGTCCGAATCGGGCGCCTAGTATATTATCAGTACTGATTCTTGTGGCTTGAGACTGCCCAGAAAAGGGAATTGAAGGACTCACCTGGGCGGTAGCTGACTGCTGTGTCAAAGGGCGCACCAATCACGGCAATATCGTAGTGCTCATCGGGCTCGATCAGACACTTGACGGGCTTGAGATGGGCGAAGCTGGCAATGCCGGAGAAGGACCACTATTTACTTTATTAGATATTGTTAGACCAATTGCACAGTTCATACATACTTCCTGATCCCACTTCTTAAGCAATTCTGCGCGCTCGTGCTCGGGCACGACCTCACCGTCATTGTGGTGGGCGCAGGCCGTCGCAGAGCTGGCCAGAGCCAATGCGCTCACGAAGGTCTTCCAAGCAGGCATGGTCAAAAGATGTGTAAGAAGAAATAAATAGAGAAAAGCGAAAAGAATTTATTTATCTACATGTCTCTCCGGCCAACTTCCTGAAGCAGCCATTAACACGATAGATCTAAAGGGAAGGACGAACAGACTCCCCGCCACACTCCGTGGATCGGTCGTGCAGACTTTCCCTTCTTGGCCTTGGCCCGCTTTTCCCTTCTCTTCCGCTTCACCTCTGCTAAGTACTTTTTATACAATACAAGTCCTCTTAGTACTAATCACTTATTCTGCAATTGTCGTGGCTATAAAGCCACTTATGATGCTATGCGGCGCGTTGTCGTGACGGGTCTTGGGGCGGTAACACCGCTAGGCGTTGGTGAGTCTCAACTTTTTTTTTTCTTTTGGAGCTCCAATCTTCGGATCCCTGCAATACAAGGGTGCGGAGTCCGAGGATGGATTCTGCTCCAATTAGCCAGAAAGCTCCAGTCCAAAATCCCCGGACTCTCGAGCTCTCTGCGTCCCCACTCCCCATTCCGGAAGGGGAAGGTCTTGACAGCCAATCGGCGGATCCATGCGGGATCTGTCGAACATCGCATACACCTGCTTGCTGCTGATAAGCGTCGTTGATCAATATCGCCATCCGATCGCTAACGTCCGTGTCGTGCAGGAGCTCGACGTACCTGGAAACGCTTGCTAGATGGCCATTGCGGTGTTGTCAACGTGAAAGATCGCGATGAGCGCTTCGCTGAGCAGCCTTGTCAAGTAGCTGCTGTGGTACCACAGGGTAGTCGTGAGGACGGAGGTTGGACAGCTTCGCAATGGCTGGAACGTGGTGTAGGTACATCTTTTCTTTTTCTTTCTTTTTTTGTCTTGTCTCTTTGCAGAAACGAAATATACTATTTGTCAGAGCTATCTGTGATGCTGATTCAATATAGGAGGAGCGTAAAATGGCCAAATTCGCTCAGTATGCCATGGCTGCCACAGAAGAGGCACTTCAAGATGCAAACTGGAAGCCTGAGCCTTTTGAGCAGAGAGAAGTAACGGTGTGTTGTGTATACTTTGGAGGCCAGCTGAGCGAGTACTGATTTTATAACAGGGTGTCTGCCTTGGTTCTGGCATCGGCAACTTCGATGAAATGTACAACACAGTTGTTGCATATGAGAAAGGAGTTAGGGCTCATTCGAGCACAAGGCTGGGAACGCTTTTACTAACATTTTACCCAGGGCTACAAGAAAGTGAACCCACTCTTTGTGCCTAAGCTGCTGATCAACCTCGGCGCTGGCCATATCTCTATGAAATATAGATTCATGGGCCCGAATCATGCCGTTACCACGGCTTGCACAACCGGAGCTCATTCCATCGGCGACGCAGCTAGGTTCATTGCCTGTGGTGACGCTGATGTGATGGTCGCTGGTGGCGCCGAGTCTTGTATCCACCCTTTGGCCATCGGTGGATTTGCTCGTGCGAGAAGTCTCGCCACGGCCTTCAACGATACCCCCGAAACTGCGTCACGGCCCTTTGACGCTGATCGCGGGGGTTTTGTTGTCGGTGAGGGTGCTGCTGTGTTGATTCTGGAGGTAAGTTCGCAAGAACTTTCGAATTCTGCCCCGTTGCTGATTCATTTAATAGGAGTTAGAACATGCCCTTGAAAGAGGAGCTAAGATATATGCAGAGCTTAAAGGCTATGGCTGCTCCGGTGATGCACACCACATGACATCGCCCAAGGAGAATGGCGAAGGCGCATACATGGCCATGAAAAAGGCACTTAAGCAGGCTCAGCTCCGCCCTGCTGCCGTGGACTATGTTAATGCACACGCTACTTCAACAATTGTTGGCGATGCCGCGGAGAATGCTGCTATCAAGGCTCTTTTACTTGGCTCCGAGGGCAGAGAGAAAGCGGCCGATGTCAATGTCAGTAGCACCAAGGGTGCACTCGGCCATCTTCTTGGTGGAGCTGGTGCTATTGAAGCTCTAATCTCCGTGCTTGCCATTCATGAAGTGAGTTAATCTTGCGTGATTATTTGCATATTAGATTTGCTGACCACCAATAGAACACCATGCCACCCACCATCAATCTAGACCGACTGGCCAATGGATTTGACTGCAACTATGCTGCAAAGGAACCACAATCAAGGCAGATTGATGTGGCTTTGACGAATAGCTTTGGATTCGGTGGCACAAATAGCAGCCTGTGCTTTGCGAAGTATTAATCATTGTTTCACCATTTTGTACTATATTGGCTAGACGATAAAGAGCCAAAATTCTTGGCACTGGCTCTTTTCCAGAACACCGATTGTTTGAAAAATAGTTCCCATCCATTTTAAACCTCCCTTTGTGAGGACTTAGTTGTATGTGACATGAGGGTCACGTGCCGAGTGTTGATCCTAATGCGGAGGAGCCCCAAGCCCGACCTTGACTCCGGAGACCGAACCCATTTCGCGGTACCCAGCCACGGAAACACCTATCGAAAGCATTTCCACGCGATCCGTGAGCGCTTTGATTCTCACCAACTTTCAATCTTGCGCCCACCATGGCGACCAATGGTGATTCCGGCCGAGGTAGGCACTACATGGCTCCCGTTGATAGCGCAATCCGACAGGACGCTATAACATCAAACCCAGCTCATCCGGGATGGGAACCTCCCTCAAGCTAACCTTCAACCTTGTTTACAGGAACCGGGAGTCTGGTTGATGCGTCCGGATATACTTTTACAGACAAGGACACCAAGCCCGGCAAGATCAAGGTGAAAAAGACCTCCAAGGCGTCAACCAAGAAAAAAGCAGATGGTATGACTTCTCAGATCCGATCCCACAAGCCAAACGGGTCCTAACAGCACATGCAGATCCCAAAGACGGTCCAGCCGACACCTCACCTACCTCCTCCCCTCTTCCCGTCATTGATAGTAAAGTCATCACCGCATTCCCGACCGGCAAGCCACGCGAGGAAGATCTACTAGAAACCGTCATTTGTAAGGTATGCAGACGGCCTACGCTCAAATCCACGGCAGCGGACCATGTCCGTGGCTGCTTGAAGGCGAAGCAAGAAAAAGCACGCAAAAAGAAGGAAATTCGCGATGCGGCCAACCGCGCAAAGGCTGGAGACGACAGGGACGACGATCCAAACGACAAAGAAGATGGGTCTATGATGGGCCAGAAGAGCGCCAAGAAGAGCGCCGTCAAGGGAACCGATGACAACCGGAAAGGCAAGAAGCGCAAGGCGGATGAAGATGATGGCAAAGAGCCCAAGAAAAAGAAGAAGAAGGACGAGCTCAAGCCAAAGGCAGCTAAGCCGAAGGGCCCTGTCGACGTCGAGAAGCAGTGTGGTGTTACGCTACCGAATGGCGCGCAGTGCGCTCGTTCCCTGACTTGCAAGAGCCACTCTATGGGCGCCAAGCGATCGGTGCCTGGGCGTACACTACCATACGATATGCTGCTCCAGCAGTATCAGAAGAAAAACCAGGCTCGTCAGCAGAGTAAGCAAAACCTCTGCTTCACATATTTGTATTTTGCATTGGCAAGACTGACTTAATATGATCACAGAGGCCGCCATCGATGCCAATGCTCCTTTGCAAGAAGACATTGAAAACACAGGCCCTATTGACTCTGACGAAGAGAGAGATTCCGTCATGGCAGCTATTGCTCGCTCAGCACCTCAACCTCTCGTTCAACATCCGTTAATCACCACCAAGTCGAAGTATCGATATGTCCGTATCAAAGAGCAGATGTCACATGCCATGGGAGTCCGGAGTGGCGGTGGATTATTCTCCAACGATGAAAGCCAACCACTTTTTGGAAGTCAGCTCTTTGGACTCCCTTCTGCTGATGTCGAGTCTTCTTCCGTAGACGCTCACGGAGAAGTGGATGACATGGATATCGGTGCGAGGACCGCCGTTCCAGGTGTACGCAAGACCCCAATCACGGCAGGCTAATTGGCCCTATTCTTCATGACTTACGACACTCTTTTCTGCGCGGTTGATGTGTTCTTATTTACTGGATATTGGATGCTGGCGTTCATTGGCACGCATCGAGCACCACACCGCTCTCTAATCTTTTTTTGTTCTTCGGTTTCCCTGGATATGCCCTAGGTTCAGGCTGGTTCTGTTTGGTTTGAAAGGTGATGACATGATACCCCGGCGTGATACTACATTTTGAACTTGGAAAGTAGAATCCACCTCTTTATGCTATATGCATTGAGACAGCTGTACTATGTATGAGTTGACAAGTTGATTAAAGTACTTTCATATGCAAGAACAAGTAGGCATTATAATCATGTTCATATCAGATCGCCCTCGATCGAAATTCGATCAAATAACAGCTCCCTGAAGACTTCAAATGCTTTGTGAAGCTATTCACAGCTTCATTTGATATTACGTAATACTTATGCCTGAGGCATGAATACACCTCTCGTTCCGTTCGCCGATCTCATTGTCCTTCTGAGCTTGACTTTAATCTCAAAGACTCGCTGTTCACTTTGTTCAATTGCGAAGCATAGCCTTACCTGGTTCCTGTCCTTGCGATTGCGGGCGAGCCCAATTCGCACCCGGGGACCTCACCGAGCCCGATCCCCTCAACTGTCAACCTCCAAGCACCGTCGTCGCGCTACTCGTTCCAGTCTCAACATAGTCCAAAGGGACTCGAATCCCCCAACCCACCATGAGTCACGCCGTCCCCGACCTAGATGCTATAGGCATCAAAGCAGACCATGATCTGGCCGATCAATTCCGCCGCGAAGTCGCCAGCCTCCTCTCGCGCAACAACCTTAACTTCCCCGGTGCACAACCTGTCAGCTTCTCGTCAAAACATCTGACCGAGCTGCAGCGTGAGGACTACTTCGTATGTGAGAAGACAGATGGAATCCGCTGCTTGATGTACTTTGCGCGCGGAGATCCCAACTCTGAACAGCCTGAAATTCACTATTTGATTGATCGCAAAAACGACTATCGATACGTACCAGGCCTGCACTTCCCGCTCCCCAACGATGATACCTTCCAGGGATTCCACGTCGACACCCTGGTCGATGGCGAGCTTGTCAACGACACCTATGATGACGGAACAACTCAACTAAAGTACCTAGTCTTCGACTGTCTAGTACTAGACGGGCAGAGCTTGATGCACCGTACACTGGATAAGCGACTAGCATATTTCAAGGAGAAGGTACTCAAGCCTTACAGTGCCATGTATCGCAAATTCCCCGAGGAGAAACAACACCGGGCTTTCGCCGTCGAGGACAAATCTACGCAATTCAGCTACGGGATTGAAATGATGTTCCGCGAGATCATTCCCAAGGTCAAACGCATTCACGGAAATGACGGCCTGATCTTTACCTGTCGCAGTACCCCATACCGCATTGGCACAGACGAGCACATCCTCAAATGGAAGCCCCCACAGGAAAACACCATTGACTTCCGAATGCGCCTTGAGTTCCCGACCCTCGAGCCAGATACCGAAGACGAGGCCGAGGGCATCCACGAACCTTTCCTGGATTACGACGCTCTCCCAATTTGCCATTTGTTCGTCATGCTTAGTGCGGGCGAGTATCGCCATTTCGGAGAGTTATACCTGGAGCCGAAAGAGTGGGAGGATCTCAAAGCTCTCGGCGTTCCCCTCGATGATACGATTGTGGAATGCGCCAAAGATACAGAGGGCCGATGGCGGTTCCATCGTCTCCGTGACGACAAGAACGATGCCAACCACATTTCCACGGTTGAAAAGGTTCTTGAAAGTATCGAGGATCGCGTCACTGAAGAAGACCTCATTCGTCTGGCCCCTGTCATTAAAACAGCTTGGAAAAAGCGCCAGCAAGGCATGGCTGCTGGAGACGAGGAGAAAAAGCGGAGGGCCCAGGGGCCACCTGGTAACCCTAATGGAATCAAACGAAAGTTCGAGGAATGATATGAAAACCAAATGGAGCTTTTGCTCTGGTTCATTGCAAGGCGTTTGGTGCTTGGGGGCGATCTTTGTATTCTACTCAAATCGGATAAATGGAGGCTGGAAGACCGTGAATGGCCTCCAGGGCTTCTTCTACTAAGCTCAATGTATACTCATGTTTAAATAAATGGCTGTCTACACATTATCTATAGATACATCCATAAATGTCTTTCTTAATGTCTCTACAGATGTTCTTTGTATAGAGGCTCAATGCGGAAAAGATTACGTAACTCAGAATTCAGGCGGCGGTTTGCTCCCTTTCCCGCATCATCACCCAGGACAGGGAACATCTGCTTCCATCATCCTCATCTCTGTTCTCGCTTCAATCTGTATTGTCCAGCAACATGGGCGTCCGAGATTCCCACGGGGAGACGACGGGGACGCCCGACCCCGTCGAGAAGGGCTTCGCCACTCTCAACACCATCAGGTATGATCTTTTTTCGCCAGGAAAAATTTCCCTGCGGATCCATAGGGCCACTTCTATCGGGCGCGTATACTGATTATTTTCATAGAATCGGCGTGAAGGCCATGGTGCAAAAGGTTTGGACTCCTGTGGCAGATTCTGGCGGTTGTGTCACGTGACTATGATTTCACGGGCCTTATACTAACTGGTCACAGGATGGAGAGCTGAGAAAGGCTGAAATTCTGTCTATCAGGCAGCGAAAGGATGGTCCCTCATTCTAGTATGTTTGTTACTTATGACTATACTATCCGATTCTAACATATATACTAGTGTCCACTATGTTGATTTCAACAAACGTCTTGACGGTAAGTTCTAGCTGCTGGGCATACATTCATTTCCCTAGCAGAATCCCTCTAACTTTGCTCCAGAATGGGTTGCATCTTCAAGGATCGACCTATCTCAAGAGGTCGAATGGCCTCAGCCAGAGAAGGCCGATAAGAAGAAGGCCGCAGCAGCCAACAAGGCAGCGCCTAGCAAGAACACAAGTGCGAACAAGCGTGCCCGGGCTGATAGTCGCGATATCTCACAAACACCTGATATCCTGGGTGGTAAGAATGTGAATGTTGGCAAGGCCTCACGGCCCTCAAAGGCTGGGGGCAAGGAAAATATTGACACCCCCGGCGATACCACGGTGTCGTTCGCTTCCGAGGGAGTCTCGACGGTTGGCACGCCTAAAGCCACTGACTCTGAAGACGTTGAAATGGCCGATGGCCCTACTGAAAGCCAATCGATGAAAGAGGACGAAGTCCAAACAGCCTCAGGCGAAGTCATCACCCGCGGAGAAGAGATTGAGCGACTGCGTACAAGTGGTAGTATGACTCAAAACCCCACGGAGATTCATCGCGTGCGAAACCTGACCCGTCTCCAAATGGGCAAGTACGACGTCGAGCCGTGGTATTTCTCTCCATACCCGGATTCATTCTCCGACGTCGACCTAGTCTACATCGACGAGTTTTGTCTCGGCTACTTCGATAACCAGCGTGCCTTCGAGCGTCATCGCTCCAAGTGCACCCTTACCCACCCACCAGGCAACGAGATCTACCGCGACGATAACATTTCCTTCTTCGAGGTTGACGGTCGTCGCCAGCGAACCTGGTGCCGCAACCTGTGTCTTCTGAGTAAACTCTTCCTGGACCACAAGACTCTCTATTATGACGTTGACCCCTTCCTTTTCTACTGCATGTGCACCCGCGACGAGACAGGTTGTCACCTTGTCGGCTACTTCTCCAAGGAAAAGGACTCTGCCGAGGGCTACAACCTTGCCTGTATCATGACTCTACCTCAATACCAGCGCCGCGGCTTCGGTCGTCTCCTTATCTCTTTCAGCTACGAGCTCAGCAAGCGCGAAGGCAAGCTCGGGTCGCCCGAGAAGCCTCTCAGTGATCTGGGTCTCTTGGGTTATCGACAATACTGGCGCGAGACACTGGTAGATCTCCTCATTGAGCCTAACCGCGAAGCTATGAGTGAGAACGAGCTTGCCGTGTTGACATCCATGACTGAAAAGGACGTTCACGAAACCCTGGTTGTCTTCAACATGCTTCGGTATCATGTGAGTTGAAACCACTTTACATAGATGGTTTGATGATTTTCATTTGCTAATCGACTTACAGAAAGGTAACTGGGTCATCGTTCTGACGGACAGCGTTGTTGAAGAGCACGAGAAACGACTCAAGAAAGAGGAGATTAAGGGCGCACGCAAGATTGATCCCGCACGTCTCCAGTGGAAGCCTCCTGTTTTCACTGCTTCCAGCCGGACCTGGAACTGGTGATGTGTTGCTTTCCTTCTCTGCTAAATATGGGATTTATGGCGTTCATTTCATCTGGTTGGTTATCTAATGGGCTTGGGGGCGTTTGTGGACGTCAAAAGTAGTCGACTTGTCGACTCATATGGAAATGGCGTTTTATCCTGCCCCGAGAGGATGTGTAATTTTTTTATACCTATTTACTGTTTTGTACACTATTCACCTCAAATTTCTACCATAATCAAGTGACCAAAAACTGAAGAGATCTAGCCCTAAGGCCTCGATAGTCTAGAGCCAACGATCCAACGCTCCGTCATCGAAGTATACTCCCGAGGTTAAATCTTCAAGTCAAACTCCGCATTTTTGACGGGATTTGAGGGCTCTAGATCATTTCGGGAAGATATTGGTCCATCAATCAGTTCTCAAATTGGTAGTTGGGTGGTTAAGACGATGATTGAGGGCCAAAAAGACGGTTAGAAGAAGGCTTCAGTGACCCAAGTCTTGAGACGTTGAAAAGCTTCATTGTCGTCAAATTCTGACTTGGAGATATGACCTCGGGAGTATACTTCGATGACGGAGTGCACACCTAGGTAGGTACGTATGGATTCACTGGCTCGCGGTTACGGGTGTTACTGGTTTACGGTCTAGGTTAAGTAATGGAAAAGCAGGTTAAGTTTAAAAATGATTCACTAGACTTGTGAATATCGAGGTTGATCCAGCCGTGTACTCGGAGCGTAGGTAACGTGAAACAGCTTGTTCAGAACAAAGCATGCAACCACGACTTGAGGCGAGAATGGCATGCGAACAGGGCGCTGTATCGGTCGACAGGTGTCATACACACATCGCAAAGCCAACAAGGCTGTAATTGTAATCCTGAAAAAAGGCGGGGAAATAGGCACAGGGGTGATCGGGGACAGGAAGAAAGGGTAGGTACATCTCAAGACACACATCGTTGGGTTGACGCCAGAGGTATCATGTCCGAACCGGGAAGAGCGAGGGGATGGCAAGAAGGGCCATTGCCCCTACTGTCGATTATTCGAGTAGTAGAGTCGAACCCGAAAGAAGATGCGAAGAACGCTGGCGATATGCAACGCTAGAAAACCTTAATGTGAAGTAGGTCCCCAGCTCGGCTTGCTGGACTGTTGTCGTGATCCTGTGTTGGAGGTAGGCTTCTCGAATTTGGTCCTAGGTGCCTCCCCAGGCTTGCTATTGCCCTTGCGAGGTCGGTTGTTGTTATTGTTGCGGGGTCGATGTGGGCCAGGCTTGCGTGGAACGAGGAACACCACAGGCTCAATACCCCCTGGAAGGAGGACTGTGGCTCGCATATTGCCATGGTTATCACGATCAGTCTGTCCAACCACGAACGCCGCAATGCTCTGAGAGTAGACCTGCCTGATGTTCTTACGAAGTTGTCGCAAGGGAGGAAGTGGTCCCCATGAATTGGGGGGTGCCATGGTGGGAACACGGACAGCAGGCAAGGAGCCTGGCTCGCGATCTTCAAACATTTCATCCTGTCTTTCAACTTGTTCAACCGCAATATCACCGTCTCCTTTCTGTGATCCAAGCTTAGTTCGAGGGATCGAGACGGATACCGCAGCAGTGTGAACTGACAAGGCTTCCTTAGTAGCGGGAGTCACAGCGAGCACGTTCTTGTTGGGTTCGGATTTGAAGAGACTGTTGATCTTTTCTTGCCACGAGATGGCGGTCGAAGTTCGAGGCATCGCGTTGCGGGGAGGAGCGGCTGCCATGGAAGCGAACGTGGGCGGAGGCGCCGGGGCGCTCACGACCTTTGGTGGAAGCTTCACGACGGGCTTGGGAATAGGGAGATGCACGTGAGGGCGGCTCGAATCCCCAAAGTAGACCGGGTGGCTTGAAACCTCCTCAGGGGGAGGAGGTGAAGGGCTGCCACTGCGCTCCCTCTCGACGACCTGGCGCTTGGGCTGCTGCTCGGTGGCAGAGGGGAAGAACCGGGAGCTGCGAGCAGGCGGAGGACCAGAACGATTGAGATCAGATGATGGGAGCCCATCCACAGGAGCAGCGACAGTCAACGGGTTAGACAGCGGCTGCACGCCCGGCTCGGAAGTTGCTTCCTCCTTTTTGCTCACAACCGTGCGAGTGACTGAGCTGACGACACGTCGGCCTTGGTCGTTGGATTTGATCTGTTTCCAGGTTTCATTGAAGGTAGATGGGGCCGTAACATGCTCGCCCTTCTGATGCGTCTTGTGGAAATGCTCCATGAAATTCTTCTGGTCCTGGCGTTCACTTTCGCCTGCATTTTCTGCGAAGGAGTTCCAGGCATCCACTGCACGAGGCTGCTGTGCGTTCGGTGGTCCGATGGGACCGGGACGACCGATGGGATGCAACGGGTCAAATGAGGTGTGACGTGCCTCGGGTGAGGGTAGACAGGCAGCTTGCTCCGGAGCAGCAGCAACGAAGTTGGGAGGACTAGCCATGGCTGCTTGATCGAATCCAAGCTGACGTAAAGAATTCTCACGGGAAGAGAAACCAAGAGGTTGGTCGAAAATGCCGTTTCCGAGAGTGGGTGTGCGATCACTACCCAAGGGTTTCCACGGGTTCTTGACTGTGGGGGAGGTTGTAGTGATGCTTGGGTGAGACCAAGGCGAGGTAGACACTTTCAAGTTGTTTTGTTGCCACCTTTCTTCAGGTTGACCGTTTGACTTGACAGGGGAGTTGGGTGCAAGTGGTTCGCGTGGAGTGGGGGTTTCCTGGTTGGGAGAAGAGACACGTCGAGTGAAATGTTTGTGGCCGTCAGAGGGCCGGTCGTGAGCACCAACAAGTTTCTTGACAGAGTCTGGATGATGCACTTTCATCATACCATACTGCTTTGGTGCACCTGTTGGCTCTGGGACGGGAGGTTTGGGTGGAGGTGAAATGGGGTGAGTGGATTGGTGCGAAGTGAGAGGAGAAGAGTGAGGGTGAGGATGAGAGTGAGGTTGAGGTGAAAGTTGGGATGGAGGGGCAGGAGGAGTACGTGACTCTGGGGCTTTTTTCTCTGGCGCAGGTCCCATCGCCTCAAGTCGCTGTCTAATCCGCTCTTTCTTAGCAGCTTCTTCTTTCTCCTCTTGCTCAATCCTGCGTTGTCTCGCCTCTAGACGCTTCTCCTTCATGATACGCTCTTGCAAAACAACAGGATCCTCTGGGGGAGGAACCGCTGGCTGTGTCTCTGGAGGCGCCTCCACAGGAACCTGATCGGCAGACCGTACAGTCGTCCCATTTGGTCCTGGCGGGTGAGAAATCTCCTCTTTGCCGTGGTACTGGTGGTGGTACTGGTGGTGGTGCTGCTCGGGACCCATCAACGCCGGATCAATTATTGTTTGAGAGCCCCTTCGGCCGTCGTTCATTCTTGGTGGTGCATCATGTCGACCGAAAGACATTCTACGACCGAAGCCTCCGCTGCCACCGCTCACATTCGACGAGGTACGACGACGACCGCCCCAGCCCATGCCGTCCTGGTGGCTTGACCTGTGCGTCTGGAAAGCAGCGGATGGCTCCGCTGGTCCGCTTGGGTGATCATTAGCTCTCTGTAATACGGCAGGAGCGCGGGGATGCGGGTGCTGGTCATGGCGCCATGAAGGCCTCCTGGTCTCTGCCACCGGTTCGTATTGACCAGACCGCGAATTGAAAAGCTCCCGAGGGGCCCCAGATTGGAATTCTTTCCATGTACGGTTGAAGTCATCAGCGGCAATCTCCTTTGGCGGTGCATGGAGACCATCGTCCCTGTTGGGGTGATGCCTCACGGGCATGCGTTGTTGCTGAGGAGGTGCCATCGGGCCATTGACTGGAGATACCCTCTCGACAGGAGGCAGAGGGGCCCATGGAGATTTGGATGGTGGTGCTGGGCTTGTGGAGCTAGAAGGAACCTTGTCATTCGCGCCCTTCAAGGATGCACCTGCAGTCCTCGCCTGGCGTTCTGCGTTCGCTCCAAGTTTCAGGATGGTCGGGTTGGGCCCAACAGAAGTTGTGAGCTTCGGCGCAGCTTGGACCTTTGGCGCAACAGGAGCTTCTTTGGGTGCCTGTGCCTGTGCCTGTGTCTCCTTGGGGGCTTCTTTAGGCTCTGGTAGGCTTTGCACCGGTTGACTTGGAACTGGTGGAGGATCGGCATGACCATGCGTTAGATTGACCTTGGTTCCATCCGTCCACTCAATCGTCTCGGGGGCCCAATCATCCTCGTCGTCGTCAATATCCGCCCACTTGGCTTCTGAGGTCACAGCTCCATCTTCCTGAATGCGAGAAGTCATATGAATTCCATATTGCTGCTTCAACTCTTCGTCGGTCAAATGCTTTGGGGGTGGAGGCGCAACAGCTAGATCCGCAGGTGAACGTTAGCTCGAAGCAATTCACGCTTGATTGGTAGATACATACGCCGGTTCTTATTCCAGACCTGATTTGGATCGGGCCCTGATCCGCTCGAGTTGGCTCCACCAGCTCCATTCTTGGAAAGCGAATCACGCATTCCGAGTGTGGTCTTTGCGACCAAGCGCGGGCGGGAGCTTGGCTGTGGGGTACCTAACGGTGTTGTGGATGTAGATGGGGCTAGAGAGATGTTAGCGACAACACCAACAGAACGATTAACGGCAGGGTGACAGTACTTTTCTCCGGCGCCTTCGGGGGTGCAGGAGCACCTGGAACCTTGGGCACTGAGAATTTCTGCTTCGCAAAGGAGACTGGCTTGAACGAGCTTGGCTTTTTAACAGAGCCATTGCGCGTGTGATTCCTGCTATCCGTTCGACTCGCATCCGATTCTGAACCGCCTTGTGACGCTGTGTCGTCGCCTCCGCCATCTGAAGCCGAGGCCAATCCGTTGAGCTCAAGCACCCTGGTCGCAACAAGTCCAGTGCCCTATTTCCCCGCAATATTAGCCAGTGCCTATGAGCGCATCCTGGGTCAACCCTTACCGTTGTACGGCTTCCGGTATCCTTGTCACTGCTTGTTCCTTCTCCCTGTGAATCAAACGTGTTTGTTGTTCCATGGCCATTTGGGGTTTCGTCGTTAGATGTAGTGTTCATTGCGATATGTTCGGTCTTCCCCACGTCCCCTCCAGCAGATGGTTTGTCGTTGGTGCTCGCAGGAACGTCGGAAGGCGAAGGCTCGCCGCCCGACAGGGTCTGATCTACCACATCGCGGCTGCTCTGCTCTGCCATAACAATACTCGATTCTGCTCACGAAAAACAGTGCGACCCTGTCAGTAAAGTTCCCCAGGGGTTGGAAGATGGTTCCGGAGATGTAACAGGCAGCCGCAGCTCAAGCGTGCGATCTGTCCACGGAGCAACGTACCTATCGTCAGATATCAAGGATCGCCACGGTTGCACTGCTTCCTTGGCTGGTTGCACCCTGAAGATATGGGATATTGCAACCAGATATGGTGTCAGGTCAACTCTCGGGGGAGCTGAGGAGAACGGCCGTGTCTAGTTGGGTAGCACGGTCGCGGAATAGGCGCTTGTTAAAATGCGCAGCCCAGGATGTCCCAGAAAGGGGAAAGGGAAAGGAAGGGGGGATTCTGCGGAAAGAGTATTGATGATAGGGAGGGATGATACAAGATTCAAGAGTCAACTCGGGTTGAAGCTGAGTGTCGCTGTTTTCGGTTTAGCGTGGTCCGGGAGAAAGTTGTGATGTCTGCCCACATCTCACCACCCCGAAAGCCCTAAATCAGGTGGATTTACTTGTATGCTGGAGAATAGAGACTGTTGGTCTTATGCAAATGGAGTGAATACAAAAGTGTGCTGAACATCGCAGTAAAACGAAAGGAATCTGAGGCAAGAGCCATCACTCCTCTGCCTTGCTATGTCTATGGATCATACTGATACTGGCTAGTTCATATGGATCTGAGCATCTGAAGAAAGAAGATCTGAATATTGAAACATTGTTATTCCTTAGGACCACGGCATTCCCTTGTACTGGGACAGAGAATTCAGTATATACATCGATCCTCTGCTGAGGTGGAAAGGAACAATCTAGTGGGGGTGGTTCTTGTGGTGACCTGTTCGAGACCAGGTTAGTATCAGAGGTCCAAGTGAGTGAGAGAGTTGATCGCAAAGCATGACGTACGCAGGTGGAAGTAGTACTCCATGCTGTAGCCGAGGATCAGGATACCGGCAATGGCGTGCACGAAGGCTGCAGTCGTTAGTATACCAGTTTTCGATTCCGAGCGACAAGGGACAGGAACATACGAGCACCGGAGGCGTTCTTGCCGCTGAAGTAGCGGGCGCGGTAGCGACCGATCAGACCGGAGGCCTTGGCGGGGGCAGCAGGGCCACGGGGAAGGCCAGCGTAGAAGTTCACAACACGCTCCATGCGGGCGGCATCCTGGGCGGCACCAATGGCCTGAATCAATGTTAGTTGTCGCTCAACTGCATTTGATGGTGTCGCAGGCTTGCACGAAAACAACTTCGGGGCCGAACGGGTGTGGAAGGGGTGCGCGAGATCGGAGACGGCAGCGCATTATAGACTCACGTTGGGAGAAGCGACCTTGACATTCTTGTTAGCTTTGGGTCCGAGAGTATAGGGCGGTATAGATTTGTCTCGAAGGGTGGTCTTACCTTGGGGGGAATCAAGGTCGAGAGACCTCGGCGGGCGATGTAGCTCATCTTGTCTAGGCTGGAAATGGTCAGAAATTGGGCGCACTAAGTAGAGCGGCTCTCAATGAGCATTTTCGAGAGACCAAAAATAAGGACTTACGTTGATTCGCAGCGCAAGTGAACCAAAGAAAGCTGATGAAGGAGGAAGGAGGAACAAACCGAGCCCTGCGGGTGGTCGGAAAGCCAAGCCCACGCTAATCCCCATTCGGCGGTGTCGTGACTTGCCTGCAATTCGCAGGAAACCACATCGGAACGTGAATCCTCACTGGCAACCACCATTTCCCCCGCAAAGCAGTCACAATGTCGCTCTTCAGAATTGGAGGTGCTGCTAGCCTCCGGGTCAGCCGATTTGCTGCGCCCGTCAATGCCCGCTTCGTCTCCAACATTCCCAATGGCATCAAGACCAGCACCAAGGATGCTCCCACCACTCCTAACAAGGACAGCTCCTTGATCAACCAGGAGTCCCCATCCGAGGCTATGACCCGTCACCAGCCGGATTACGAGGCTACCATCGACCACGGCACCTCGTATGCAAACCTCCTGGCCCCGAAAACAACTTTTGCTAACCCATTGAGCAAGGCAATTTTCCCCAGTGCCCAAGCGCGTCATGGACGGCAGCGAGCCCGGTGACTCTCTTCCCGGCGCCGTTCTCTCCGGCGCTCCCACCGATCTCCAGGCCCGTACTGTCCGGTATGAACGCCCTCTGCAGCATGCAAACTCTCCTGCTAACTGATATTACAGTATCTACCGCCCCACTAAGCCCGCGACACAGTCTGGTACCTGGCACCAGCACCACTGGCGCATGGACTGGGACATCTTGCAGCGCGGTCACCGCTGGGAGAACCCTCTCATGGGCTGGCAATCGTCCGCCGACTGCATGCAGGGCACCAACATCAAGTTCAAGTCTAAGGAGGACGCCATTGCCTTCGCCCAGAAGCAGGGCTACGAATACTTTGTCCAGGAGCCTAACGAGCGTCGCTTCGTTCCCAAGTCCTACGCGAACAACTTCCTCCACGAGCCCAAGAAGCTCAAGCATATCAAGACCAAATGATCTGACCTTCGTGCTATATTTTGTACATATTACCAGTTGCTTGAATCACTTTCGAAAATCGCCTCCTTCAAATTGATAGATCCACATGTTTACTCCGGGTTTTCCTCTACAGACTCAACTCAGAGGTATGAATATACGTCTGTCCATGGTGGTGCCTCCTGGCTTTGCTTGTGGATGTAACGATGTTGTCCACCATCATCTGAGTATTCATTATGGTTTCCTCGCTTTTGCCAAGGTCGGCCATTCCATTCACCTTGGTATCTACATGACTATATTGGGTGCAGTACTAGAATATTGGCTTTGGACTGCAGAGTCCAGAAAGGACATCAGGGAGAGAGAAAAGAGATCAGCAGTAGTAGGGACATGGAAACTTCTCCCAGGCTGGATGTAATCACTGAGGGTATCATCACAATAAGGGAAAACCTTGGAATCCTTCCAAGGTTGCTTCATGCTACTCTAATCTCATATCGGGGGAATAGTTAGACGTCAATGCAGCTGCTCGACCCACCAACGATCTATTGGCCGGGTTCTTTTCCCTCCTTCAAGGGCCCAAAAATGCCTGTCCACAGCTCACTTGCTTCTCCCAAATGGTATGACAAGTCCACATCCGCCAAGCTGGCATCCTCCCCTCCAGTCAAAGTCTCGAGCTGCGAGATCAGATTCTCCAATCCAAATGCTTTACCAGTAGCCTGTGTTGCACCAGCCTCAAGCATGACATTCACCACGTGAACGTGGAAGTGGTAGTAGGTCGGTTGATCTAAATGTGGTGATTAGCGAAGGTATTCCAAAATGAAGATCAGGCTCTAGCCTTCGGGCAAAAAAGAAAAAGACTCACAATGAACATAGAGCTTCAATTGGTCTTCCTCCAAATTTGGATACATGGAGACCGTGGCTTCGAGAACACGCTTCCGTAAGTACTTCAACCAAGGTACATGACTTTTCTTCAGGTCACGCAAGCTCCAAATATCGCGTCTGTGCAAAAGTGCCAACAGATGCAGCGATCCCATTGTCTTGCGGTCCCAATTGAGATCGGGCAGCATCAAGAAAGCATCGTCGGGGCCTTGTCCATCATCTCGCATGATGACATCTTCTTGTTCGGTGCGTCCTTCAAGAATGTTAAACACCCAGTTCAACCGCCCTTCCTCGCGCTTTTCTTGCATATACGGACGGACATGGTCACGGTAGATGGCCGGAGTCTCGGTGACCATGCGCAGCTGCTGGTCGGAGTACTTCTTGATGTGGGATGCTGTGCATGGCCAGATGAGGTTTAGTTTGAGATCTTGCTGAGGCGGAATATACGATGCTGCTTCGGCAGGGGTAGGGGCCTGATCGGCTGTGCTTTTGCCATTGGATGAGGCGAGGTACCAACGATAGATATCGTTATCACCTAGATTGTTGACCCGTGTAATTGCGGCATGGAAGGCTTGAAGCACCGAGAGAGATTCTGTGGCAAAGGCAGCACGCTCAGCAGTTAGGATGCCCTGCTCTCCATCAATTGTGCCCAGGAGGGAAATTCGGCGGCCATGTTGGTCTGCGGGGTGCTTTGTTCAGTGCCAATCTTTGCATTGCGGGGTCTGGGCTGTGGGTTGCGCGGGCATACCCTGTTTGAGGAGCTTTTCCACTTGGAACTTGGAGATAAGGGCCTCGGGGGCAAGCTTTGTTGATTCAGGGTCAGCCATGATGCTCTACACAATGAATTCAAGTCGAGCGTTGACTTTGTGAATCTGGTGGGCGGTCAGGCTTATCAGTAGATGTGACGTCGGCAGATCAGATCCAAAACACGAAGATATTCAATGGGGAGGATACTTGGTTAGAAGAAGAGAGAGAACTATTAGGGTGAGCATCTGATGTATACTTAAGTCTTAGATATTTTGTGCAAACCACAAAGGGCAAACATGCAAAGGGCAAAGACCATATGATGGCAACTATCACAGTATATAGATCCCGATCTATAAAGATCTTATTATGCTCCAGGTTTCTAAGTTGGATCATGATATGCAGCTGGCAAGATCTGCCTCTCATCCATGTCCACCTTCAGTCTCTGTAACACCGAGCCTGGAGGCCACACTTGAGCAGTCAGCAGTCCAAGTGAAAAGTATCACGGATGATAGCTCGGCTTTTTTGTACCATACTCAATCGCTTTTTTCTAAGTGCAACCATAGCAAGATCCTGTTGAGGAAACTGAATAGTAGTTGAGTGGTCAGTCTCTAAATTCTGGATATAATGCATTAAATTCAACCATAAGATATCCCCCAAACACCTCGAATTGATCGAGCAGTGACTCAAGCAGCAGTCTGCTTCTCAAGACTCGCTGGCGTCGGATTTGTGTGCAGCTGGAAATAGTCAGCACGGCAACTAGCAAAGTAAATCCAGTAGCTAATCTTGAGAACATACTGCTTCCGCAAATTGCAGCCACTCCTCTACACCCTTGACGAATGTATCATCGGCAGCGGGCACAGTTTCGTGCCCCCATACTACAATGTCATCGAAGGTGCCCTGTGTCTCGAGGATCTTGACTGGCTCTTCCATCTCGGATTCATCATGGGCGTTATCGTTGTCGGGTTGCTGGGTCGGAGGTAAGACACGGTCTGTCGGTACCGCAACAACGCCTGGAATAGCACATGTACATAGTCAGTCATCACAAGCCACTAAATCTTGATAGCCCAGGCCATCTGTAGGGCGTTTTTTTCGGATTTGTTCGCACCTTGATAGCCATCAGGAAGGGCGACGCGCCGACCTCGAAGCTTGCGCCCACGGAAATGCGATGTCTCTGTGTTATCTAGACATTGGGGCGGGTGTTTAGTATTTATTTGCCTGGGCTATAAATTGCAGGCGATTCTTTGCTTTATGGAGTCGCAAGTACCTTTCTCATCTTTCAAGGGCAACCAATACCGGTCCAGCGACTCGACCGGCCCATCGTGGTGCACACGACAGGGAATGATATTTGGTGTGTAATGCAAGGTCGAATTGTCTTTCTCAGATGTAGCCTTCGGGCTTTGGATTGCATACATATCGGGCATTGTGTCGTTATTGCGTTGTGGAGGTGTTGAAGTTGTTCAAGTTGAAAGGACCGGGAGCGCGACGCGTGCTCCGCGTTAAGTGGAAATCTCAACTTCTACGAGGTCGGCCACCCAAATATTAAGGAGACATCGTTTTTTTTAACAGAATTCTGCAATAAATCGAGTTTGATTTGTGAAATGCTTATGGAATACAACAGTACAGTTAAATTGATGAGAATTGTGGGTATACATGCATATAAGCCTCAACTATACTCCGAGGTATCGTTTCACCTCTTACGAGTGGTCTTCTTCTTCTTCTTTTTCTTCTTCTCGCCTTCTCCCTTTTCCCTGGGATCGGCAATCATTCGTGCAGGCCATTTCTTCAAATGTTCACGCTCGAACGCATCCTTCTCGCGCCGGTAAAGAGCCATCGTAGCCCTCGCATCTTCAACACTGGAATGGGCCCCGTCTTGAATCTTCAACCCCAAGAATTCCTCCGCCAGGACCTTTAAGCGCGGCGATCCACCACCTGCAATTTTTCGGTATGGGGGATGTTTGCTTGTGTCCCGGATATCGCGTTTCGGATGACCGAGGAGAAGAGCGTCCAGATCGTTGCTGACGGCGTGACCCACGAGGATGCGGCCATTCATGATTTCTGCGATTTCCTTTTGAACACCCTCGAGTGTCCGAGCCTCGACCATGTGTTTCGGAGCAATTCCACTGACATGCGTACGCCAATCCGTAACCATCTCCTTGGGTCGTACGTATGAGTCGTATATTTGATCGCCATTGAAGTTGACTACACTGACGCGCGCGAGCACGGAGTCATGGTCCGGGTTCGGCCCTACACCGACCATCTCACAATCCATTGCGACATATTTTCCAAGTTCCGCACTGTGCGAAGTTAGTGAAATGAGTCTATGAGCTTCCGAGTTGTCCACTTACGTTGAGGAACGACCTTCATTTTCCTTGTAACGGGAGCTAGTCTCCGTTTTCACTGGAGCTTCCACATTTGATTTCCTTCGTGTAGCGGGCGTAGTAGAATCGCTTTCTGTCTCGGACATTCTCTTGCGTTTGAGAGGTGGCTTCGAGTCTCGGTATGGTTTCTTCTTCTCTGCCAACTTTCGCTTCTTATCATCTGCGTCGCGATCGGAGGATTTGCGTTTAGGGGAGTCTTTCTTCAGCGTCGCCTGTAGCTTCTTCCAATTACTGGAAAGAGCTGGCTTGTCCATGATGGTTGTGAGAAGGAAAGGTGAGAGAGATAAAAAGGCGATAAGCAAGTAAATTTTCGAGACCCACTTTTATTTGATAGCGATTGCGGTGTTCCCGGAGTATCTCCAGTAAGTACTAACTACAGGTAGTACATATATACATTGTCAAGCTGGTATAAAAGCTGATGTACTCTGGACGTTATCTTCGAACTTTAGAAATACATCTCTGGTTGTAATGAATTGAGAAAAATATATTTAAATTGGTCCTTGTGAACCAACATTATATGTAACAAAATGCACCCGCTTTTGAAAATATGCAGAATTATTCGTACCCAGTTCGGAAATCCTTCGCAGTCCACTTCTCTGTGATCTTTCTCTTCGCCTTGCGAGCCTGCGTGATGGGCGTACGAGACTCGAGTTTACCCTGAACGATCAATGTGCGGAATCTGTCGTCTAAGAGGTTGCCTTCCGGCTTCAGCAGACGCAGCGAGTCTTGCAGTTCGTCCGGAAGAACCAACTCCAATGGTTGCTCGGGAACACTAATGACCATGTTAGTTGCGAAATATATCAGTGAAGATATGAGGAAACATACGCCTTCTTTCCTCCGAAAGTCTTTCGGCGGAGGACAGTGTCATCACCCTCTTCAGAGTCATCCGCATCTGACTGGTTTTCACCGTCCTTCTCCTTTTGCGCAAGTTCTGCGGTAATCTTGGCGATGTGTTCGGCCTGGGCCTCTCTCTTCTGCGTTTGAGCCTCCCACTTCGCTTTGCGCTCTGCCTCCTTGCGTCGCTTGATCTTGTTGCGCTGCACTTTGGTCTTGCGCTCAGGGCGCTTCTTGTTAAGCCACTCTGATTTCTCGTACTCGCTCTCGAAGCCTTCCCAGGCGCTCTCATCATCGGACTTCACCTCGCCATCATCGTGACGGGCCTCTTCAATCAAACGCTGCTTCTCAGCTTCCTTGGCTTCTTCTTCCAAGCGCTTCTTCTCGGCCTCAACTGCTTGGGCGCCGTGAGTTTCCAACAGACGATCCCACTCCTCAAACACGGGGTTGTAACTGGTTCCTGCGTGCGGCATCTTGACAGACGGAACAGCCTTTCCGTTGGCAGCAAGTGAGATCGGGGCATGTTTTAATGTGACGGGCTCAACCTTGGGCTTGGGCTTCTGCAGGAAATCAAAGCGAGGGTCGTCGTATGTGGTGCTGGGCTCCGCCTCCTCCGCCCAGGGGTCGTAGAACTCATTTTCAGTTTTCTTGCCGATAGGGTTGGCGTCTCTGGCAACATTCTTCAAGCGCTGGTATTCCTTTTGGCTGACCCAATCGCTCTTGGGCTTCTTGGTCTTCGGCTCAATGACTCCATCGGTGACATTAGCGTTGCCGCGCTTGCGTCCATCCAACGCCGGGATCATGGAACGCTTGAGAAGGATTTCGTCTGCTTTGAGGGGCTTGTGCTTTTTGGCGATAGACTTGCGCACATCTTCGTTACCGGTTTTGTCGATGATGAAAAGGTCATCGGAAGCCTTTTCAGTGACAAGACCACTATTGGATGAAAGTTAGACCTTTAATTCAGAGTGAAAGTGCCCCAAGGGCAAATAGATATAGCCTTACCCTTTGATCTCTGCATCGGTCAGTTGGCGCAAACCCTCCTGGACGTCAGTGACATCGACATTCTTGCGCCAAGCCTTCTTTCCCTTACGAGAAGGCTGCTTGAATTGTTTCGGGGCTTCCACAGAGGTAGACATTGTGAACAATAGTTGCAGACAAAGTCGTTGATATGAAAATTGACCCAAAGTTTCTTATCAGAAAAAAAAAAATCTGCTTACGCAGCACCCGCGGGGGCGGTGGGGGCGGCTATCCCGTCTACGGCGCTAGAGGCCGACTGCACGCAAACTCATCTTCGAGCTACCAGTGACGCGTGAACACCGTCCCGTGGGTTGTCATCTTCCATCTCACTGGAGACAGTCAAATTTTGCACCTTTATTCCCTTTGATCGTAGGGGAATTCTATCTACACTGAGCGCGACCGTACATCATGCCTGTCGTCAAAGGAGGTGTCTGGTAAGAAAGGCCCGGACGCAACTCACTTGTGCTCTATCGTCGCTAACATAATTTCAGGACCAATATTGAGGATGAGGTGCTTCGGGCTGCTGTAAGTATTCATGAGATGCGCTACATTCCGCCAATTATAGATGGGCCCAATACTGACTTGGTCGCAGGTCTCCAAGTATGGACTGAACCAGTGGGCTCGAGTTTCCTCGCTGCTCGCACGCAAAACACCGAAGCAGTGCAAGGCACGATGGATCGAATGGCTAGACCCTGGTATTCGCAAGACAGAGTGGTCGCGACAGGAGGATGAGAAACTGCTGCACCTTGCCAAGTTGATGCCCACGCAATGGCGCACCATTGCCCCCATCGTCGGACGTACCGCTACACAATGTCTCGAACGCTACCAAAAGCTCTTGGACGAAGCTGAGTCCCGCGAGAATGACGAGCTTGGATTGGGAGGACCCGGCGAGGAGAGCGCTGCGCCCAGTGCAGACGATGTCCGCCGACTACGGTATGTCATGGTTCCTCACTGTGTCACTGGACTTGCTGACCGTTTCTAGACCTGGCGAACTTGACCCCGATCCCGAGTCTAAGCCCGCCCGTCCCGATACGATTGATTTGGATGAAGACGAAAAAGAAATGCTGAGCGAAGCGCGTGCTCGTCTTGCTAACACACAAGGTAAAAAGGCCAAGCGCAAGGCCAGAGAGCGTCAATTAGAAGAGTCTCGACGTATGGCTGTCCTCCAGAAGCGTCGTGAACTCAAGAATGCCGGCATCAACGTTAAGGTTGTTACACGGAAGCCCGGGCAGATGGATTACAATGCAGACATTCCGTTTGAAAAGCCAGCAGCACCCGGATTTTACGATACACTCGAAGAACAAGATCAGAATGAGCGCCAGCGGGAGGCATTTGACCCCCGCAAGCAGCAACTTGCCAACAAGAGAAAGGGCGATCAAGACGACGACGCAGAGCGCAAAAAGCGCAAGAACGATAAATCAAGTGCCTCCGCCGCGTCGGCCGCGGCTCAACGAGCAGGGCAAATGCAAAAGATCCGCGAGGCCGAGCAGAGCACCAAGCGTTCGGCGCTGAATTTGCCCGCTCCCCAGGTTGGCGAGGCCGAGATGGAGGATATCGTTAAGATGGGACTGGCAGGCGAAAGAGCTAGTCAATTGACTGGCGACGAGGACTTCACCCAGGGTCTGGTGGGCAACTATTCCACCTCCCTTCTTGGAGACACTCCTATCAGAACCCCGCGGGCTGCCCCACAAGAAGATCACATTGCCAACGAGATCAGGAACATTCGGGCTCTGAATGAGACACAGTCTTCTCTTCTCGGAGGAGAAAATACACCATTGCACCAGGGCGACTCATCAACTGGCTTTGATGGTATCGCTCCTCGGGTACAGAACATTGTCACCCCTAACCCCATGGCCACGCCTTTCCGCCAGGCAAATGGCATGGGTGCCACACCCGGACCTAGTGCTACACCTCTGCGTACACCGCGCGACCATTTCTCCTTGAACCAAGGTGGTCAGTTAATTGGCAGTACACCCCGAGACATCAAAAACCACGAAATTTCTGTTCGCCAGCAGCTGCGCGGCAAACTGGCTTCCCTTCCTAAGCCGAAGACATCCGAATGGTCGTTCGATGACATCCCAGATGAGACCGCTGAACCCACTTCATCAATGGAGATCAGCGAAGAGGATGCGGCTGAGCGTGATCGCCGCGAACAAGAGGCCCAACAAAAGGCTGCGAAGGCCGAATTCAAGCGCCAGTCACAAGTATACCAGCGAGGTCTACCTCGACCCGCCGTTCTAGATTTGAACGCTTTGGTACAGCGTGCCTCTCAGGTCACTGGCGCCATTGAAGGCTTGATTGCCAACGAAGCTGCTGCCTTGATTGCACATGACTCTCGCCAATTCCCTGTTCCCGGGGCTCAGGTGGAAGGAAAGGCACCAAAGTTGCGCCAATTGGACGACCGCTTTTTGGACGCAGCACGGACTTCAATTGCTGCCGAGATTGCTTCCGAGGCGCAGCAGTCTGAATGGCAAGACAAGTTTGACGATGGCTGGTCCTCGGTTCGTGCCAAGTCTCTGCCTGGTCTTGAGAACTACGAAGACGATGAACAAGATCCATCCCAAGAGGAACAAAAATTCATCGGTGCCTTTGATACTGTCCAAACGGCCCTCTTCGCCACTGCAGAGCGTGGAAACAAGCTCGAAAAGAAGTTGTCTTTACATTATGGTGGATATCAAAACCGCGCCAAGACGCTGCGGTCCAAAATCTCAGAGGCTGGAACTGCTTTGCCCGCGGCTACAAATGAGCTCGATGCCTTCCGCACACTCCAGATCTCCGAAGAAGCAGCCCTGCCTCGACGACTGGAAGGTCTCAGGGAGGCGGTGTCATTTGTGATGCGACGTGAGCGTGAGGCCCAAGAACTGTACAGGAGCCGGAAGGAGGAGCTAGATGAACTTGTTGCCGGGACTGCTACCATCAATGGATGGCACTAAGTAGATCGGACTACCTTTTTTTTTGCGTGACCAGCACTTGACTATCTTGCAGTGCCGTCTTTTGTATCATTACTAGCAGTCTAATTTGACATATCAATGATGGCCATTGGCAAAGCAGCGTATTATCTGTTTACATGGTGTTCTGGAAGCTCTTTTTTAAATATCCAATTGTCTTTACTTTCAGAGGTCCTCTAATGGTTGTGCGTGTCAAGTATTTATGCCCCCAAATCCACGATCCTTTGATCTAGTAAAAGCTAGAAACGCCTCATTCGAATTGTCTGATTCCGGAGTAAAATTACGCTTTACTTTTGCAAATGGTAGTTTCAACACTTGGTTAATAGCAACTGTATAGATATTGATAAAAATGAAACAGTTGCTCGGTTGAATATTACCCAGTCTCGATATTTCTCGCACTCGCCGACTCCTCCTTGCCTATCACTGTGGATCCATATCGAACTACTCGGAGCTCAGTCATGTCAGAGTCACGCATGACGAGTTGATTCGGGGATTATATCACTTACCTCACAGCATCAGATCCGCATTCGAGTCACTGACCCTCAGCCCTAACTCGGAATCAAAGCAAGCGGCAATCGTATCGCACAAGATCACGCCTGATATCAAGTGGGATTCGAACTTGATTATGAAGGTTGTGCAACGCCTCGATCATGCGAATGAAAAGAACCGTATTGCGATCATCGGCAAGGCTCTCCTGGGAAATATTCTCGCGATGGCGGAAGTATTCGGCGACCTTGTGGCCATCGGCCTCGTAGAATTCGCGCGGAACGTCATGGCCCTTTGCATAGACGTGCAAGCTGAAAGGCACATCCCTGTGCTGAGCACTCATCTCAATGATGGTGGAGTAGTCAGTTGTCCAGCCATCCCAGTTGTAGAGGACGAAGATGCATTCGGTCTTGGTGTCGCGGGCATCGGCCAGTGCGGCTGCAAGGAACTTGGTGACGCGGCCGTTGGATGGGAGCCTGTGGTTCGACGGTTGAATGATTGTTTGAATCTTATGGGGGCGTCCTCCGAGGTTATTGTAGACCTTGCGATGCTCGGTGGAGGTCATTACCAGCAGGTTGCGTAGGTATTCATGCACCTGGGTGCTGGTGAGCGAGGCATTGGGGTATGGGTGATCCGACAGATCGGTAGCTCGTGCGATAAAGACCATCACAGCGCCCAAGGATGTATTCTTGGACGAGCCATTGGACTTGAGGGGTGACTTGGTCGTGTTGTGGTCTAGTGACGGTGGGGGAGGCTGGGCCTCCTTCGACTTGATTTGAAGCATGGGGGGCGTGCGGATGTGACGAAGCATGAGGTATCCAATGAAGTGAAGATCAGAAGAGGATCTGGAGAAGAAGAGAAAGTGAAGGAAACAAAGCAGAAAGTGATTGGGGAAAGCACCTGAGGGCGGAATCGTGGAACGTGTGGTTTGCCTGGTCTACGATGCGATGTCGAGATCTCGAGGCACTTGTATCAAGGGAACTTCAGATTTGAACATACAACGTGTTGATTGGTGAGCTACCAAACACGACTATAGAAATTTGAGAATAATAACATGAATCCATATCTTTACGCATTTCATCTCTTCTTGATGCTGATATCAATCTTTCCAACGCCCCAAGCGGCGACAAAGACTGTGACCATACCAGCGAAAAGAGTGAAAGGCTTGCGTAGAGCATCGAACATAGTGTGGTCGTAGGTAACCTGGAAATTATTAGCTTAGGTAAATACAAGTCAAAAAACGAGTTACATACCACAATGGTAGCATCACGAGCTTCGTCGGTCAAGCTATCGACCTCTAGGGTCAAAGTGGTTCGGCCCAAGGTATCCATGTAGGTCTGCAATGAGCTCAGGCTTGCTGAGATGTGGTTCGCACCAGGGAGGCCATTGCTGTTGGCACCCTCGAGAGTCTCGAAACGAACATTGTGAGATCCCTCGGGAAGAACAACACGCACAACAACACGCTCGTATTGGATTCCCTCCGCCATCTTGGGACCCTCGATGAGAGGGACCTTGAGAACGTAAGAGTCAGAGTCGACACCCGCAGCACGGCGCAGGAAGGAAGAAAGCTCGTTGTTCCAGCCGATCTTGAAGCTGTAGTTCCAGCCACCAAAGATAGGGTAACGAGGCTTCAACTCCAAGTTTGCGTTGTTCTTGCCTTTGCTGGGACGGTAGCGGCTGGTGGACACATTACCAATATCATCAACAAAGTAGGGGTCGACAGAGCCCGGCTGAAGAGGGTAGGTCAGCTCACGGACTGCTGATGTCGGTGCCTTCTGGTAGTTGGTGAATGTCCATTCAACACGAGAGAACTGGTTGGTCAGCTGCGAGCCATTGTTGCGCAGCCAGTAACGCTCCTCAGTGGCAAGGTTGCCGCCCCAGTGCGATACTTCCAGGTCACGCTCCAAGAGGTTCACGGTAATAACAGGCTTCGTGAATTGGTAGCGAACAGAGACTGGGTACTCGGTGCCCGGGGCCACCTTGGCGGTATCGTATGGGCCGTAAGTATAAGTGGCGCCCTTTCGCTCGGGGTCTGAGCCGGACTTGAGTCCCTCAGTAGTTGTGTAGTCAGGCACATCAGTGCTGGGGAACTTGAGCTTGGTCTTCTGGGTGACAGTCGTGTAGGCGGATGGGGTGTAGGCAGAGAATGAGTAGGACAGGTATTGCTTGTCGGCCTGCCCAATGGTCGCAGGGAGTGGGCTGAGAGAAGAGAGCACAGAGTACGATATTCCTAGGGTGATTTGGGATTTGGGAGCCAGAGGCTCGGGAAGGTGAACCACGAAATATTGGTTGCCACTGATTGAAATGTTAGCGTCGTGATCCGCTGAAAGGCCATAGCTGTGGCATTGCCCCAACGTGCCATTGGCACCCCATTTGATGCTCACCTAGATGATACAGCCTCAGTGGCATCTACATCAAAGCGCCCCTTCTCGGGTGCCTTCTTATCCCGCACTTCGAAGCCTCCAACAAGCTCAAACACCTCATCGGGGAAAGGGACATAGTAATCGCGCTGTGGCTGGCTGTCCACATTCTCCACCACAACATTGATGGTTTCCCTCACATAGCCCTTTTCAAGATTGGTGTTCCTAACCAGATTTGTGTTCTTGAACACTTGTGGGGGCTTGAAGTTGGATGCGAGATCCAGTCGACTAGGTGTCGTAAGGCTGGTTGCGGCGCACAGGCTGGGTGCAAGCAACCCAAGCACCGTTGCGGTGAAAAACCTCATGATGACTGTCGGGAGAAATCAATTGCTCCAAACAAAATAGTCATCCAAGATGTGATTGGGGATTTTGATGGAAGCTCTAGTTGCGAAGGGGACACATCAGCATCATACGGCAGGCGCAGCGGCCATAACGCGCACTCCGGCTTATCGATAAGACAAGCTTCTCCTCATCTTGGGATCTTTACTTCTTTTGCATTGCTCCTCAACCTACGAGATATTGTCAGTTGACTTTGGACTGATCTATATTCTCTTAAGAGGCCATGTTGAACCATACTAAGTTTGCTTCCCGGGCTCTCTTGAGGTCGGGTTGTTTGAGATCAGCTCAAACAGCCCAACTGTCGCGTGCTCGCCGGTACCATGACTTTGCCCAGAGCAAGTTCTTCAAGGTATCAGAGGAAGTGCGTGATGCCATTGCTACAGGAAAGCCAGTGGTATCACTGGAGACAACAATCTATACACATGGTGAGTCTGCCTGTCTATAACCCGAGAGATCAACAACTCTTAGAAGCGGGGATGCCAAGGCTGATCGGCTGCAGGTTTCCCATATCCCGATAATGTTGCACTGGCTACAATGCTGGAGTCCGTTGTTAGAGCCAACGGTGGTGTACCTGCAACTATAGGAATCGTCAACGGCGTGGCTAAGGTTGGTTTGAGTGGGAATGAGCTTATCGAATTGGCCTCCACAGCTGAAAAGAAGAGTGCTTTGAAAGTATCTCGGAGAGATCTGGGCTACATTTGTGGCATGGTAAGTGACTCTACTTACTTGTGACGGAGCATGTCATTTAAACTCACCTATGGCAGGGGCTGGTTGGTAAGCCAATGCATGGAGGCACAACCATCTCTGGCACTATGATTCTCTCGGAGCTAGCTGGCATCAAAATCTTCGGTACCGGAGGGCTAGGTAAACCCACTTGCCAGAACCAAACCAATGAATGTTCAATCTAACTGGTGATAGGTGGTGTGCATCGTGGAGCAGAGAACTCGATGGACATCTCTGGTGAGCAAAATTTTGACGGTAATACCACTGTCAGATCAAGGGCTAACGGACTTCAAAGCCGATCTCACTGAGCTGGGTCGTACTCCCGTGACGGTCATCAGTTCTGGATGCAAGAGCTTTTTAGACATCCCTCGGACGCTTGAATATCTCGAGACTGAGGGTGTTTGCGTTGGTACATTTGCCGATGGCCGCGAAGGCTCGGTTGATTTCCCAGCTTTCTTCACTCGAGACAGTGGATTCCGCAGCCCTCGAACCATCCAAGATGAAGCCGAAGCTGCTGCAATCGTTTGTAAGTTCGGTTTCCATTTCCAATGGACGGATCTATTGACGGTCTTTAGATGCGCAATCCAAACTTCCGGTCAAATCTGGAATTCACTTTGCCAGCCCTGTCCCCTTGGAGTCCTCCGTCCCAAAGGCTGAGATGGATGTTGTGATCGAAGAGGCCATCCGTCTTTCACACGTAGAAGGGTTCCATGGCAGTGATAACACCCCGTTCGTGTTGGCCAAGATCAAGGAACTGAGTGGCGGGAAGAGCGTAGTCGCTAACCGAGCTCTGATCGAGTCGAATGTCAAGCGTGCAACCCGAGTAGCCGTGGAACTTGCCAAGCTTGAACAAGCTGACCTGCCAGCAGGGTCTCGGTGAGTTTTGTTTCTAGAAACGAGATATGAGATACAATAAATGCTAAGTTTGGGGATCTCTTTGCTATAGTCACATGCCAGCAATTCCAAGTGTAGCTTCGCACAGTCAAGCCACTTCACAAGTGCAAGATACACCTGAACCGGTTTCAAATGGACCAGCTGCATCGGCAGAAAAGGCAGATATCTTGGTTGCCGGCTCCCTCGCTATTGACCTGTCCTGTGACTATACTCCCTTCGGAGACGAGCGCACGCAGGTCGCACCAGTACCGCACACATCTAACCCAGCGGTCATTGGACAGAGCCTTGGTGGTGTCGGGCACAACGTCGCTGTTGCGGCCAGCTATGTCGGTAGCGAAGTTCTGTTCTGCAGTGTTGTGGCAGACGATCTCAGCGGGCGCGCGGCGCTCTCAGCCCTCGAAAAAGAAGGCCTCAGCACGGCAGGCATTAAAGTCTTGCCGGCTACCACTGGCACCCGCACTGCGCAATACATTGCCATCAATGACATTAAGAAAGATCTCTTGGTAGCCATGGCCGATATGGGAATTGTCGAGCTACCAGAAGCACAGCTTGACTTTGACGGGTTCTGGGAGCCTCTCATGGAGCGTACAAAGCCTCGCTGGGTGGTCGTTGACGCCAATTGGCGACCCGAGGTTTTGGCCAAATGGAGCAAGCTGGCGAAACAGCACGGCGCTCGTGTGGCCTTTGAGCCAGTCTCAACGGCCAAGTCACGACGTCTCTTTGGTGGTGATGCCAACGCTTCGGAGGCGGCCATCGGTCCAAACCAGACTGTGCCCAATAATGCCATCAGCCTTGCCTGTCCAAACCGGCTTGAGCTGACCGCTATGTACACTGCTGCTCGAGAAGCGCTGCTCTTTGAATCAACGGGCTGGTGGCACGTCATTGATTCAATGAATCTCTCTCCGGCCGGTTCGCGCCAGCGACTCGTTGCGCTAACTTCACCCGAACTTGTTGACGAAGGCATTCCCCAACAGACTCTGCAACTCCTCCCCTTCATTCCCTGCATTGTCACAAAGCTCGGTGGTGCTGGCGCCCTCGTCACTCAACTTCTGCCACCTGGTGATCCTCGTCTCACAGACCCAGAATCTGCGCCATATGTCATTTCCCGTGTGCCGCCCAATACAGACGTGCCATTTGGTGGTGTTTATATGCGCCTCTTCTCGCCTGCGAGCATACTCGGCGAGGACGACATCGTTAGCGTCAATGCGGCAGGTGACACACTGCTAGGTGTCTTGGTAGCTGGCTTGGCTAAGCAGGGCAGGTCAGCACGTATTGAGGACATTGTTCCAATTGCTCAAGAGGCAAGTCGAAAGACCTTAGCCAGCGCTGGAGGTGTAAGCAAGGACCTTGTTGAGCTACAGCCCGCTTTGGATCTGCAATAAAAGTGCGGCTACTAGCATATCTGTACTTGATAGCGTTTTTTGATATCCCAAAGCCTGAATAGCTTCCAAGATTTTCAGTCATAGTATGGAGTACAAATCTCGGGAGTACATTCAGATCGATTAGAACCAACTTTAGGCTCCAAGTATTCGTGCATAGCAACTTTGGAAATTCTCTCTCCCCCTCTTTCTAGTTCTCTTTCTAGTTCTCTTTCTAAAGGTTGGTTCAATGAGATACTGATTGGTCGATCAACTGGTATTTTGAGTGGTTAATATGATAGAAGTCTATAGAGATGTTCTAAGGTTGGGACGTTGGATAGCTTCACCGTCGGTATACGCGCCCATTATCAAACGTTCACTTGATGATAAGCCACAGAACTTCCATGGAACCAAGTATATACGTACATACACCAATATTCTCCAGTCTCTAAAGCTCCTACACAACGTATTTGCACCCCGGTGTCTCCCAGTCAGTCCGATCTTCCAAAATCAGCATCTCCTGGGGCATATCCAATTCAACTTCACCTGCTCGCTTCTTATTTTGCCACTGCAAATACAGTCGCAAGACAAGTATCCAGAAGAACCCCAACCCAAATCCGCACAGACTGGCTGTAATACCCCTCTCATACCTCGGCGCCTCATCCACACTAAAGAATTGCGGGCCAACGATATTGCCCACGCAATACATCACAAGAACACATGCATTAATCACTGCCCGCTTGGTGAGTCCCCGAACATTACTGGTAATCAACGACATGGCGAGTGGCATGTTTGCCGAGAAAGCCAAGCTAAGACAGAAACCCGCCATGCGGCCAGCCTGGTTGCTGTCAGGTAGAGCGTACATGAGAACCATTCCCAATAGGCTGATCAGCGCAAGGGCCATCATGGTCAGGGTCCGGATGTTAGGGAAAGTCGAGCACAGCACGGCGCTTGCGATCACGAAAAATAGCTGGGCAGCGCCTGTGGGCATTTGAATTAAGAGGGCCTCGAGACCTTTGAAGCCAAAGCCTTGCACGACCAATGAGCCGAAGGTCGTGAGGCCGCCATTGGCGATGTTCACACAGAAGCTGTACAGACTTAGGCACCAGGTCACTGGGTCACGGAAGGCTTCGAGGACCTGTGAGAACTTGTAGGGGCTCTTAGTTCCAGCCTGACCATCGGCCATAACATTGTGAAGTATGGTCGAGCGCTCGTCGGGGGTCAACCAGAAGGTTTTTGCTGGTGTGTCTGGCAGGAATATGAGCATTACAATTCCCCACCCAGCAGTGACAGCGCCGAAGATCAGGAACAGGTATTGCCACGCGGCTACGGGGCCACCATCGATGTGTCCGATGCCATAGGAAAGAAGTCCTCCAAACAGGGTGGCCATAGAGCCACCAGCAAACCATAAGCCATACCGTAGAGGCTGCTGGCGTCGGGTATACCACATTCCGGTTATGAGGGAGAAACCTGGGGCGATAGATGCTTCGAATGCACCGAGGAAGAACCGAGTGATCATCAAACCCGTAAAAGAGTAACAAGCTGCATGGCACATGAGAATAGCAGCCCAGACAAACCTGCAGAAGCTGGTTGTTAGTTTACTTGCTCTTCCTGGGTGCAATTTATTTCAAAAATCATAGACTGTAGCGCCTAAGTACTTTCCAATCGGCAAACGTACTGACAAGTACATGGTCGGATACGACCAAAAGATGAAGCCAAAGTAAAAGATAGAGCCTGTCCATGAGAATTGCGTGCCGGCCAGGTGCGTGTCTTCAATCATTCCCAGTAAACTGGCATAGCTTAATGTCTGCTTGTCCAGGAACTGCAAAAAGTAGCAGAAACCAAGGATTGGCAGAAGGATCAAATCGACCTTTCTTCGCACACGTCGTGACTCTTCAGGGGAGACATAGGTGATGCTCCCTACGGTAGTTGAATGTTTCAGGCCCTCTGAGGGATCTGACTTAGTATCGAGACCAATGGAAGTCATAGTGGTCACTAGATTTATAAACAGAAAAACATGAGCTCAACAAAACAGAGAGAATCTCATCGTACTTATGTATTCATTTACTTGCAGTGTTATCTCTATCAACTCAATGCGATACGAGTAAACACCTGGGCAGGTTCAAATTGATAGCAAAATCCGGGGAAGCACCCGAGGCCAGTCCCAAGGTTCATTCCGCGGCGCAATTATCTCTGATTGGTCCAGTGACCGCGCTGGTCCCAAGGTGGGTCCAGAGTGTGGAGGCCAAGGACAGCTAACGTGGACGAAGCAACCCTACTTTCCCCCTCTCGCCTCGGTAAAAGCATTGCGTACATTGCCGTACAGCTTCTCATCCACAATAAGCTTCCAGCCTGTCATGGCCATGGCTTTTCCAGCCATGATCATTCTATCATGAGCAACACTCGTACCAGCTGCCGCCGTGAACTGCCGGGTATGGTTCTTAGCACCATCGCTTACCGGGATCCCAATGAGACCATGTAACGCGGGGATTAGCTGTGAGACGTTTCCTTGGTCGGTGGACCCCGGCATCAGAACATCGTCGTGGGCCGATAGCCGTGCTCCTTGCTCGCCAACCGATTCCTGAAAACTTTCACACAATGGCGCGTTCACAACCAAATCGGCATACATTTGGGTTTCATCCAGCTCCACTGTACATCCGGTGGCAATGGCACCTGCCACTAGACACTTTCTTACGCGGTCTCCCAACGCCCGTGCCCCCTCCATAGTCCGGCTGCGAATCGAGTACTTAACGCGCGTGATCTCCGGGATTGCATTGGTAACGGTGGGTGCCTCCAGAATTGCACCGTGAACGCGTTCATCAGGCCTCATTTGCTGGCGCAGCATTGATATGCTGTTATAGCCCGTGACTAGAGCGTCAAGCGCATTGACTCCCTCCCAGGGACTAGCGGAGGCATGGGCGCTGACACCGCGATAGAATGCTGTGATGTCGTAGCAGGCAATTGAAGAACGACCGGCGTTACCAACAGAATTGCTACCAAACTCTTCCTCGGACATCGGGTGGCTGGTTTAGTTAGTGCGCTGATACTTCAATCTCGATATCGACACAATGGGAGGTACATACATCATCAAAGACACATCGGATGCCTGGTACGCCCCCGCATTGATCAGGTCGATTTTTCCGCCGCCATCTTCTTCGGCCGGGGTTCCCAATAGTTGAGCATGACCAGTAATACCAAATTTCTCAATTGCATATGCCAGAGCTAGAAAGCCGGTGATGCTGGAAATTGCAATAAGGTTATGACCGCACGCATGTCCGATATCAGGCAGAGCATCGTATTCCGCATTGAAATTCACGCAGAAACTATCTCTGTTGCCAACTTTGGCCTCGAAAGCGGTATTGAGGCCATATGCGTGGCGCGTAACTAGGATCCATTGGGATTCGAGGAAATCGCAGATGGCGTCATGGGCAAAATGTTCCTCGTACGCAAGTTCTGGAGTTCTGTGGATCTGAGAGTGGTTTTGAGAGATAAGCCTTCCGCGTGTAGATATTTCAACGAGATTTTACCTTTTCGTTTAGCGCACGCAACGGCTCTGCTAAGCCATCGATGTATTCGTCAATCGCCATTTGAACGGCATCCTTGCATAGCATATCCATGGTCTGTTCCGGCTTTCGGGTTCAAATGCTCAAATGCACTCGGTTGTCAGGGCTCTCTTATCTGAGTTGAATCAGTAAAGCCTTATTCCGAAATCCCAGTACAACTGCCGGGTGCCGGACAAATCCTACCTTGCGAGCGCAAAAGTGTTTGATTGGCTTGTGCTTTATTTTCCTCCCCGCTAGTTGGAAGTATAAAGATGAGGAGAAACACCGAGGATCTTGACTGTTAGACCAAAACAGTTCTTCCCCACCTTCTTGGAGGTTTATCACTATTGGTCTTTTGGAATCAACCACCTTCTATCTTTCACTCGTTCACTCAACATCGTCTTTCGATACTGAACAAAATGACCAACCCGACATGGCAAGACAAGTGTGCTGCCAAACAGGCCGAGGCAGCTGCCAAAATCCCCGTTGAATGGCGACTCTCCGCAGAGATTATCCAAAAAGTCAATAACAACAAGCTGAAAATTCTTGATGCTCCCGTAAAGTGCGGCATCCTTACTCAAGAAGAGCTTGCGATAACTGAGATTGCCGATGCAACCATCCTACGAGATAAGCTCGCCGCACGACAGCTCAGTGCCATCAATGTGGCCACTGCCTTCTGTAAGCGTGCCGCCATTGCGCAACAGGTGACCTCCTGCTTGACGGAGACTATGTTCTCACAGGCTCTCATCAGAGCGAAAGAGCTGGACGAGCATATGGAGACAACCGGAAAGCCTATCGGACCGCTTCACGGTGTTCCGATTAGTCTAAAGGAGACATTCAACATCAAGGGTGTGCACACTTGTATTGGGTTTACTTCTTTTCTGGATCGAGAGCCCGTCACCCATAACTCTGTTTTGGTGGATATCCTTCTGGAAGCAGGCGCGGTGCTTTACGTGAAGACCAACGTTCCTCAAACAATGATGACAGCAGATTCACACAACAATGTTTTTGGGCGAGTCAAGAACCCATATCGAAGTACCCTCACAGCTGGTGGCAGCAGTGGGGGCGAAGGAGCCCTGGTGGCCATGCGTGGTTCCATCCTGGGAATTGGTACTGATATTGCTGGATCGGTTCGAATTCCAGCATTGTGCTGTGGTACCGTCGGCTTCAAGCCCAGCGTTGGCCGCGTACCGTATGCTGGACAAACGAGCTCTGGCAGACCAGGAATGTCTGGAATCGCCCCAAGCGCGGGACCACTGTGCCACTCTATGCGTGACGCAGAGATGCTTCTCAGACTGGTCTTCAATGCAGCGTCTGATGATAACGACGACATGGCTCTAGCCTTTCCTTGGATGGAGCCCACCCAGGCAGCTCCCAAGCAGCTCATAATCGGAGTCATGCCGGAAGATCCCAAAACCCCATTGCACCCCAACATGCAGCGCACTCTTCGGGACGCCATTGAGAAGCTTGAAAATGCGGGTCACCACATTGTAGATCTATCCAAGCAAATGGATTTCTTGGGAGCTGCAGCGGACCTGGCATTCAAGTTCTTCCGCATTGACCCAGATCAGACAGCGTTGCAGAATATCCGCAAGTCTGGCGAGCCGGCGATCCCATCTCTTCGATTCACATATCACGTCGACGGGACACCAGAAGAGCCTACTCTGCGAGAACTGTTTGATTTGAACGTTGGACGGGCAGAGATCATGGCTAAGATGCGCCAAGTGTTCCTCGACAATCACCTACATTTGATCATCGGACCTGGATATCAAAGCACAGCCGTTCCTCACGACACCTTCGGTGTTCCCGTTTACACGGTTATTGCTAACTTGGTCGATGTACGTTGCCTTTGTTCTTTCGTTTGTCATGATTTCCGCTAACTTGAGGTACCAAGTATCCCGCATGCGTTATTCCATGTGGATCCTCCCAGGAAACCGCTGATGCCGATTTCGTGCGCGACGTGACCTATTATCCTCCCTGTAAGACATGCTTCATATGCATAAAACTTTGAAATCCCATGCTGACCAAGCTCAGATCTCCCCAAGGAAGTCGAAAATGCCCCTTGCCATGTACAGCTTATCGGTCGTCGCCAGAAGGATGAGGTGCTGCTCCAGCATGCGCTGATTGTGGAGGAGGTTTTGGCCAAGTGATGCATAAGTGGGGTAGTTAATGATTTCATATCAATTCAAGAGGGTTCCATCAGCAATTGTAATTGGTGTAGCAGCAGCAAGTCATTGTTTTTCCGTGGCAAGGCCCAAATGTTCATCAGTCGCTCTTGTACTCGCACTGCCTGTCCACGTCGTAGGCGAGCCCATGGTTCAATCTTGCTATTAATGATATCTTGTTCGAGCTTGCTCACAGCAGCAGCACCAAGTACGGTCACAGGCCAAAGTGAATAACCAAGCAGGTATTTTTGGAGGTCCACCTTTTTCAATATGCTCAGTCCTTCATCAAAGAGCGCTTGAATTGCAGATGTTCTGTGTGTAGAGTTTTTCGTAGTATCTCCTTTAAGTAACAATATTCGAACAGCGCATGAGTAGAGCCTTTTCATAGGATCATCAGTATCATTTGTACGCTCATATTGTTGGATGTCGCTTTGAAGACGTGTCCATATCTGACGCTCTGCTTGGTTCAAGTCGCGGGACAGCCGGGCGAGTCGCGTCACATTCGCAATCATGAAGAAGAACTCATAAGATTCATTCAATACAGGTCCGGGAGCAGCCTGTTCATCACTGGGTGCACAGGCCAGGTACTGAGGTATGTGGTCTGGGGTCACATCAAGCGAGATGTTCAACAGCATCATGAGCGTACTATGATACAAAAAAGATTCCACACAGGTACGTTGAAATATCACTCCCGGTTGGTACGGCGATTGGGTGGCTTTTTCTGGGTGTCGTTGCGAAAGGAGTACCCCAGCGGCCTTCGCATGCAGACCGATGTTCGGAGGTGAATCCGTTCGGAGATTCTTGGTTTTTATTAGTCCTGAGTTATGCTTCGTATTTAATACAGGTAAGAGGGGTAGTACTTACTTCGAACACGCAGAGACATATCGTCGTGGCCAATAAGCCATCGTCGTTGCCGGTATCGGAGGCGCCTATTATGCGACCTTGCAGGCCGCGCAGTGAGTGCAGGTAGTGCTGTATGGCGAGCTCATCGTTTCCGAGATCAAGAGCCGCAATGGCGATCATAATTTCCATCAGTGGGGGAAATTGCTGGGACAATTGAAACATATGCGATTGATCACTGTAAACAGAGGGACAATTCGGTCGCACAAGCCGCGGCATAACCGCCGTCGTAAAATGGGTATACAAGGCCTTATTTTCAATCGGTAGACTGGGACTTCTGGGTTTCCATTGACGGTTCTCACGCATTCTGCCATCCATGGGCTGGCTGGTGATTGTGGGCCAAGTGCAGGCCGAACCAACGTTGGCGCATCGTTGACAACTTGGTCTTTGCTCGTCGCACTTCTTGCGGCGTTTGCGGCCTAGCTCATGTCAGTCAAACTACCCTGTTACTTCAATCGACTTGTTTGGCGCTGACATTCGAAACAGCCGGTGCGGGTGCGCACGCGGGCTTTGGACTCCCGGGGTATTGGCATACCGCAAACGATGAGGTGGAGCCTGACTCGTAGTGCATATGTTCCTATGTAATGGAACAACCTCGTGCTCCGTAGATCAAAAACCCGATATGCCGATTTAGACTCAAACACGGCCCTGTATTGTTCGGCAATTCGATGGAGGTGAAGAGTCCTAACATAGGGTCTCCGCAAACGCGGGGGTGATCCGCGCAACTGCCGCGAATTGGTCTATTAGCCTATTTCATACATTTGAATATTGGGGAACTTGATATACATCTCAGGAGTGTCATCTTTAGTTGGAAATATGCAACAGCCCTGTCGAGCTTCAGAAGTAATCATTTTCAAATTTATCTCGTCTATTGCTGTAGATTCTCACCCTGTGCTGCCAATGGCAGAAGCCCATGATCTATCACTCCAACATGCCACTTCTTCTCTCTCTCTTTTGTATATTACACTACACTCCTTACCTCATTTCTTCATCTATCTACGAGTGGCTTTCCGAGCACTTTATTTACTTAAACCCAGCTTAGCCCGTCCTCATACCCTTAGGGAGGTCATCTGGAGGCAAGAGCTTCGCTCCTGCCCCCTCAGGACATAATTTAATAAAACAACATCATCATCATCACCATCATCACTTCGACACAACCCCGAAAGACGTGAAACATCCCCAAAATATCCCGTGTCATCAAGAATACGCTCAGGGACAAACACACAACCAAACCAACATCTTGAGGCTTCTGTGGTCACGCCTCAGTACACGCGGGCTCAGTCGCAGTATTCTCAGTCGGCAGAGCCGTCAGAGACCGAACAAGAAGACAATCTATAGATCTTGCACGTACTTGCCTCGGCTTAGGGTCGAAGCATCATCGCAAAGGGCATCATCGCTCTTGAGGAAAACGGCCTACAACCAGTATGGTCGATCTATGATGGGTTTCCGGGAAAGGAAATTCCCCAAGAAATCCAAGAATGGCTGGAAGTCTGGGACGAACGTAAGCAGCCACGAAAACAACCGTGGAACTTGAGGAAAGCCGAGACATTGGACTGACTTCTTTTTACCAGCGCACTACAGTTACATCGGTCGTTTGAGTAGCCTGTTTTGGCTTAACGGGATGGATGAGCTGATAGATGCCATCGAAGATCCCGCTTTTGTCATCTCAGATGAGACTTGGGCCCTCCCGTATAGATCATCTGTGAGTTATATACCGTGTTCCGTTACAAGGTTTTGCTAATGAACTTTATGTAGTTTCGACAGTGAAGCGGCTGTTTACGACCGCCTGGAAACACCACGACCAGCTGGACACCACCTGTTCCCCAAGTGCCTGGCAAGAGGAGAAATCATCTGCTCTAGCATCTTTCCCTCTGGGTACGCGCTTATCCTAGAATATCGGGAGGGAGAGCTTCTTTGGGATATCTGGCATACGCTAGATTTGGCTGATCAAGAAGACATCAAAGAGAAGTGTGGGAAGGGTATCGGTACACTGCGTGCCATTTCTATCTGTGACGATGACCCCGGCACCCCGAGCAACAAATCGCTGCCAATAAACCAGGCTTCGAAATTCTTGCAAAATTACAACAACTGAGAACACATTTCGCAAATTTCGATTCGAAAAACGAAAAACGTTTCTTGACCCTCGAATCTCGAATCCCAGAATAAGAAACTCGAAAAGAGACTCGACCTTCGAGTCCCAAAACAAGAAACTCGATGCACATCGTCAACAAAATTTTGACCTGAGACAAAGAGCATTTGAGATGGTCTCAGGAAAGACACTCAAAGCCGCAGTTGTGCGACAACTCGAGGACATTCACTTCGACATCTCCTACGAGATGGAACTCATCTTTATGTGAAGGTCGAGTACCCCCAGGCGAGCTAGGCGTGCAGAATCGCGGACATCAATCACGATGCGGATACAGACCGAGAGTTGCCAAGTCCTATTCTGCTCGATTGTCACTTCCGGTTGGCGAAGATTCTGAATGCGTCTGGAATGGCAGCAGTATTTGACTTTGACTTTGATGAATGGGAAAATGTACAAGTTGTTGGATCTACAGGGCAAAAGAAGAAGCGGGCAGAACCGATCGTATTGACTGCAGGGAGAGAGAGAGGAAGAAGAAGGGAGAGAGTCGGGAGAGGATCTATCTACAAACGGGGGGTTGGAACAAACTTCCCACACAACACAAGTCAGTGTGGGTGAGCAGTTACCTGAGGATGATTACGTTGATGTCGGTCAAGCTTTGTGCGTCGGTCTTGAGTTATATGGTTATGCCATTGGGTGAAAGATGTCACAAGACAGCCCTGATCTAGATTACCTACTCGAATTTCTTATGTACTAGTTATCTAATAAGGTAGTCAAGATCATCGATCAAAAGTTGATCAAAAAGGTCCCTTTTCTCCATCGATGGCAATGATAGAACGAACTTTCGAAACAGGGAAGGTTTGACGGATCTTTAGATAGACAGAAATATATGATAGCCCTGTTGAGCTTTAGGAATAGTCATTTTGAAATTTATCTTGTCTAATGCTGTATGTTCTTACCTTGTGCTGCCAATGGCAGAAGCCTATGATCTATCACTCCAATATGCTATTTTTTCTTTCTCTCTTTTCATATATTATACTATATTCCTTGCTTTTTTTTATTTTATTTATCTACAAGTGCGATATATGCATAGACTACAATCGACAGCATATGCTATGGAAAAAACAAAAACGACTATATCAATTAGTAACTCATATACTTTCTTCAGATAGGTAGAATATACGATTGTAATCGCTTCACATATCGAAGGAAAGGCAACGGTAGAGGCCTTATAGCGATCTTTCTCTCAACAAATGGCTTTCTGAGCACTTTGTATACTTAAATTTAGCTTAGCTCGTCCTTATACCCTTAGGGAGATCATCCGGAGGCAAGAGCTTCGCTCCTGCCCCCTCAGGACATAAATTAACACTTTCCCACTTTATTTTCTCTCCATTATTCATCCCCTTCACTTTACCTTGATTTAATACTCACTTTTCTGACCACGTGGAGCCCGCCCGGGTACAGCTCGCTCGAGCTTTGGCACCTTTGTATCAAATCCGCGGCACAACTCACCCGTCAGTCCACGAGGATCGCGTCGATATAGCTTACATGGGACACTGGGCCTCTTTCATGCAAGATGCTACCTAGGTATGCATGCATTTCAATCGGCATCGGTCACGCATCAAGTCCCTACAATCGATGAGACCGAAATCTACGTTGTAGGCAATGAGCGCGGTCTTTCTGGACGGTTTGTTCGAAATCTTTGCAACCATGGAGTTGAAGACAAAGAGCGATCTCGCGAGCAAATCTGCAGCGAGTCTCTCGCAGGGTTGAGTACCGACTTCCTCGAGAGAAATCGGTGAGTTGTGACAGAGACTTGCACATGGAGATCTAGTTCTGAACTTCACCAGAAGACAAACGCGACCAGGCAGTGGAACTCTGAAGAAGTGGTCCCTGATGTCGCTTTCGGTCTGGTAGCCCACGGACACATTCCTTCGATTGATGAAATCAAAGAGAAGTGTGAGGAGGCTATTCATACACTTCGTGCTATTTCTATCTGTCACCACGACCCCGGCACCCCGAGCAACAAATCGCTGCCAATAAACCAGGCTTCGAAATTCTTGCAGAAATACAAGAACTGAGAACACGTTTCGCAAATTTCGATTCGAAAAACGAAAAACGAAAAACGTTTCTTGATCCTCGAATCTCGAATCCCAGAATAAGAAACTCGAAAAGAGATTCGAAAAGAGATTCGAAAAGAGACTCGACCTTCGAGTCCCAAAACAAGAAACTCGAGGCACATCGTCAACAACATTTTGACGAGTGGGAAGAGATCAAAGTCAGAGCGGGTTGTCAGCTACCTGAGGATGGTGATATTGATATTGGTCAAGCTTTATGTGTCGGTCTTGAACCATCTGGTTATGCTATTGGGTGAAAGATGTCACAAGACAGCATTCCCAAACACAGCATCAGCAACGGCGTCGCCCATAGATTTCAGCATCGGTCCCGCGACAGCGTGGCAATACGGCGCAGCCGAGAAGGGTGTATCGCTCCGTGCAACGCAGCAAGGACGGCCTATACTGGTACTTGGCGACCAATGCGGCCATAGTACGCTGGAGTCGTACCCTCAAAGCACGATCATCAATTGGGAGGAAGTGACTGCCAAGAAAAGGTCCAGGCACTCGTCACCCAACCCTGATCCCCAATCAGACAACAAACGGAAACGCTCTACCGACTCCCAATGCTGATCTAGATTACCTACTTGTATTTCTTATGTACTAGTTATCTACCAAGATAGTCAAGATTACCGATCAAAGATCGAACAAAAAGGCCTCTTTTCTCCACCGACGGTAATGATAGGACAAAATGGAGAAGGTTTGACGGATCTTTAGATAGACGGAAATATGCAATAGCCCTGTTGAGCTTTAGAAGTAGTCATTTTGAAACTTATCTTGCCTAATGCTGTATGTTCTCACCCTGTGTTGCCAATGGCAGAAGCCCATAATCTATCACTCCAACCTGTGCAAGCACACTCGCCTGGTCCCAATACAAGCTCTGCCGCGTGATCTGTCCAGCACAGAAGCCCACAACTACAACAATAATGACTTTGATATCCCGATGCGTTGGCTGCACACCAGGGAGAAGCCAAGGGATTTCCGCCGTATGACGGCAAGAAAAAGTGATTTCGTCCACAATACGATCAGACCCGACTGTGCGTGACAGAAGACGAATTTGCTGGTCAGCCGGTCCCGCAGGAATGAAGGCATGGGCGAAGAAATCTCTCAAAGTCGATATGGTCGAGCCTAAGAGTATCGTCAGCATACGTACCAGCAGATATATAGCCCTGCAAACTCTAGAAACTCACCTCCGGCCATAGTAGGAACACACGTCACAGACGATTGTCCAGCAGGACAACCAAGCTCACCATAATGGTCATGTCTCGTGAGCATATCGACAGCAGGTTCAGCAACACTGCCATGATTTTCCCTCCGACTCTCCAACTCCCCCCAGACCCGATCCCAGTAGTCCTCCCAAACAGTCTCGATATCAACAACGGCCCAATGACTCCCAACGCCAAATGAGCGTCGCAGGCATCCCAAGGCTCGACTCCACGCTAGCTGGGAGCTGATCTCGTCTTCTGCATTGACTTCCTCGTCCACTTCTCCTAATTTATCTTCTGAGATATTGTGCTCTGCGAACCCGGCTCGGGATCCCGCATACGAATATACGTGACATCGATGTCGCTTCTTGTATGTGACATCTCCTTCGGATGCACTGAGACTGATCCATGGCCAGAGTGCGCAGGATTGCACGCGCGGGCCAGGAACGTGGATTTGGATTGGGAGGTAGGTCGACTTAGGTCCCGGGTCGAAAATGCTGCTTGTGTCGGAGCAACCCGGTGGCGAGCAGTTGTCTTTTTGTCGGTAGGTAAACTGGTCCGTTGATGAGAGGGGGTAGTATGCTATTAAAGCGCAGAGGCGTGGGAATGGGTTTGTGGTACTATGGGACATATGGTGTGAGGCGAGGAGAAGGTAGGCCGGACGGTGATATGCTGGAATGTAGAATCAGTGCCTGCAAGTACGTAAAAGGCTCTCCTTTTATCAAAAGACATACCGACAATTGCATATCGCTCCCCTGTCTCGAGCTCATCTTCTTTCAAATGCACTGCATTCTCGAGCGCCTTTCGATCTTTATCTGCGTCTCCACAGCCCATGAAAGGTAGATACATCACATCAAACCCTTCTGCTTGGAAGCAATGGAACACATGGGGATCGAAATGAGCTGTGTCGGAGACCAATAATAGGTGACGGGGTGATGGTTCATCATAGCGATGGCTGCGTTTACCAGAGCTCGAGCTGATAGTTCGCTGGAGGCCATGCGGATGAGAAATTGTTGAATTGGGCCCTGTAGTATCCGCTTGATCTGGTGGGCTACTGCTAGAGCTTTGCGCTCGACGTCGAGTGAAGCGCTGGAATACGTTGACCATGTTTGTCCGGATGCGGCTGGGTTGAGCTAGAGGGGGACTCGTACTCCGTAGGGCTGGATCAAAACCCCTGTTTATAAGTCGGTATCTGCCGGAGTGCTCGGATCGAGAGACTCTTGGTATTACATAGGTCAAGACAGGAAAATGAGTGCCTTGCGGGTACCAGCGGGATGCCAATGGGATGCCAATGTCTTAGGGTTTCTTGGATTTCTTGGTGTGACGTCGATGATTCATCGAAAGGTACGTCGTATGAGGTACTTACTCGTAGACATGTATAATTCCGGTAATTTCTATGCAAATTCATATTCACAGGTAGCATCTAGTTTTGTACTCCGAAGATCTGCATGGAAAAGCAATCCGCAATGCAGGATGATCTCACCCAGCCCTATACAGCCTTTATTCAAACCCCACCAACCACGCACGGTCTTCGTCCACTTTTGGTGTCGATGCCTTATCCTGAGCAAAGTAAGCCTTATAGGCATCGCGCAACAAACTCTCCCGTGCAACTTCACAATCCACCCGGATGTCTTCAACCAGCGCCTCCAGCGAAACATAGTCAAACTCCGGTCGGATATAACCGAGAATCAGCAAATTGAGTCGCGTTTTATAGAAATCAGGCAGTCTGTGGAATTTAGTCTGGCCTTCTTTTCCTGCAGTAGGAGAAGGCTCCGTGAGAGCGGGCATGATGTGGATTTCCTACATTGAGTCAGTACGCTTGTCCTGGGTAGCGATTCACAAGCGCAGGATGTGCCTTTATGAATGACAGGCATTTGAAATGATCACTTACCACTGATCGCACAGTATTCTTATAAAACGGGTTGTACCCGATGCTCAGCACAGCGGGTAGTATCACTGCGGAGTTGTCCGACGATGCATCATGGTGATATGTTTTAGGATCCAGCGCAACAACGCCATAGTACACACCGGTTGTCAATTCTGGGTGCTTTTCTGATAGATCGTCGGCGGGGATATTCGCAGTGGGAATTCCTAACTGCAGGTTGGACAATGAGTCAGCTTTCTGTTCATTGAGTCTGCCAGGCGCACCTTGTTGTCGCATGGTCAGAGTAGGCTCTCGAACTCACATCTTTGCTTCCACGTCCGAATCCCTTGATCACAGGTCCTGACAGTCGCACAGGATATGGTGCTTCTGGGCCCCCGTCGGGGCCGGCCACCGGGTCGCGCGGCTTGTCGGAGCGCATGGTGATCTCTGCTGGAACAGGTAGGGTATCTGTAGGATAAGAAAGACAAGCCTGCTGCCGGTTGTGTCTTGCTCAAAGGATAGCGATTGTGTGATTGAGCAATGTTTCGACGTGATGCTGTCGAGTGGTAAATACGACAGTGGGGTTTATCGCGATAAGCCCGATTTTCGGGATGCCTGACATGCCAGGCAGTAATTTCACCCCGAGTGACCTCGGCTGGCGTTGATTTAAGCTTATTTCTTTGTTCGCCGAATTTAGGGCTCGAGGTCATAATTGACCCCACTCAATATCGTAGCATTATGCTCCCATATAGTAAGAATCCCATCCTAGAGATATCCTCTCCCTTTTGAGCGCCGCAAAAAAACCACAGAAACAGAAACATATCGACAAATCTGGAATCTGTTCCAGAGACCCGAAAGACACAACGTATATACACGTGAACGAGGAAAGAAGTCACAAAGCATGTCAATGGGAAGAACAACGGAATCAGGGAGAATCATACAATCCCAAGCCCGGGAATAATATGTACTGAAGAAAGCAAAGCAAAATAGACAGGCATAGTGGTAGAGCCTTGTCGAGGGTATGAATGAATCAAACGAGATAAGAAATCAAATGCATGGCAAGAACTAGAACAAAAACAAGTTAGTATATGACCAAAAAAGCGAACCACATACGAGAACTTACATTCATCACAATGAGCATTGGAATATCGAAAACATCACGTTTGACTGTCCAGCAGTACGCGCATTCGACCTTTCCATCTTTGAAGCCAAGCTGGTTCATACCAGCCTCGCCAGCAATTCCACCCTTTCGCAGGTGATTGTTCCATTTGCCGTTGTCGTCGGCTCCAACCTCCATATCTTCTTTGGTTTTGTATTTGAGGAGTTTGCACTTCGTCATGACACTACCTCGGGAATCACCGAATGCCAAACGCGCAAAGTCCTCATAGAACTCCACGACACTGTCGTCATCGAGAAGTTCCGCCAAGAAGACGGGCTGCGGACGACCACCGGTGGAGCTTTCTAATGTTGAGCTCCGTGGGGTGAAACTGCCACGCGATGTTGTGCCGGACTGCGGCACGCCGGATCCGCCGGTGTTGACGTTCAGATTTGCCTCCTTGCCTAGAAGAACGTCTTTCTTCCATCCGGTCAGGATGCTGAATTCTTTGCCGACGGCGGCAATCTCACCAGTGCGGCGACAGACAATAGTGGGTGTGCCGCAGGCGTTGATGAAGTCTTCATATTCCCAAAGTGTTCGCTGGAAACATTTTTCCATGAAAATGAGATCGTCGCGATTGAGAGTTTTGGTAGTTGCGATAAATGAGGGTCGGATAGAAGCGAGCGCCTTGGCAATTCGCACGGTCTTCTGGGGCGTGAACCGACGCTGAATGAAAGCAGTCAGGTTATGGAACCCACTTGTGTAGGCATAAGGCTCCTTCACGCTTTCGTATATTGAGGACGGGTTGCGATGGCGCCGTTTAGGACCCGCCTGCAGATTTGGGTGTTTGAGGATCGACGCTGATGTCACTTGGCGCTGCCCATTCGGCACTAGGCTGGTGGACTTGGTAGGAGCGGGAACGCTGAATGGGCTGTCTTCGAACGCTGTCGTCGCAATGTTGGGACTGGGCGCGGAGCCAGGACTGGTGAAGTTGGCCGGTCCACTTTCGATCGCAAATGCATGCGGTGCGCTCGCCTTCATGTGTTCAGGAAGCATTCCATTCTGACCATACACGCCTCCGACATTCACATGTTGACCGGAGGCTGGTCCGGCCGACCATTCATTTAGGAGAGGATCGCCGAACATGAATGGTTGGTTTCCAGGACTTTCTCCGAATCCAGGAGCTGGTGTGGAGAACTGTGCAGATCCGCTGCGGCCGATCGACCCGCGTTGTCCTGCGGAATCGGTCGGAGAATCACCAGCCCCAGTGGCCATGTGCCCAAGCATACCGAATTCCAGAGCACCATAACGGTTCTCGAAATTCATGCTTGATAAGTCAAAATTAAACAAGGCCGGATCACTAGGGTCGAAGAACGGTCCTGCGAATGGATTTTGCGTTTGGCTTGCATCTCCAGAAAGGGTGGGATTCGGTGTAGGCTGTTGATTCACACTTGATGAAAGACTGGAATTCCGGCCGTTGGTACTGTTCTTCATGTTGAAGGTAGGCGAAACCGGGGATTGCGTCGTGAAGGGACTTTGGCTCAGAGGTGGATCTTGATATACATTGTAAGAGCCCGGCTGTGGCTGAGGCGTAGGGTAGTAGCTGTTATTAGTGGGGGTAGGTTGTTGGCTGTGCTGGTGGGCGTGTTGTTGATTTGACCTCACGGAGTTGGGGCCATTTCGAGACAAAGGGAGATTATTGCGAAGCGTACTGTTGTAAAGATTGCCGTTGCCGTTGTTGTTTCCGCCTACAGCTGGCATCAATGCTCCGTCTGGAGCATCGTGGAGATACTTTGCCTTCTTGCGAACGCCATCATGGCACGCATCTTGGAGGCCGCGCTTGATACAACGTTGACAAGGTCGTTCATCGCCTAAAATGAGAGATTATGAGTCACATGTCCGAGGGGCGCTGGGGGTCAATATTTCACCGTACCGCAAGTCAAATGAGCTCGCTGACACGCAAAGCAGGCCCGTCGGGCCTTCTTCCGCCGCGGTCGCGAGGGGTCCTTGGCATTGGCAGCTTTGCGGTCCGCCTTGCTATCGCCATTTGTCTTGGGCTTTACGTCCATTTGCTCATGCTCGGTTATATCAGCAGAATCGCGATCATCACGCGAGTCTGCAGGAACCGGGGATTCGTTCTTGGCTCCCATGTTCATTTCGGCATGTATTCCGAGAGGGACAAAATTCTAAACACTTGCACGAGATTGGGGTGAATCACCGGTTTAAAAATCACAGTCCCGTTATTATGTTTGGGCTGTCCGGTCTAAGCGGCTCAAGCGTGGTGGCGACAATACCAATGATACCATCCAAGCTTCGATGTCGACGGGCGAACAGGTCTCCGAGTGCGATATTCTGCCCTAACAAGAGAAAAGAGACGGTCGCAAAGGGCTGATCGTTCCTTTCTACCTCCTTGGCTCTTCCAGATGTCGAAGGTCACTCCCGGGGTCCTCGAGTTTGGAAGGTATAGTTGGTTCCTATAATCGCGCGTTTGCGACTACAGCTAGTGGGGGATCGGAGTGGCGGCGAGCCGAATCAGAGTAGTGGGTGGCAATCGAAGGGAGGTGCGACGGGTTTGCGATCTGACACATTGAAGGACTGCAGGGTGGTTTACAGAGAGAAGATTGTTCGATCTGACAAGAAGAAGAAAAATGCCGCAACGGTTCGGGCGCGGCTGAATTGGAGTGGAGAGGCGGACAGAACTTCGGCTGCGGGGAAGATGCAAAGTGCTCTCCAAAAAAAAAAAAAAACGAGTGCCGTGAGGCCGGTTAAGGATCCGGAAGAAATGAGGAGTAAAAAAAGGACTCGCAGGTATGCGCGGGGAAAGGTAGGTGGATGACCGTGAAGGCTTCGGAGTGTTCCCGTGACTGGTGTCTAAGCATCAACAGGTAAGACTTCAACAGTCCAATTGCAAAAGGGTCAAAAGGGACTCGCGTGAGACTGGGATCTTAATGTATTTTATTTTATTTTTTCTCTCTCTTTTTCTCTCGTTTTTTAAATCAAATTTTACTGAATTTTTAGGGTCTTCGCTGGACAGGGCTGGATATACTTCGTACAAGGAATAGCCACTTTTTACCTAATTCAAATGGCGTTATTTTTGGTAAAAAAAAATCCCTCTTGCATTGCTGCCCAACTAGAATAATTTCTCCATATAAACACACATGGGAATACCTTCAGATGCCATTCCTTTGCTCTTTCAGGTAGATCGTTAGACTCACATGCTGACGTTCAGGGCAGCGGCCACTGGAGGAGCAAAAATCCGGCATTTGATCGTGGTAACAACGGTTACCGATTTCAATGCATTACCGAAAACAGGTGGTAATTTTGGCGTGTCCGGACACTCTGATTGGCTCAACCGCGATCCAATGCCCGATCGGGTCCAGCGCATACGGGATAACCGTAACCCCGCGGCTGGGGCAATTGCGCACGTGTGGGACTGACCAGGGCTATTGTATAGCCGCTTTTGAATCTCAACGTAGTTTTGAAGATATAACCCGAATTCACTTGCTACTTTTCACTTCAAAAAGCCCAGATACAGACCTCGTCTCAGCAAGGCCTCAGCGAGACTTTTTCACGGGTTTTCGGGTCGCTATTCGGTCCCGTTTTGTCCCGAGGGTCGCTGAGCGTGCTCTGCCGAGGCTCGACAATACCGCTCATATAGATTTGGTCTATTATTGACGGTTGGGGATGACTGCCTGTGAATGGAATGCAGGACCACATGATGCTCGTTCTCTTTACAACTGGCCTGGTGGACTAGGAGGTGCCGTCGGAGAATTCAAGACCGGACTTGGCCCGTTCGGTCCACATCCGTTAGGGAAGAAGGCTCTAGTACGGATTCTAAATGAGCAAAACTACGCTATTATCAATTCCTCTGCCTCTTGCCTGTGTCTGCGGACTTCATTTATAGATGTTAGAGACAACAAACGTTGAACCTAAAAACATACACACACACGAAGGCCAAATACAGCGACGTGGGACATATCCTTGTTGGTCATGCGTGACTCGTATTCTCCATGCTATTAAATTCTTAGCTGCAGACAGTACATCGGCAGGCGTTGCAAAGTTGAGTCTCAATCTAGAGGGACGGGCCAAGTTTGAACCCTATCCTTCATAGTAATGCCTCAATCCGAAAATTTCCCCAGTATGTGGTCATGGGGGACTGTGGTCAGGTTCTACAACACGGTGTGTTCAAACGAGACCGGTTTACGGTGGAGACGCAACGGCACAGAGACAAAGTGGGTGCCCTCGCAAAAGAAGTGTTCAGCAAAGGTAATTCGAAGAGGGTTGAGAGTACCATATGTGCACGGTAGCTTCGATCACATCTGAGAAGTTGCAAATCGACTCTTCTTTCGGATTTGGCTTCCGTATCGGTAAAACAGGTATCTGAAATGATCGTCAGTATGCAATGTTCGAAGGTGAGTATGGTCTGGGCTTGGTCTGGGCTTAGTCTGGTAGGACCACGGCCAGATCGAACGGGGTATTGACCTCGCCCCACTTGGGGAGCCTCGCTCAAGGTTGATTATGCAGGGGGAAGTGGTTTGATCAAAGCGCAAAGGGAAGTAGAGGGGAAAGGGAAAATAAAGGCTCATGTCAAATCAGCACTTACGGGAAAGGGGTCATGACAAGGGTCAGAAACGCGAGCAAGGAAGTTGCCCAGTGAAAGCCGAGGTTGTTATACACTGCATGGCCGTTAGTTACAATCGACACTTTGGCGTGTATAAACAAAGAGAAAGCTTGGACGTGAAGCAGATCTGCAGAGCAGCTTATACAAGATACAATGCATCGGCCCGCAGGTGAGGGCAGCGCTCCCATATGCAAAGCACGGACATTGGTCGAGTTCTCGAAAGGCAAACATCAGGAAGACTTACTCTGGATACCGAACAGTGGGAAGATACCGCCAAAGGAGGACCGAGTGAAACTATTGGCCGCCAGCGCACTGGCGGCAAACGTTGGGTACGCATCGACCAAGAACGTGAAGATACCAGAGTATACTAGGATTGTCCTAGAAGTGACACGGCGTATTAGTATCACAAGATCAAAAAGCCAAGTGGCCAGGGATTGTGAGACCAGCGGGGTGGTTTGTCAGGTGGGCTTCAACGATGGATCTTACCCTGCACCAAAAACTGCACTGCCAATGATAGGCGCGATCCAGTGGACATCAGGGTAGATCGTCCAGGCAAAAATGAACAGGCCAATAGTGACCAAGGGCCCACCTAATATAGCTGTTTTATAATATCAGTCATGAGTCTTGCATTGCCAAATCGCTGGGTTAACTTACCCGACGGAAGTCGCCATTCTGGCTGGAAATCATCGACTTTGTTCGTAGCCTTCTCATGGTTGCGCTCCAAGCGGATATAGTTCCAGCGCCAAACCGGATCTGACAAGATCGCAATAACCATACCCACAAAAAGGCCAAGGAAACATAGACCACGTTGCCAGATTACCAGTCCGTACACTTCGGAGAAGACGAGCTGGAAAGCGCCGAAGAAAAGGTATAGGATACCCAACAGAATAGCCGAGAATATGCAGAGACACAGGCACATAGGCTCCAACGTCAAAAGAAGGACAGGGCGATACATTGAGCGCAGGACAGTTTGAGCCACTGAGCGGTCGAGTTTCTCAATCGGGGCTTTCCATCGGTCGTCTCCGGTTTCCTGACGGAGCTTTTGCGCTTTGCGCCTCAAAAGCCTAAGGTTGTTAGAACTTCCTATCTAGATTGCAGCAACTGAAGATCCTTACACGGGGTGATATGTCTCGGGGACGAGGAATATCATCGAGATGAGCAGTACGCCAGTCCAAATCAGGAGCACGTAAAACACCCAGCGCCTTAGGATCATGTTAGCTTGAGTTAATCTGAAAGTTTGATCAACAAACTCACCAGTTGGTGTGAGCATTGATGAAACCACCAACCCTGGATATTTACCGTCAGCGATCAACACAAGGGTGTAATAACACGGAGTACCCAAAGCATCACTCACAGAGGACCAACTTCGGGACCCACGAATGGGCTCGCAGTATAGAGCATCATGGGAAAGGCAAGCTCGTGACGATCGAACATATCGCCAACCGTACCACCAGCAACACTTAGAAACGCACTGCCGGATAGACCATTGAAGAACCGAGCGATGAGCATGGTCTCGGTGTTTTTAGCCACTGCACATGGGACAAGCCACACTAGGAATAATGAGAACGAAACGATGTAGATGTTTCTCCGGCCATAAAACTGTGCACTGTTAGATCAAGAAAATAAAAGGGAGCAATTGACAAACCTCGGATAGGGGACTCAAAAAGAGCGGACCGACTCCTACAATGAAAAGCGTCAACAAACACCCCATGAAAAACAACAACCTGAATCGCATGGAGTAAAAACGAACCGAGTCCCCAAATAAAGAATGACAGTCCAAGTGTCGCAACCTCTTGCGAGCAACCAAACTCCCTCATCAATTGACTGTATGTCGTTGTATACATCGACGAAGTACATGTCCTATCAACGGTGAGTATGATGCACGCGCGCAAAATCAAGCGCGGAAATCTTACACGCAAAGCGAGCCCAGCGAAACGATGATCACAATCAACCACCGGCGGCCCTTACTCATATTGCGCGGGTTCAGTGGATCGTTATCCTCCCAGCCAACCGTGTACTGGGCACCCTCCTCGCCAGCTTCAGCTTCACCCACAATACTAGTTCCATCATTTAATGACCAGCTGCGTTCAATTGATCTCATAGATTTCGACCCATTAGAGCGCTGTGTTTGAAGTGGCGCGCCACCGTGGAAAGCCGGTGTGGCGATTGGAGCAAACGTCACATCTTCGGACTTGGATCGGTCCAGGTCGGTTTCGCTTTGAGCTGAGTCGGCCATATCTGTCTTTTCCCCGGGGTGATTATAGTGGGATATGCTTGATCGAGACGACATGGTGAGTAACTGCTTTCATTTGTGTTTTGGGAAAGTGATTCCGACAAGAGATCGCAAATGAGTCCCAAGATGGACCAGGGAAAGAAATTTGTCGAGCGGAGTCACTGATAAAGAAGATCGGGAGATTCGCACCATTAGAAGCCGAGCTGAGCAATCACCGGAGCTTAGAGTCTTTACGGGGGATAATTTCCGTCGCCCACTTTTCGCGATCGGGGGTGATATCATTCTGGGTAGCCGAAAATTGGGGGATAATATTAGAGTTTGATATCTACTTCTAAGAACCCAGAACCCAGAACCTAGAGCCTCAGCATAAGTGTAGAAGTATACCTACGGGTACGGAGAGTGAGCCACGGAGATTAGATTCCACCCATTTCCCCGATAGGACTTCCACGTGGACCGATAAGGCCTTGTTCGGACCTAAGCCCCTTACTTCGGAGACTTTACGGAGTATGGGGTACTGGGGTCCTGTTACTATGTAGTATGTATACATAACTACCGAGTACGTGCTAATATATTGAATGGACAGACAGTACGATGGATCTTATGTTCAATTAAGCTACAGCTAACACTAGCAATTCGTCAACATCGCTCCTAGACACCATGTGGCATCCAATTCCCAAAAAGTAGTAACCAGAAGACCGGTTCGCCAATTCCCCCAAACACCTGATAGTCATCATTTTGACGCTATGAGCAAACAGAAACACCAAATTTCAGCCAAAAAAAAATCCGTGAGCCATCCCAAAGGTGAGCTATACAAGAAGAAATAACAGATGCGCCGGATGTTTCCCGAGTTGCTTTTGAAAAATAAGCTCTAGAGAGCCTGGCTGAGTTGGCTCATGGCACCACCAGCGTTCTCTTCAGCCCAAGAGCCCCAGAGCGCCTGCTTGCCGTGAATCTCGAGGGGGCCACCGATAGACTTGGAGCCCTGGTCAACCTTGACAGCATCCTTGGTGGCCAAGACCAAGACCTCGAAGAACATCTTCGTGGCATCAGCCTTAGATGAGCGCTGCTCGGGGAGCATATCCTGGAACAGCACACTCTTCTTCTGTTGGCTGGAGGAGTCTCCGAGCTTCTCGCGGATGATGTGCACGGCGTGCTTGGTGCCCATCGAGACCGGCTCGGTGTCCACGGGGTGGGCGATGGTGTCGTCCAGTTCCTCCATACCTTGGTCCATACCGGCGTCGTCACTGAGGGGCAGTTGCTCGCCGTCGTCGGCGGGGAAATCAATCTCAGAGCGCTGGTTCATAGTGGTATCGACAGCAATACCCTCGTCAAGAGGAAGGGTGGGGTCCTCGTCGCCAAGCTCGAGGGCCGGGAGATCGGCGGCGGCGGCGACGTCCATGTCGGAAATACCGCTGTCACGCTTGCGCTTCTCGCCGGCCTTCTTAACAGAGTCCAAAGAGAGCATGCCACGCAACTCAGGTGCCCATCCACGACCACGGTCCTCGCCGAGCACGCTCGACACGAAGTCGCCGTTTTGCTGGCGAGTCATGAGGGTAAGAAGAACTGGGTCACGGGGCAAGAAAGAGGCAGGTTTCATGATGGCGGAGCGGTCATTTTGCTGATCCTTGAACTTGGAGCTGGAGATTGCGACTTCCTTGTCGAGGGCCAAAAGCTTCTGACGCTTAGTGCGCTGGCCCTGCTGGGCGCTAGTAGCATCCGGGGTGGCATTCTCATCGCGATTGAACTCCTCTTCCAAGCGGTTCATTTGATCGGATCCTGCGTCAGAGAGGGGGCTTTCAGAGTCGCGTTCGAATCGGGTGTCTGTGGCGCGAGGGGTCTCGTCGCCACCGCCAAAGTCGTCATTGCCAAGGTCCATAGGGACATCCGGGAGAATATCGTTCATGTCGTCATGACCTTCGTCGAGGTCCATTCTGTCCAAGGGAGCATCGTCATCTCCGAGGTCCAATTCCAAGTCATCGCCGTCGTTGAATTTTCCGGCATCACTGAAGAGATCTTCCTCCACGGGGCGAGGCGCAGGTGCGTCTCGACCAACTTCCATGGTCGGGTCGTTTCCAAGAGGCAATTCATCTTCACCAAAGTCGAGGTCGACTAGGGAAGGATCTTCGAGGCGAGCGGGTTCCTGAGAGACAGAGCGGCGGAAGCTGCCTTCGGGCAAAAGTTGGCTTCCAAAGTCCATACCACCTGGGCGCTTAGCAGCAGGCTCCAGGTCGAGAGTTTGAGGAAATAGCAGAGATGTATCGAGGTTGGTGAAGAGATCAGATTCAGTAAGCACATCGGGAAGAGTGATGCCACCAGGGGCAACAACAGTCGAAGTCAGGTCATTGTTATTTGTGAGGCGGAATGCCTAGCAGATAGTGTTAGGTCATGTCGCTTTCAGTACATCGAGGGATACTGACCATTTTAATTTTCATCAAGGCTTCATTGCAGTCGTCAAGTAGGTAGCGAGCCTTACGGCTGTAGATTCGGACAACACCCAAAAGCAATTGACCACTCAATCGCAAAGCCATAGGAGCTTGGCCCTGGTCAACGATAGCATTGACACTGCTCTCAATGTCTGACTGGAGAATGTGGGACTTGGAGAGTTTGCGTTCAATGTTCGCCGACAACCAAACGCGGGCCAGCGGCCCGGTTTTCGACAGGAGAGTCTCGGAATAGAACATTCTGTCTGTGTCGTGTTGAGAGACTATACAATCTGGAAGAGTTGTTCACAACTTGTGTGATTATCGACAAGACCCGCCCGGCGCGGGGATAAGGTGGAAAACACGACGCGCTGGAGCCGGGAAAACAAAGACTCGGGCGATGACTCGCGCCCGATGAGTGTATTAAAAGGGTTAAAGACAATGTTCAAAGAGATAAGATGAAAGGATGCACTTTGAGGCACGTAAGGCTCAGTGCATGAAAGATGTTGAGAATACGGAGGGGATATGCGCGCCAGGGATAAGATCGAGTTGGCTGAGGAACCGAGAAAAGATGCGCGTTGGTGGAAATCAGGCGTCAACTCATTTTTGCTGACATAATTGAGGGGGCTGGGAATGCCATCACGTGAGTGTGTATTGTACTTTACTTGTTTTCACGTGATGAGATACGCTAGCCTTGATGCGGTATATCGGATTAACTCCCTACCCGGGCTCTCACTAAGCCGCAACGGGTAAAGCATCATCATGGGACTTGGCCTATTCCAAGCCGGTTCGAGGCTCTAAACGGTGTCAATTCGCAGTTTGGATCAAAGCGAAAAGCTCTACGGACGAACAATTTGCACTTTTGGTTAAGACCTGTTAGCTTCCCTGTTTCTTGTCGACTCTGTCGCGCCAAATCCGCAAATCCCACTGGTCGAGCCCCATAAAGGTGCTGCCAGATCGCATCTAACGTGGCTTGCCGCAGCATTGTCAATTCTTATCGAGACGGGATGAGAACTGTCTCCCGACATTGTTAAATTTTTATCTCTTCGCCCTTATTCTTTTCTGGCAAGGCATGAGAAATGTCAAGGTCGGCGACACCTTCCTTGCCTTTGCATAATGCATCAAACACCGACTCTTTGCGGCCTCCTTCTACGACCCCTTTGACCGGACGCCCAAATGCTCCATCTTCCGTGAGTATAAAGCAACAAATTGCTTGATCTACTCGTCCCAAGCTCTTGGCGCTGTGAGATCGGAGGTGCTAACCTGGTCGTGTGCCCTTGCAGACATCCACCTCGACGTATTCGTGGTTGGAGCCTTACGAAACCGCCGAAAGATTGCGAACCTCTCTATCGCATGGTCTAACTCCCGCCGAAGCGGAAGTGCGTCTCGCACGAGATGGACCGAACGAGCTTCCCCACGAAGAGCCCGAACCCCTATGGCTACGATTCGTCAAACAATTCAAGGAGAGCCTCATTCTCCTGCTCCTCGGGTCCGCGGGAATTTCATTCGTTATGGGCAATTACGATGATGCCATCAGTATTACCCTCGCAGTGACGATTGTGGTGACAGTTGGATTTGTCCAGGAGTACCGGTCGGAGAAGTCGTTGGAGGCGCTAAGCCGGCTTGTGCCTCATTATGCGCATCTGATTCGCGATGTCCCAAGTGCATCCTCCACGGCAGCTGAGAGTGCCGGTACCCCACCCATGGACTCCGGCATGGAGATGGACGAACTCAAAAGCAAAAGCCCAAGCTCCGCATCTGCCGCCGTGAAGGCGTCCTCGACCGTTCCCGCTCATGAATTGGTGCCCGGAGATCTGGTGCTCTTCACTACCGGAGATCGAATCCCTGCCGATATTCGGATTACTGCTGCGACAGACCTTGGCATCGACGAGTCCAACTTAACTGGCGAAAATGAACCTGTAACCAAGTACACCGAGGCTCTTCGCAGCACGTCAAAGGGAACCGCTCCGGCACCGTCTACACCAGAGCCCCCTCGCTCGCCGTTCTATGATGCGCCGGCCACCGGTGCTGTCGGCGCTGATATCCGTTTGAATGAGCAGCACAACATCGCGTTCATGGGCACATTGGTGCGCTCGGGCTATGGCCAGGGTATCGTCATCTCGACCGGTGCTAACACGGAGTTCGGTAGTATTTCGGTTTCTTTGCAAGAAATCGAGAGCCCCCGAACCCCGCTCCAGCTGTCCATGGACCGCTTGGGCCAAGAACTGAGCTATATCTCTTTCGCTGTCATCGGGCTGATTGTCGTTATTGGTCTTTTGCAAGGTCGTAAACTTCTGGAAATGTTCACGATCGGTGTCTCGCTGGCTGTTGCGGCGATTCCTGAAGGATTGCCCATCATTGTGACTGTCACTCTTGCTTTGGGTGTTTTGCGCATGGCCAAGAGAGGAGCTATCATGCGGCGACTGCCCAGTGTTGAGACTCTTGGCTCTGTGAACGTAGTCTGCTCGGACAAAACTGGAACGTTGACTCTCAACCATATGACAGTCACCAAGATGTGGCACTTTGACTGTGAGGAACCATTTGAGGTGCAAAGAGGCATCACCACCGTCGTGACTCCTGGCCCTGCCGCGCAGACTATTCTTCGTGTTGGTAACATTGCCAATAATTCTCGACTGTCGAGGATTCACGCCAACTCACCGGCCAGCGCGTCTTCAGCGGCTGTCCTTTCCTCGACTGTCAACGGCGATTCTGCCGCCAAGAGTCGTTGGGTAGGTCAACCGACCGACGTTGCAATTCTTGATTTGCTGGATCACCTGGGCGAGGACGATGTGCGTGACCGGATCAGTGCCCGTGTTCACGAAACACCATTCAGCTCCGAGCGCAAATGGATGGGTGTCGTGATTGGTAGTGCTTCTGGGTCTTACGGGGGCTCCCCTGTCGCTTATATCAAGGGCGCTCTCGAGCAAGTCCTGGCCCGCTCCGACACTTACCTTACCAAAGATGGACGTGAGGTCATTCTCGATGAACCTCGGCGCCAGATCATTCGGAATGCGGCAGAGAACATGGCCTCAGAGGGTCTGAGAGTTCTCGCTTTCGCAAGCGGGGCTGTTCGGGAATCCAGGGGCAACAGAGGCTATCGGTCACCGAAATCGGCCCAGGTTGATGAAGATGAACGGTACAACGGCCTGGTCTTTGCTGGACTGGTGGGTATGAACGATCCGCCTCGCAGGGATGTACACAAATCTATTCGTCGCCTGATGACTGGTGGTGTCAGGGTCATTATGATTACTGGTGACGCCGAGACAACAGCTGTAGCAATTGCGAAGAAGCTTGGGATGCCCATTAGCGATGCTCCTAACTCACGATCAGTGATCCGGGGCGATGAGCTCGACCGCATGACTTCTGCCGAACTTGCCCAGGCAATCTCAACAGTCTCAATTTTCGCACGTACGAGCCCAGACCACAAAATGAAAATTGTCCATGCGCTTCAATCTCGCGGCGATGTGGTTGCCATGACCGGTGACGGTGTCAACGATGCGCCTGCCTTGAAGAAAGCCGACATTGGTATTTCCATGGGCAAGCTTGGTACAGATGTTGCCAAGGAGGCAGCGGACATGATTCTCACTGATGACGACTTCTCGACAATTCTGCGCGCCATTGAACAGGGCAAGGGCATCTTCTACAACATCCAGAACTTCATCACGTTCCAGCTGAGTACCAGTGTGGCTGCGCTCAGTCTGGTGTTACTCAGCACCACGCTTGGCTTCAAAAACCCGTTGAATGCCATGCAGATCTTGTGGATCAGTAAGTCACCCACACCCTCAATCTTCCATTTATCTAACAGTGATCACAGATATTCTCATGGATGGCCCACCAGCCCAATCCCTTGGTGTGGAACCTGTTGACCCAACAATCATGAACCGCCCACCGCGACCCAAGACGGCCCGTGTTCTTACCAAACCTCTCATCCAACGCGTTCTGACCCAAGCCCTGGTCATCATGGTTGGTACACTCTCAATTTACATCCACGAAATGGGCGACATCACCGACGGATCCCCTGTGGACAAGCGTTCTCGAATCGTAACAGCCCACGACACGACCATGACCTTCACCTGCTTCGTCCTCTTTGACATGTTCAACGCGCTTAGCTGCCGTAGCGAAGGCAAATCTGTACTTCGTGGCGAAATCGCGTTGTTCGGAAACAAAATGTTCAATTACGCTGTTCTGGGCTCTCTGGCCGGCCAGGCTTGTGTCATCTACCTGCCTTTCCTGCAACGCGTCTTCCAGACCGAACCCCTGAGCTTCTCATCTCTTGTCAAACTGGTGTTCCTTACTAGCTCTGTGTTCTGGGTTGATGAAGGTCGCAAGTATTTGCATGCCATGCGTCGCCGCCGTGGGGTCGGCCCGGGCTACAGTGCCAACGTCTGATTGCTGATGCAATGCATGGGTTGTATTTCTTGTTACGATTATAGAGATGTCCATGATACAGACATGTGTAGTTTATCATATTTGATCGATATTCGATATACATAATAGAGCACTTTGCCAGCACATGATGTGTTTTCCGAACATGATTTGCACATGGATTTCAATGCCGTACTTATTATAGCAGGGATATCTCGACGACTTACCCAGTGACTAAACCTCCGTTGTTTATCTATAGATCGGCGCATGTCTAGTAGCTCCATGTATAAGTACTCCGTACTTTCAAGGTTTCTGCTCAATGAAAACTGGGTGGGTTATATTTATCTTGAGATTTTTTCCTCCTTATATTTATTTTAACTCTGAATATGATATAGGCAAAAGCTTCAGAACAAGCAGGTCCAATTCAACGAAGACATCTAAGACACAGAAGGAAAGAAGAAGACTAGAGCTATGGAGAGAGAGAGCCGGCTTTATAGCTCACATCATGTAAACGTGCAAACGCATAGGAAGCAAACATGCTGATGGTAGCCAACCATCACACTGAATGTACTTGAGTATCAAACAGCCCTGTTCTGGGTGTTGTCGAGCTCCGTCTCTCAAGCGAGCTAAAAATTACAGGGCAATACTTAAGTACTTTGCCTTTGGCCATCCACTACTTCCCTCCCAGCAACCCTGGGGATACTCTCTGAACGACCACTGGGGGTTCTAAGTTGTTTCTGTCGACGCTAGACTGCAGGATGGTCCCCTACTACCTGAGCATTCAAGACTGCGTAACGATGGCCAATTGCCTGGCTACTCGTTACTGCTCACGCCAATGGTCTGGCATATCAGCCAAGTGATAATTTGTCACGATACGAGGAGAGAAAGAGAGCTATTCTCATAGACCTATGAATTCAGCATCCCCCGGGGCCATATGGGTAGTTTCAGATCCCATTCCTTAGTCAAGAAGCCCCCGGTACTTGTATGGCGCTCCCCATGCCCAGTCCTTCGATATCGACGGCGGCAAAAAGAACAGCAACCTCAGGACTATACCAACCAGGAAGCAAAAAGAGATGACCGACGCAGGGATCGAACCTGCAATCTCTTGATTCGTAGTCAAGCGCCTTGCCATTGGGCCAGCCGGCCGTAAAGTGGGGTGCGAAGCTCCACTTCATCGGCTCAACCCAGTAAGCTACTGGGTTGTTCGATGGAAAAAACTGCCATTTTGTGCTATATAAGCCAGAACGATCTTGCACGGCGCCAACCGCTTTTTTCCAGTCATGATACTTCGAAGGATGGACCTTGATGGTCTAGGTGAAATACAGTCAAGGGCCCCTGGGCTATTCATTTGTCTAGTGATCATACTATATAAGTAGCTTAATATAATATTCACTTGGCAATAACTGCTATTTTTCTAAAATTTGACATAAATGTGAGCTCTAGAGGGTTTGCCCTCAGCCTGTTTGCTTCTAACGTTGTATGCGTTTGCTTGTTTGCATAAAATGTGGATTGCACTGAGTATCTATATATCTCTACTAGGGCCGCAGGAGAAGAGCGTCGAGGGAATGGATATGGATACGGGGGTGAAGTTGGCTGAATAGACTACATTGTATTTGCCAATGCCGGGGAATGCAAGGAGCCGAGTGGAATGGTAGTCCTGAAGTCCTGGAGAGATGAGGCGGAACGCCGATGCGGAGGAACGAGTGGCTTTGAGATGCATTGTGACTCCAGGCACTTGAGCATGGGTGCTTCTAGAACACTTTTAGAACATTAGAATACATCCTAGTTGACTTAATTATATTCTGAAGTTTCTATTAATACTTTGAACTTTAGAATGCTCCCGGGGTCCGTAACTAATCGCAGGGCTATAAAACTAACTAAGGCTGAAGACCCAGGGCCACGGTGGCGGACATTGGCACGGGTATAAGATCAAATCTAACGATATGCTCATTTCCTTCGGGTGGCGATGGATCCGAGTTTTAGTGGCTTGCTGAGTACGGAGTACCGTAGGGGCTGGCCACCAGCCCGTGACAGTTTGTGAGATCTATGATGAGGTGAGATTGGGATACGGAGTACGGAGTATATATAGTACAGTTGTATATCTGGATGTATATACGTATTCGGTCTCTGACTTCCAAGGTTGAAGATATTTCATGGATAGCTTTACAAGTAAATTTTTAATTATTGAAGCGTTACTGGTGGAACTCATATGAACAGAGAAGACTCGAGACTACTCCGTATTGAGGAAGTTAGAAGATCTAAAAATTGCCCGAGTCGGAGTATACAGATCGGAAGGGAGACCTCCGGCACCGGTGAGAACCCGAGTCGGGATCGGGAGAAAACGGAAAGCGAGGCAAATTTAGAGCTTATCTAGGGCCAATTGACTCGCATCCATAACTGCGGCGCTAACCCGTGAACTAGTCCCCTTGCGGAAAGGCCCAAGACGGTTTGGTGGGTCCATTTAGCGTTTTTGTGGCAAGAGCTCTTATCTTGACCTCGAGGAAGCCAATCAGCGACCAGGAGTTGCAGATAGGCATATCGCAGTGACTCTGACAATTTCGTATTCCGGTGATATCACTACTGGCTTGGACTTTTACATTGCCGAAGATAAGGGCCATTCCTCTCCGCATTTCTAACAGCCGAGACCCGTACCTACCTAGGTAGTCTGGACGATGGAGATAGAGATGTACCTGCAGCTCTACGGAATGTTGGAGATAAGCTACTATCTCAATTCTGGACAGACTAGGGATTGAGGGTAGGTATATATAGATCCAATTCCTTGGAATCCACTTCCTTGAAACCCAGGAACTATGTCCCGACTTACTAGTTGTATGCAATATCCAGCCAAGACCAAGGTTATCTATGTTGCCACTTGCCCAGGTGAGCACCAAGAGACGGGTTCCTACACCGGAGGGAAAGACGAGAATACTCGTACGTATGGAGGAGTATGAGAGAATAAAAGACACATATAAAGCTGGAGAACATGGGGAAACCCTGGAACAACCTTACAACCTTAACAGAAAATTGATTAGGCTGATTATCCCATTGATATTGTCACAATCTTCATCCCGATTTTCTCCCCTGCCGCGGCTGCCTCTTTAATGATTTGAGAACTTGGATTCTTACTCTCTTCTCATTGCAGGTTGCAGATTTTATCCCGTCCTTTTTACCCTTGCCGGCACTTCACCTAGTTCTTTTTTTCTTCTTTTTTCTTCTTTTTCTTCCCTCTGACAATTTGCCCTTTTGACCCACATTGTCGATCCGCCTATCTCTGCGTCTCCACTGCTTGAATTCCTCTTTATTATAGACGTTTCCCCCGTGGCGACTTTCTTCTCCACGCGGAGTTCTTTTCAATCTCAAATCTCAATCTCAATCTCAATCTCACCTTGAACCTGCTCCAGAACCTTTACCACAGCTTCGACTTTTTCAATGGCGTTCAACGGGAAGGCCCCGTACGCCCCGGAGTACGCCTCTTACAACTGGGTGGGAGCTCCCTCCAAATATGAACTCTCAACCAATGCCGACCTGGGTGGTGATTCCCGTATGTGATTCTTTCCTGCTAGCTTTCACGTCTCAGAATCAATGCTCATCTCTGTCTCTTCCTAGGCGTCGAAAATGTGAACAAATGGTTCCAATCTGGTGACCAGGCCTACATTATTGTGGCCTCCGCCATGGTCATGGTCATGATTCCCGGTCTCGGTTTCTTGTACTCAGGTTTGGCCCGTCGAAAGTCGGCCCTCAGTATGATCTGGGCCTGTATGGCTTCTTTCTCCGTCGTCACCTTCCAGTGGTACTTCTGGGGTTATTCACTGGCTTTCTCCCCGACCGCTACCAATGGTTATATCGGCAACCTACGCAATTTCGGCTTGATGAAGACTCTGGCAGATCCAAGCCCTGGTTCACCGTTGGTCCCTAACTTGCTTTACGCGTTTTACCAGGTAGGTCTTCGATCTGGAGGACTTTTATGGGTTGAGGGTTAGAATGCTAATGGAATCTATAGATGCAATTCTGTGGTGTCACTGCTGCTATTGTGATGGGAGCTGTTGCCGAACGCGGTCGGCTTCTTCCCGCCATGGTTTTCACTTTCGTCTGGGCTACCATCGTTTACTGCCCTCTCGCCTGCTGGGCATGGAATGTGAACGGCTGGGCCTACAAGTACGGCGTGATGGACTACGCCGGTGGAGGTCCCGTCGAAATCGGATCCGGATTCACAGCTTTGGCCTACTCGATGGTCCTCGGTCGCCGCCAGGAACGCATGATGCTCAACTTCCGCCCTCACAACGTCTCCCTTATTCTTCTCGGCACGGTTTTCCTTTGGTTCGGCTGGCTCGGATTCAACGGTGGTTCTTCCTTCGGTGCTAACCTGCGTGCTACCATGGCTTCTTGGAACACCAACTTGACTGCTGCCTTTGCGGCCATCACATGGGTTCTGCTCGATTGGCGCCTGGCTCGTAAGTGGTCCATGGTCGGTTGGTGTTCCGGTACCATCTCTGGATTGGTAGCTGCCACCCCGGCCTCTGGATTCATCTCTCCATGGGCCAGTGTGATTCTCGGCGTGGTCACCGGCATCGTGTGCAATTACTCCACCAAGATCAAGTACTGGATCCGCATCGACGACTCTATGGATGTGTTGGCTGAGCACGGTATCGCTGGTATCGTCGGTCTGATCTTCAACGCCCTTTTTGGTGACGACTCCATCGTCGGCCTGGACGGCGTCAACACCGGCTCCGCAGTCGGCGGCTGGGTCATCCACAACTACAAGCAACTCTACATCCAGATCGCCTACATCGTCGCCACAGCCTCCTACGCCTTCGTCATGTCCGCCATCATCGCCTACGCCATCAACGCCATCCCAGGCCTGAACCTGCGCGCCTCAGAGGAAGCCGAGCTTCTCGGTATGGACGACGACCAACTTGGTGAATTCGCCTACGACTACGTCGAGGTCCGTCGCGACTACCTCGCCTGGACTCCCCAGAACCACGACCAACTTGAAGACGGCCACCAGGTCCCTGCTGCCCAGCGCTACGGTATCAACGAACACAGCGAGATGATGCTCGGTGGACCTCCACGCGAAATGATGCTCGAGGGCCACTCGCCCAATGGTGAGATCAGCCAGAGCAGTCGAGGCGGCAGTGAAGGCGACATGATCCACGAGGTCAAGCTTGCTCCTGCTCCACGCCAGGTCGCCGAGCACCATCCCCCAGACACACAGCAGGTCCGTGAACCAGCCGTTATCCTGGGACCGGTTGATGAGAAGACAGAGAATTAATCTGTCTCCGTCTTCTGGTTTGGATTTTCTGTTTTTTTCCCTTTCTTCCTTGCATGGCATATCGCATACGCCATTCTCTCAGCATCTGATTCTTCTTCGATATCCCTTGAGCGTGTTTTTTTTTTCTTTTCGCGTCACGAAAGCCTGGGGCTTTCCGCTATACCTTGTGATTCTTATACACCCGCAATTCCTCTACCACTACTGCTCAGGAAAAGCAACCAACTGATGGTCTAATTCGGCTCGGCGTTTTTTTTATCATTTTCGAGACTACGGGATATCAAACTGGGGCTCGCTGTACACAAAACTGTTCCCGCAAGGGTTCTGATCTGCTATCTGTTCAAATTACTCTTTGCAGTATAGACCGAAGAAAGCTATGTTATACTTAAGTAAATCTTGCAAACAAAACTCCCAAAAGAACATAAAATAGAAGGCACAGAGTACAGAGTACTTTGCGTGTAATGGTAGAACGTACTGAGCGCAGTTTTCAACACCTTGAGCGGTATTGGTATCATAAAGCTCGGGTTTCAGCAAAACAGCACATCTCACTTCCCTCGACCAGTCAGCATCAAACACAAGAATGTCCTTGTTAAGCTCACATTTGAGGTTGAAGACCAACGTGATGTCCTTAGCAGTTTCTCGGAGGTAATCAAGGGCCTTCCAGCTAATATGAAAGTTGATATTCGTGAGGTGTTTGAAACTCATTCGTCTGAAACCGATATGTCTACCTTTATCATTCTGTACATGTTGTGGGAAGCCTGGGTGCTCTGGACGCAGCTTGTTTATTTGGAGGTCATTGGTATTACGGATGGTCCTTCTCTGCTCCACCAACCAGCACAAGTACCTGCTCTGTCCCATCCCCGGTGACAATATGCCTTCGTTAGAGAATTCTCCATGAAAGAACGACGGTGAAGGACAAGAGTATGAAGCAGTGTCTGCCGCGAACCAGAATAAGGAAACTCCAGGCACCGAATCATACCCCCGTACTATTCTGAACATTGTTCTTGATTTGAACATTGGACCATTGCCATTCCTAGTAAAGAATCTAGTATCCCATAGATAGAGAATCATAAACTTGAATTGAATATGTACAGGTCGCATAAGAGAATCATTCACATTTAGACAAAAATCTACATCCTCACCTCCTCACCATACCACGAACCCTGATCAACTCCTCCCGACTCAACTTTTCAACAACCTCCGCAGCTTCCCCGCCCCTCCTCACCTCATCCCACTCATCCTCATCCATACTCATAACAAGCGTCATCTGCACAACCCGAGCGAATACTTCACGGTGTTTATACCGCCCTGGCGCACCAGCCACATATCCAACCTCAACCGCAGCACCGACCAGACCCGCAATATCGCGCTCCAGCCTAGCTGCGCCAAGAGCATTGATACGGGAATGGTATGAGTACAACCTCTTCTCCAGCAGGCGGGACAGATACGAGACCGTCACGCCGAGAACGCGGTCGAAGGCCGTTGGGGTCAGGATGCGGGCGTGTGGGGTCATGAGTTCGCTCCAGGAGGTTGTGAAACGGGGTTTGACGAGCTCGCGGTCGTCGAAGTCAGCTGTTGGTTCCGGGGTGTATTCGATATCGCGGAAGACGTCTGCAAGGACTGGGCGCAGACGTGGTTTGATGACATTGTTGAAGATGACCTGGATGCCGTCGTTGAGGAGTTCGGTGATTTTGCTTTCGAAGCTTGTGGCGAGGGAGTGCAGAGTTGCGTAGACTTTTGTTGCCGAGCTTGGGGAGGGGAATATGTTGAGGAGGTGGGGGGTTGGTTCGCCGGGTTGGTCTGGGAGAGACTTGGAGCCGGTGTTGTTTTGGACGATGCGGCGAATGTAGTCGATTGCTATGTCTAGGTTGTTGATCTGGACAAGGAAGGCGATTGTGGTTTGTTCCGGGGGTTGGCCTCCTTGGATGGCGCGTGGATAGCATTCGTCACGCATCTTGCGCTGGGTCATGCCTATGAAGTCTGAGCCCAGAACCCGGGAGATGGTTGGGACGACATTAGTCACCACCGCTTCTTGTGAAGTTGAGATGGTTTGTTGGATGACTTTGTTGACGATGTACATGATGTCGTCGACGGCTGATGTGATGTGAGGTGGGTCGGCTTTCAGTGGTCGTTGCATGTTCAGGGTAAGACCTGAAGGGGACTCGTCCAATTGGAACGCCTTTTCGACAGAGCGCCGGAAGAAGAACGTTGTCATAGCATTGAAGGGCGAAACTAGACGGTCGTTGATCTTATGCGTCAGGGGTGACTCCTGGAGGAAGCCTGGGAGTGCAAATCTCTTCTCGTCGTCATCATCCGAAGTCTGCGATATGGTTAGATTTGAGCAAATGGAGCAGAATGATATACTAACATTGCAAGTATCAGTCAAGAAGCGACAGTACAGCGACCAGCGGCCTAGCATGATGGCCATTTCATTCAAAATGCCATCAATCTCTTTCATGTCCACTCCCTCTTCCTCAGTTGCGCCGGCCCCCGCAGCAGCTGACTGGGAGTGAGGTTGGCCGGGTCGCTGAGTGGGCAGGAAGCTCTGAACCAAGAATGTGAAAGCATAGAATTTGATATCCATCAGTTTGCGGTCGACGTGACGCTCATCACCCCACGTATCAAGGATGATCCCGCCCTGTACATCAGCTTCAATTTGGAGACGTTCAATAACGGGTCCCATCTTCCGTAGTCCATAGTGATGTTCAACGAGTCCTCCATGACCATCGATAATCTGTGCAATATGTTCGAACAACTTTGTAAGAGCATTGGCATAAAAGAAGCCATCTTTGGCCTGAGCACCGCCAGCAGCCCCGTTGAGATTGGCGCGAGCTTTCGCTGCCACACCTTGGCAAACATACCGGCCATAAAGGTCGAGTCCAACCTCGGATCGGCCAATAAGAGGAAACAGTTTGAAGAAGCGGGTGATTTTGGCCCCGTCATTTTCCTTCACGGCCTTCTCAAATTCACGCAAAAACAGACCACACAGTGACTCTGCCGCATTGTCTAGGGTCACGCTTGGAGGATCAGGCACGTCGGCAGTAGGGACCATTTCAGCTGCAAAGGCTCCATTCAAAACAGTGTCTGGAATTTGCGCTGCACGGTGGAGGTAGGTAGCCGCCTTCTCCCAATCCTGAGGTGCGCCCATAGACCCCGACACGCCCAATGCACATGCCTTGAGCTCTGCCACCTGCTCCACAACTTCTAGTGTAGCTTTCACTCGAGCTTGTTCCAGGTCCAGGCGACGGACAGCACTGGAGATCCGGTCGGCGGTGCCAGCGGCCTCGGAGAGCATGCCATGGCTGATGGATCGGGTTGTGCTGGCGTGGGACCCAATGTTGGCGCGCATCAGATCCAACCGACCCAGCTCCCTGGAGAGGTCTTTCTGGGATGTTACTAGGGCATCGAGGCGGGCGGTTACGGAGGCTTCTTGGGTGTGGAGGTGGGACAGAGTGGCTTTGATTTCTGCGACGGAGCTGGCATTGAAGATGTCTGGGGTGTTTGTAGTGTCTGTGTCTCCATTTATCGGAGTGGATGACCCAGAAGCATCCAGGGGTTCTGGGACATGTCCGTTGGCCATTCTGGATGCTATTGGAGGCTACAGTCTGTTGATGCCACCAACACACCAGGTGTCCGAGGGCGGTGAGCGGAGCTTCACTTCAGCAGGAGCGAAATGTGCTACAAAGTCGCGACGTTTGATGAAGTTGCTTTTTTTTTTACTTTTTTTTTTTCTCTGACTAGGCAACCTCTGAGATTTGCTGTGCTCTTACTTCTTCAAAGGCACATCCAAAGCAGTTATCCAACGTCATTCTTTGTGAGACTATCAAAGACTTTGGATCTTCTCCGACCTTTAAAAACGGGCAAGACCCGCATAAAATCGGAACATACTTTTGTTTCACCACTGCATTTCACAAGATGGGCAACGAAGAGTCAACCATGGTGGATGATTCCATCGCGCCCTCTGTGCTGGAGGCGCGTAGCATCGAGGCTGTGGCTCAATACATTGAAGAGCATGATGTGAAGAAAGTGGTGGTGATGGTATGCAGATATCCATCGCGTCCGAGCGCAGAAAGCTAATGACTATACAGGTGGGAGCGGGCATCAGCACTTCAGCAGGTATCCCGGACTTCCGTTCTCCGGATACAGGCATTTACGCCAATCTGGCCTTCCTAGACCTGCCCGAGCCAGAGGCGGTCTTCGATATTGGATTTTTCCGCCGGAACCCCAAGCCATTCTACGCCCTGGCGCATGAGTTATATCCCGGTCGCTATCGCCCAACTATCGTGCATTCATTTATCAGGTTGCTCCACGAGAAGGGGATGCTTCTGAAGCATTTTACGCAGAACATTGATTGTCTCGAGCGCCAGGCTGGTGTGCCAGGCGATAAAATCATCGAGGCTCATGGCAGCTTTGCTTCGCAGCGCTGCATTGACTGCAAGGAGACTTACCCGGACGAAGAGATGCATGCAATGGTGTCCAAGGGCGAGGTTCCCCGTTGCCACCACTGTAACGGACTAGTCAAACCCGACATTGTATTCTTCGGCGAAGCTCTACCTTCGTCCTTCTTCGATAGCCGTGATCTCCCCGCAGAGGCGGACCTTTGCATTGTGATGGGAACCAGTCTCCAGGTGCAGCCGTTTGCCAGCCTGCCCTCTATCTGTAGCAATGGAGTGCCTCGCGTGCTTATTAACAAAGAGAAAGTCGGAGGTCTGGGGTCCCGCAAGGACGACGTGCTCCTTCTCGGTGACTGCGATGCCGGAGTACGCCAGTTTGCGAAAGCACTGGGGTGGGAAGAGGAACTTGAGAAGCTGTGGGAGGAGACCAACCCGAACCCTGAGGACCGGGCAGCGGAGACCGCTCCCCCGCAAACCAGGGATGAGCAGCTGCAGCAGGAAGTGGATCGCCTGGCGGAAGAAGTCGACCGAAGCCTGGGGTTGACAGATGCGTACCAGAACAAAGTCCGCGAAAAGCTGGAGTCACACGAGGCACACCGCCAGTCTACGGGTCTGGCCCATGTCTTCCCCCATTTGGCGCGTAAGCTGTCACATTGAGAATTACGATTTCACGAATTTCCTAGCAATAGCGATGATGGCACGACCAAGCGAAAGACCGAAAGATCGAAAGATCGAAAAACCGAAAAAAACCGGATCAACAGAAATCATAGATATCGTCAGATCTACTGTCAAAGATAGTTATGCAAGTCAAATGCCAAGACATATGATCCCCTCTGGTTAAACGCCGATCTTTGAAGTCATACGAGTAGAACAGGAAAATGGGCAATTTCTCCCGAGTTTCACCGTGAATCTCCAGTAATTAAAGGAGGGGCCTAACTCCAGATTTCCCAGACAACTTCTCACTTGACAGAAACTTGACCGCAGCCAAATCAAGCAAAGGGCCGATCGTTTTGGGTTGCCCCACGTCCATATCGTCATTCCCCTCTTACTTTTTTTTCCTTTCTTCTTTACTTCCTCTCACCATCCCCCTTTCTTCATATTAATATACACAATGGTTGGACTCGGTCCTAAGCAGCCACCTTCCCGCAAGGGTGAGAGAAGACCCTCCCTGTCCTACCCGTCATGGTTCTAATGTGATACAGGGTCCATGCATGAGGTGCCTCAAGATCTCCTGGGTCCTATCCAGGAGTTCGAGAAGGCATTCACCGTGGATAAGTCCAAGCTCAAGGAGATCGTGAACCACTTCGTCAAGGAGCTCGAGAAGGGTATGTTGCTGATCCCGCAGCTCCCCGCTCTACGTCAGCGCTAATCAACACAGGCTTGACCGTGGAGGGCGGCAACATTGTGAGCAAACCCCATCCGGTATCAATTGAACATGAACTGACTGTCTTTGATTAGCCTATGAACGTCACTTGGGTGATGGGTTTCCCCGACGGCCATGAACAGGGTACCTACCTCGCCCTGGATATGGGCGGTACCAACTTGCGTGTCTGCGAGATCACATTGACCGAGGAGAAGGGTGCTTTCGATATCACACAATCCAAGTACAAGATGCCAGATGAGCTGCGCACTGGTACGGCCGAGGAGCTCTGGGAGTACATCGCCGACTGCCTGCAACAGTTCATCGAAACCCACCACCAAGAGAAGAACATCGCCAAGATCCCTCTCGGTTTCACTTTCTCCTACCCCGCCACCCAGGAGTACGTTGACCACGGTATCCTGCAACGCTGGACTAAGGGTTTCGACATTGACGGTGTCGAGGGCAAGGACGTTGTCCCCCCTCTAGAGGAGATCCTGAAGAAGCGGGTATGCAAACTGAAGGGAACAATTCGCACAATCTGAGACTGACATTCAATAGGGCCTTCCCATCAAAGTGGCTGCCCTTATTAACGACACCACTGGTACCCTCATTGCCTCTGCCTACACTGACTCCGCTATGAAGATTGGTTGCATCTTCGGTACCGGTGTCAACGCCGCATACATGGAGAATGTGGGCTCTGTGCCCAAGCTCGCTCACATGAACCTGCCCGCCGACATGCCAGTGGCTATCAACTGCGAATACGGCGCTTTCGATAACGAGCACATTGTTCTTCCCCTCACCAAATACGACGAGATTATTGACCGCGACTCTCCCCGCCCCGGTCAGCAGGCCTTCGAGAAGATGACTGCCGGTCTCTACCTCGGTGAGATCTTCCGTCTCGCCCTGGTCGACTTGATCGACAGCCACCCCGGTCTCATCTTCAAGGGCCAGGATGTTTCCAAGCTGCGCAAGCCTTACCTGCTTGATGCCTCCTTCCTCGCCAACATCGAGGAGGATCCCTTTGAGAACCTTTCCAACACTCTTGACCTCTTCAAGAGCGAACTGAACATCCAAACCACCGAAGCTGAGCGTGTTCTGGCCCGCCGTCTCTCTGAGCTGATCGGAACCCGTGCCGCTCGTCTCTCTGCTTGTGGTGTTGCTGCCATCTGCACCAAGAAGAACATTGACTCCTGTCACGTCGGTGCTGACGGCTCCGTCTTCACCAAGTACCCCCACTTCAAGGCACGTGGCGCCAAGGCCCTGCAAGAGATTCTTGACTGGCCCGCCAACGTGACTGACAAGGTCGACATCCTGGCTGCCGAGGATGGTTCCGGTGTCGGTGCCGCTCTGATTGCCGCTTTGACCCTCAAGCGTGTTAAGGCCGGCAACCTGGCTGGTATCCGTAACATGGATGACATGAAGACTCTTCTTTAAGCAGGCCGTTCTGCTTTATCTTAAGCCACTTTCATGCTAAGTGTTAGCAGCAAAAAGCCCCCCGAAGGTCAAAGCAAGTTGCTGGGGGGTACGATTTTTGAATGTTTGAATTATGTCATGATCTAGCTGAAGGTTTCGACTCACGAATTATCGATTCTATATGTTTGATTTTCCGACTGTATAGAAGAGTCCTATATACGAAAAGAGATCAATGAAGAGCGGGCTACTGTCCCCGAAAGCACTGAATGTAGCCCTAACCAGAATGTAGACGATACCTACATTGACTCGCACTAAGATATCAGACTATTAAAAATGGAATGAAAACCAACACCATCCAAAGATCTAAACCCCCGAATCCATCTGCTCAATATTAAATGCCTCATCATAAGCATTCCAAGAAGCGCAATTCTCTTTCAACCCACCAAAATCAATCAACGGTTCAATCTCACTCTCCCGCTCTAAGAACTGCAACGCAAACCCTTCATCCGTATGCCATCCAATATGACAATGCATAAGCCAAGCCCCTGGATTATCAGTCTCAAACGCAATAAGCAAAAACCCATTCCCAACCAACATGGCCGTATCCCTACGCGGCGGATTCGCAGTATGCACAACCCCATCCCACGGATTCGATCCCTGCGCCAAAACAAAGAAATCATGCCCGTGTAAATGAATCGGGTGCGCAACAGGGATACTCGTATTAATCATGAGATAAACCCACTCATGCGGACGAGGAAGTTCAATAACACCACTGGAAACAGTGAAATTGGGCGTGTTCTCGTTGTTGTGGAGTTGGAGGAGAGTCGGGTCTTCCCAGAGGACTTGCATCGTTGTGCTGTTGAGATACCAGCGGAAGAGGTTGGCGGAGTTGCGGCCTACTGTTACGTCGGTCATGTCGCTCCAGTCTGCTGCGGAGACGGTCTTGGGGACTTGGGGGATGAGACTGCTTGCTGGTTCGTCGATGCAGCTGTCGTTGAAGGTGAAGGGGTTTGTGGTTGGTGTTCGTGGTGTGTTGCCGTAGTACATTATTCCTCTTATGTTGTCTGGACTGGCGTTTTCGGAACATGCTTCTTGGGGAATGGCGCGGATCCAGAATGAGTCGGAGATTCGTCGTTGGTTGGCTGTTATTATTACGTCGTAGCGTTGGCCTGTTTTTGTTAGGGCTTGTTTTTTTTTAAATAGGAATTGGTAGGAAAGATCTAGTACGAACCCATTCCGATGTTGATATACTCTGCCTGGAAAGGCTTGATGGGCACGAAATCCATGCCGATGACTGTCATGGTATGGTTGTCGATCATGAATTTCCAGTGAGTATCAATGGCAGAGTTGACGATTCGTAGTCGATACGACGATCCTGAATTGACCTTCATCTGGAAATGTTTGCCTGTAGCATTGGTGCCGTTACCAAAGACATTAGTTCCATTGATGAGACCGGTGTCCATTATGGGAGGACCCTCAGTCTGAGCAACGATGGAAAGCTCATCAACCGTCTGGTGCGACCAATCAGTCAAGAACAAGCTGCCCTTGTCAATGTCATAGTTTCCAGTTGCAGGGCCATTGATGATGATTCCACCAAAGACACCCTGCCAAGCTTGCAGGCCAATGTGAGAGTGGTACCAAGAAGAACCATATTGCTCAGCGCGCCACTTGTAGGTGATAGTTGAGCCAGGCGCAGTGGGGCACTGGGTAATAGAGACAACACCATCATTTCCATTGGTATAGTTCTGTCTGATGCCGTGCCAGTGAATGCTAGTCCCATTTTTGGATACTTTCAGATTGTTCGCAACGTGTATGACGACCCAGTCGCCCCAGTCTGCGAAAATGGTCGGGCCAGGGATGGTGCCGTTGATGGTCATCACTGAACGGCTGAAGCCATCTGGTGCCAAATTGAGATCCTCAAGGCTGAGCCAGTACTCGCGAGTCACACCAGTGTTGGGCACAGTCTTCGTATAGTCTGTGTTCACATCGTAGTTGCACCACTTGGATCTGGTTCTAGCTGTATTGCCAGAGCACGGTGTTCCTGTTGGCTTGTGGATCTTGGTGGTTGTCTTGGTGCTGGTAGACTTCGTGTGTGTTGGATGTAACTTAGTGGTAGTGATTGTTGTTTTGGTTTTTGTTATGTGCCTGTGGTTTGCAGCCTCAACCTCATCTTGTGGAAAGGCTGCAGCAGTGGCACACAGACTCAATGCCAAAACGAGGAGGCTGGGGAGTCTCATGGCTGCTATATAACCAATAGGACAACTTGAGGGCTGTGTGCGAATAGGTATATACTCGATATAGATAGTGTTCAACGCTTCCAGCCTAGTACAAAGCAAGCAAAGCTCAATGCATATCAAATAACGAATGTGGGTTGTTGACGATTGAAGCCAAGAGATATGTCCTCTACTTAAATCATAACCCCCTCAGAAAGGCCCGTAGAGCACGGCTCAAGTGGACTTTTTGGCCGGACGAACTAATCCACGTGCTGCATTTCACGAGGTTTCCTGCATCTGGACCTTGCCAGGATATGCCGGGTATCTTTGCAGACTTCATTGAAGAAAACAATGACTCCGACATACATGATCCCGCGGACGAATAGCTGTGTGAAGGAGTCTCCTTCCAGCTCGGGTGCTGAGGCTATGGGCTCATCCTTGGACATGCGACTAAGCCGCCATGTTCAGCTCAACGTACAGTTCAGACAATAACCATTCAGCGTGTTGGAATACGCTCGGCTCAGAATACTTCCTAGATGCGCGATTGGCCGGTGATGGCTTTGTATATTGACCTCGCAAGGTCTAACTGTTTCAGGAACCGATTAATATCCGGGATATTGCTTTTTCTTCGTATCCATGATCGCCAGTAGTCTGGATTCCCGACAAGTGATAGGGCTGTGCGTCTCATGCCATCGATACAGCGATCAATCGAGCCAATGGCGGAGGCTTAAGAGAGTCGGGTGCATGGGTCTCACTCGACCGCAGTCAGATTGGCTTGCCTTAGGGTTAAGCTCCCCGAGACGCCACTGCCCGGTTTTGGTGCTGGGCAATTCCAATCTCAGCGATATACGAGCTTTCGGTAAGCCCCTCGTGTGCAAGGTACAGTGTCATTCGTAACGTCGTATATGGCATGGTTTCTTCTTTCAGGGTGTCAAATGGTTTTCTAGAATCGGTAAGCTGTAAGAAAGCATCTCCAGGTTGACGTAATTCCTGCATCGTGAATGGATCTCCATCTGAGTACCGGGGGTTGGAGTAGTTCAGATCGGAACTTAGAAAGTACAGATGGTGGACACAGCCAGGCCCCTAATGGCTGTGACAAGGGGTGTTAGTGCATTGCCCGTGTGATCCTGGTAATGGTTGCAAGATACGTACCCCCGTCAGCTCGTACCAGGCTAAATTAGAATGATGGCTGGGGGTATACATAAAGGGGAGAAATGAGAATCAGCAATCACAATATCTGTTTAATTGGGGCGGTGGTTCCCAGCGCTCACGCCTCTAATTGTATCTGATCACATTTACTTGCAACTATTGATATCTCGTTCACTATACCCTCTGTGCCCCCTTCTTAGTCTAAAATTCTCCTTCATATTCGTGACCTCCCAGTCAAGAACTGCTCGGATTGTCTTAATCAACATCTATTGCAAAATGCGATCACTTTTGGTGCCTCTACTCCTGGCCCTCGGGATAGCCTCTGCGAATCCACTTAGGGCGCGGCAAACGACCGCCCCCTTCAAGATATATGCATACGGCAAGGATATTAGTGGATTGCCAGTTTTTTACAGAAATGGTACTTTCAGCCCATTTTCCTGACGCGACATAATCTGACCATCAATCTGACCATAGGTGCTGCTGAGCTTGCCGATACCACCAAGATCGATGTATCTACAATGACCACTGTCCAGTGTAAAGTCCATCCCATTTGAAAACAAGTATCAAGAGGATCATCTAACTACTTCCCAGTTGCTTATTCCACCGACTCATCAAACACTTGGATCGCATCTCCAGACTCCACTCAGCGCTCTGCCCCATTCTCGGCCGACGTGCTGTGCCTAAACCAAGGCACTGCGTCGGCAAACCCGGTCAGCTTCAGTGGGAATTCCGACGTGCAGCGCTCGAACAAGCTAAGCAACGTGTGGTCCCTGTACGGCAGTTATGTGCTGGTCACACTAGACAAGGTCAACTTTTACGCCAAACCGACGGGCACAGATGGCGTGTACTCGCTGCTTTGGAGTACCTCCGCTGAAGAGATGAAAGATACCATCCCGCTAACTCTGCGGACTATGGCGCCGGCGACAGTGTCTGTGCTCAATTGAGCTAAACCGATGGCAGTTGACGGTGTAATGAAGCTAAGAATGCGGAGAATAGCTGTGCAGTGAGGGGTCTGTGGTAGGGCGTGCAGTAGTTCGATCTTGGCTCTGCATCTCTGTGTTGGCGGAGTTATGTTGCCGAGAATGCGGCTCGGCTCTGCCTTCCTTTGCTTGTTGGGTATACATTAGGATGTGCTTTTGGATGGGTATTTCTATTCTTAAGTTGCTTGCTTGTGTCAATGCTGATTGCGATGTGGGGAAGTCTTTGTCTCTGTCGCCACTGGTTATCAAGGACTACACCTATGGCCATGATGTTGGTCTTCAATGCTACCACTGTAGGTGCACATAACATTGAATGCTTTTGAGCAATGAGGGGCAAAGGGCAGAATATTATTCCAAACGAAAACTGAAGCACCAAGTACGTAGATACAACAGGGTAATCTCGCAGAAGAAACGCCCATGGCTGGACCTCAGGAAAAGAAGGAAGCCCAACAAAATATTAGCAAAGTGTTGGTAACCCAGGGACGAAAACCGGATGAAACGGAATAAAATAGCATAATGAACGGACTAGACAAGGTAAATAACCCATAAAAGCAAGGCACAGATGGCCAGATCGGATGGAGGAAAAAACGACTTGATGCAAAACAAGCATTGATATCAAAAGACATAGAACTCCCCTTTCTCCCAAACCCATTTAACGCCAGACTGTAAACGAAGAAGAAAAAAAAATCATCAAAGTGCTCCTTGAAAAAACACCGGATCTTCCTTGCCCATCCATCGGTAAACTGATATCACAATAATCCATTGCTTGAAAAAAAAAAGGTAAGAAAAGAGAAAAGAGGGAGGAAAGCAAATTTCTGTAACCCCCAGCTGTACCGGATCATCATCGAATGACCCTAACTAAGACTTCGGACTTAAACGCGTGTCGATCGTTTCCGTAAACCAAATTCTTGTTCTTGGATCTCTCGTATCAAACGAAGGCTTTCCTCGTCACCGACTTCCTCCCCCGTCAACTGCTGGGTATGTTTGTGTTGACGCGGGGATAGTGACGTGGGAGCATGACGATGGAAGTGCTTCTCATACATTGGAGAGCTCTTTTTCGCATGCGAAGACGAGGGTCGCGATGAAGGTTTTCTCGTCGATGGTGGTGGGGGTGTTCTCTTCCGCACGCCAATGGCAGATGGTGCATGTGCCGCCGGCTTTGGAGCCCGAGTCACAATTGGTTCAGGTACAAATCGGTCGACGTGCCGGGGCTGACGAGACGAGTGCCGCGAACTGGAGTTGGGCGTGTTTAGAGCTGCCCAAACTTCTCCTTCCACGGATTGTACAGCCTCGCCCTCTTGGACCACATCCATCTCGTCGGCCAGCGACGTGGGCGGTGACACCAGGGATGTGTCTGGCTTAGATGAAGACACAGGCACGGCGTCCAAATCCTTCGCATCCATGGACTCGGGCTGGAATGTAGGAGGTGAGACGTAAAGAGCTTCACTCTGAAGTGCATCGCCTTCTTCTGGCAGATGCTTGCTGGAGTCAACATTCATGATCGGTTCGTGACCAAAAGGCTCCATCAACCCAGACTGGGGCATCTGTTCATCTCCATCACCATGATTGAAGAAAACCGCTGGCTTCGTCATGGGCGATGTACTCTCCTGCTTTGTTTTCTTTGCCGTGGCAGGAGAGCCCTCCTCGTCAGCAGGACGCGCCCGCTTTGCAGAGGCATTTGCACGGGGTTTAGAGCGCTCCTGGGCTTTGATCGGATCTATTCGGCCATATTCGTCATGTATGCAGCGACGCTGTGTGTATGTTAGTAAAAGTGGAGAATGGGGAAAAAGCAATATAATGGGAAATCACATACCTTGCTTTTCCGACAATCATCACACGCCTTGCTGCGCCCTTTCTTCCCACCATTGGCACCATCCGGACTTAAATCAATCAAACGATTGGCAGCTGCCGTTGAGTTGCCCATGACTGCTGACTGGAATCTCGCAGAGCTCTCAAACCGGTCAAGATCCATGAGTTGACCATTGCTCGGGAAACCTGTTTGAGATGCAATCGCCGCCAATGAATTCAACGCAGAAACTGCATCCTGGGCTAAAGAAGAGGGCGTGCTTACGCCTGAGCCAGGCGTGAAAGCATTGACTGCCACTTGTCCATTGAGCACCAGATCACCAGGTTCATCCTTGTGTCGGCATCGAATACGTCGTTTACGACACGCGTCACATGCCACTCGTTTTGGACCAAGGCCTGAGCTTCGTTGGACAACTCGAGGCTTGGGAGTGGTGATTTCTTTGGTAGCGGAGTCTTGAAGGGGGTTGAAAGGTGCTGGAGTCGCATTTCCGTCGGGCTGTCCTTGAACGAGGCTGCTGTGCTGAGGAATTGGTGTTGCGGGGGGTTCTTCCGAGGGCCAATGAACTGCTTGTCTTTCCGCGTAGGTACGCTGATTGTCGGCGTTACGTTCGGATCGACGACTGGGCCGCCCCGCAGACTTCTTTTCCACAAGAGACACCTTGGGGTTGCTTTCAATGACACCTGGCCGAGTCCACATGGGAGACCTCTCGTTACCACGCTTCCAAGCCACCCAGATTCCAAATTTCCTGATGACATCTACGGGATCACCGGTGCCTTTGGGGATGGAACGCCTGACCGCGTTTCGAGTTTCGATGGAGATGTTCCCATCAACGGTGTATCCCCCAGCAATGAGTGCCGTCCGCAATAGATACCTTGTCAATTCTGGAAGGCCTTCTAGCTCAGCTTGTGAATAGAAACGTGCGTTGTGAAGATGATGTCCTCGAGGCTCTTGATTGACACGCTCTCCAAATTCGTAATAGATCGGATATTGGCGGTGGAAGCGATAGTGATCATCCTGCATGAAGGCTTCCAGGACGTTTTGTGGGACGGGGTCATCCTCCAGATACTTCAAGGCTGTATACCACTGGATCTTCTGGAAAAACGGGTATCTGAACTTCTTCGGAACCTTGGTATCCTTTTCAATGTTGAGCACCTTGATCTGCATGCCGTAGTTCAACTTGGTAAGGAAGTTACCACCGATGACAAGACTGTTCTTTGGGGTCCACACTGCATGAATCCAGCCGGACGGGATAAGCATGGTATCACCCTCAGAAAGATCAACGCGATAACACTCCTTTGTCTGATTACCAAGGAAGATTGAATCCTGAGCGGGGGAGTTGCACCACTCTTCGTACTTTTTGAGGTGCTTATCTTTGGGGGGAATGAAGAAAAAGGTCTTCTTGCCCTTCAGGATATGGTAGTATACCGAAGACCCGCCGAAGTCGATATGGAAATCGGTGTAACAATCGGCAACCGACATCAGACAGTAGAATTGAACCTTAGGGTAGTCACCAACGGCCTTTAATTCTTCTGGCCACACGGCATCTTGTAAATCCAGGTCACGTACAACCTTTGGCCGGCGGATGAGTCTGCCCAGCTTGCTTTGCGAGACTTCCAAACTGATGACGTTTCTGACAGGCTTATCCGGTTCGGTGCTCTCGTAATAATCGGCCCATTTTTGCATGTTCCATCTCTTGTCTTCTCCTTGTTGGGATTTCACATCGATCACCTCAACCCTTTCTTCCAGTCCATAAAGCTCTGCCACAGCACGCACCGTAAGGCCTTGAGGGATGACCATACCCAGGAGATCCTGGCCACAGTCAACAGCATCTTCGACCTGAGGCTCATGCTCCGGAAGATGCTCAAGAAGTTCATCAAACATTTCTTGAGAGGGGGCTTCCTGGACCAAAGTTTCGAGCTCGGAATTTTCTTCTCGTTGATGAATTGGCTCGCTGGTGTTCCAGCAGGCAGGAATGACAATGGGCTCGGTCCATCCATTACCACGCTCGAAATATTCCGCGGTGACCAGTTCTGGTTTCATTCGCGGGAACTTTTCTGGTTGAAATCGAATCTTGCCTTGGCGAATAGGCTCTAGATAGTGGTGCTCAAGCGAATCACTGGCAGCCTTGACGACACCTTGGTTGAGACCAGCGTAGTCGATAGCCGTGCGCGCCCTGGAGGACTTCCGCACAAAGGTAGTTTGACCGTACGTCGTTCGACATAGCCGGCAAATGTACTTGTCAATTGTGCGAATCTCCCGATCCGTCTTGAAGCCGGCACAGAGGATATGGAACCATCGGTTGCATCCGTCGCAGTTGATCCATGTATCTTCATCTTGCTCCTCGCTGTCGGCCGGGATTCGCACCAGATGACATCCTGCGCAGCTTGCTAAGTTGGTGTCGCTTTCCTCTGATTCTGTTTGTGGCGGAAAATTTGATGTTTGGTGTAGAAAATGTGGATCCGAAGAAGTGGCGGAGGGCTGAACTTCGAGGGCTGTAGTATTGGTTGCATCTACTGAAGGATACCAGGCGGTGTTTTCGTTTTCATCCTCCCACACAATAGGCGGCAGGGTTCCAGCACTAGTCGTTGGGCGGACTCCTCGAATCACAGGACGGGATAGGAAGGCTGACCCGTCGGAGCGAGAGCGCATACGAGAGGTAGGGATGTCATCGGGGTTGTGGGTTGATTTTGCGTCGCCGTGATCCGCATGTCCACCAGCCGAGAGTCCCACTTGAGATTGACGCATCACGTCGTCCACATAGTGATTGAAGGACTCGTCGATGCTGACTCTTTTTGCGTGATTGCCGGGTAAGAAATTAGTTGGCCGTGCAAAATTGAGTAGGAGCTCCGCATCAGTCGTCATGCTTTCCAGCCCGGCAGGTCGAGCAATTTCTGTGGGCATTCCTGGCCGCGTGCGGTAGGGCGACGGATCTCTCACCGACCGGGCTCGTTTGGCAGGACGCTCAATCTCTGCGGAATCATAGGGAAAGAGAGGGATTGAAGATCGAGGACCCGGAGAGGACGGGTTTGGAGGGAGTGGTGCGAATGTAGGGCTGGTTGCGAGTGCGATTGTCGCAAGCGTGTCAATGGTTGAATTTGAGCGGCCATGCCCCGATCGTTGGTGTGAGCCATTTTCGGCGACATGTCGATTGTGAATTGACGGGCGTTGGTCGTGATCAAGACTAGTAGCTCGAGGGGGTCCGCGAGCGATCCAGGATGAGGAAATATCCGTGGCGGTGGATGGAGTGATGGGTTCGACGGCGCGTAGCGGAGGGGACGGAGTACGGTACTGAGGTGGGCGACCGCCGATGGGGCTCGCGAACGATGCCGCGCTCATCATTTTCGCAACCCAGAAGAGGGTATATTATAGAATATTGAGGACGAAAGGTCGGAGGTGCGAAAAGTTGCGCTTGCGGCAGGTGGGTGCAAAGCGGGGATGCTGGACCACACGGGCTAGCGAGAGGCCGGCGCAGGCGACGGGAATGTCATTCCTGGCAAAAGAGCATGCGCACAGTGGACCGCGGTAATATGATGGAGGTTTGATGAAGGATTGAGGGCAGGGTGACTGGTCGACGGGGGTCGCGGAGCGCGATGCGTTGAGGGGGTCTGTATCGAGCGGCGGGAGGACAAAGGCGCCGAGAGTCGCGCCGCAACTTGCGGGCAGGTAGGAAAGTGAATCGAGGAGGATCCAGCAGCCAGGGATCAATACCTGTCAACCGGATGAAAACCGAGGGAAATGCGAATGGATGAAGCGCTGAGCAAGATGAGCGCGGAGTGGTGAAGGGGAAAGCGGGAGTAGCAAGCAACTTCGAAGGTAGTATGTGTACGGGTACGGAGTACAGCGGTCTACAACGTTTCAATAAAATTCCCCCGAATTCCTCAGTTCATTTTTCTCTGAAGCTCTATTCTGCCAATCTCTAGATGCGCTGGCATTTACTTGGGTTGCTCCCTACTCAATCTGGAGAAAGACATGCGCATGGCAAAGAGAAGATCACGAACTCGAGCATCAATACGGTAGTCCATAGAGGCCAACCCGTCCTTTCGACATTTCCTATTCCGTACAGAGTGTACGGTAATTACCCGTTTAAAGTTACGGAGTATACTACTACTACTACTACTATAAGGTGATTATTGAGAAGGGACTGATGCATCGACACCCTCGCGGATAGTATGAGGCAGCAGAAAAGATACAAAACCCGATAAGCTAGCACAAATGATTGGGGGTGTCAACAGAAGAATCCAGTCAAGAAATTATCAGTATCACCCACATCTGACTGGAAGGTCAAGATCTCAAAAGGTATGCTCAAGTGACAGAGTGAAGAGTTTGGTATCACCAGCGAGGGGCCGGTCATTGTGTAATGCAATATATCCTCATACTATCAGCTTCATTCATCTTCGTTTTTTATAGTTTCAACCCCTTTTTACTCTTTTCTTTCATCTCGAGGACGAGGGTACATTGTGCATCCGACACTGTCACCTGACACACTGGTACGGACCACAGCTTCACCACACCAAATGCCGTCAGATACGATACATACAATACACCCGTCAAATTACAGCTAAGCCCAGACAAACCAAGCGCGGCGCCAAGAAACCTCGTGGATGTTCTTGCGCCTTGCTCTCCAACTTCTGCTTCTTCGTTAATTCAACCTGCAATCGATACCTTGCGTATCTTTTAACTCAACACTCTCATTCAACATCCCCTCGACTCTCTCACCTCTGAGAATGAGCCGAAAGCTCGCCCCCGAAGCCAATCGGTACGTGGAATCACTTTTTCCATGCCCCTCTCCCCGATTGTCGGCACTCGACCATCCGGCCATCCACTGGATGGGGATCGAGTGCTTAGAGGCAGTCTTTTAATCCTTATCTCTGATGGCTAATTGCTTTTTTTTCTAGGATTCTCTTCGTCAAGAACCTCAAGTACGTACTTAGTCGCTCGCAGCTTTGCCCGGGCTCGGTCCCCGGAGTTTCGGCCTCGCATATCCTCATTTGAAAACAACGGACAAATTGCTGACGTCCTTTTGCAGCTACAACGTAACAGCGGAACAACTTTTCGACCTCTTTGGCAAATTTGGCGGAATTCGGTAAGAGCCTTCTATAGCTCGTTTCAGAACTCACTCTGACGATGTTCTACCTGCAGTCAAATTCGCCAGGGAATTGCGAACAACTCCAAAGGAACCGCATTCGTCGTCTACGAAGATGTGCACGACGCCAAACAGGCATGCGACAAGCTAAATGGATTCAACTTCCAGAACAGATACTTGGTCGGTACGTATCTGCACCTGAAACATGAGAGTCGAGCCCCCCAAAAGCAGGTTAACTGACCTGTTTGTGATATAGTTCTGTATCACCAGCCAGAGAAGATGGCCCGCACGAAAGAGGACCTCTCGGAGAGGCAAGATAACTTAGAACGGCTCAAACAGCAACACGGGATAGAATGATGTGACGACTTCCTCCTTCTCATGATGGCCCCTGCTAGCATATGGCCGCGCACGGTGTTGCGACGGCTCTACTATTCAATCACGGCTTGGTTGAGGGGTTTCCGGCGTTTTTATTCCCTGGGGTTTTTTCTCATTTCAGAGGGTTTGGTAGTGGGCGAGGCTGGCTCTGGTCGTCAGAAATTGACCCAGATATGATCGTGCGACACGTCCCGCGAGATTTGATTTCTTCTTCTGTCTATTCTATTTAACCATTACTACTATTACTTCCGTCAATCCGACCCTCCACTTTGCTCCACTCACCTTTCTTGTGGCACGGTCAGATCTGGAAATCAATTCCGAGCTTGACTTTAGTCTCTCTTGGAGGTATGGCGCGTGGACGTCCAGCCAGAGCTTTGGGCCTGCGACTCAATCCAGGTCTACAGGTCGACAAGACAAGGTTTAGCGCATTGCTGGAGCAGTACCCACCTTCATGCAGACGATCAGAACCTTGGAGGGTCGAGTGCGTCAATCACGCTGTCGTATGCCCAAGCTATATACCTTGAATACCTAGCCTAGTAGCTCGATGCCGAAGTAGAGAATGTCAATGTGCCAAGACACGGACCCTTAAAATAGAGAAGTGAATATCAGCCTTGCCGATCCCGCTGCGGGGGGACCCTGACACCGCCCCAGGCGCAGCATTGGAAGGCCTTGGACTCCCACATTGAAAATTCAATTCAGACCCTGGAGAACATTTTTGATCTTGAAGAGAAACCCAGTTCTCTGTGTGTCTGACCTTCACGGGTGGTTATATGCCCCATACACGCGAGGTACACCTGACCCTACTTCCATGTCACGCGTATGACGTTCCAGCCGCCTCCGCCTTTGATAAGCTTTGCCCGCCTTCGAACCACCTCGACTCATCGCTCATCGCACCTATCCCTTCTGAATAGCCTCGATCTAGTGCTGGTACCGCTAGGAAAATGATCGACGACGTGGCCGCGTCTTTGGCCTCGATAACAACAACCACCCTTGTCGCTGCCAGCGGTCTCGGCTCATATTCTGGCATGGCGCTCCCAACACCTTCAGGCTCACATACACTGTACCATCATGGTTCATCTTCTTCAGCCCCAGCGCAAGATCCTAATGGAGATGATGGGGGAGAATGCAAGTTGCTCGGTCCGTTCTCTGTATTCGTGCAGATTGCCCTTGGTGGGCTCGCGCTCTTATCACTCGTTTTCAAAAGGTGGAGAGAGCGGCCACAGCGCCCCGTGAAGGTGTGGGCTTTCGATGTATCGAAACAAGTTTTCGGATCGAGCATGCTCCACATGCTAAATTTGCTATTGTCGATGTTCTCGGCTGGCCAGCTGGAGATTCGAAATTCATATAAGCCGAACCCATGCTCTTTCTATCTACTCAACCTGGGAATTGATGTGAGTCTTGGGTGCCATAAAAACCCGTATGCTGGAACTGCTAGCTGACCTCTTGTGTAACAGACCACTCTCGGAATTCCTATTCTGATTCTTATGCTTCGCGTGCTTAACTTCTTAGCTTCCTACACTATTCTTGCAAACCCTCCTGAGTCGATCGAGTCAGGAAACTATGGACATCCCCCACGTGCAACATGGTGGCTCAAACAGGCCATCATCTACTTTATGGGATTGCTCGGCATGAAGATATGCGTCTTCTTCTTGATTCAACTATTGCCTTTCATCGTGAAGATCGGCGACTGGGCTCTACAATGGACAGAAGGAAACACCGCCGTCCAAATCTTCTTTGTGATGCTTCTCTTCCCAGTCATCATGAACGCTATTCAGTACTATATCATCGATATATTCATCAAGAAACCGGTCTCTCAATACACCACAGAAGATGCCAACGACGATTCTGCCACAGAAGACGACGCCCATCGCCGGGAGGCTCTCCTTGACGGCCTGGATGCGTCTTATTCATCTGACTCAGATGATGAAACTCCCGGAAAACCTCAAATCGCTCATTCCCATCCGAAAGCCGCAACTGCTCTCCGCGAATCAGAACAGCTGCTTCCGGAGGATCACTCTCCCGTTCCTCCATATGAACCTCCTAGCTCGAGTAGCAGCCATGACGAGCCTGATTCCAAGGCTCGTCCTTCTCGTTAACCTTGATACTTTGACTGGACTTTGGCGCTTGGACATTTGATCTTCTCTCTTAGGTAGATATTTTGATGACCTGAATGTGTATACGATTATCGCTCACGCTGTTGACCCTTTTTTCTTTCCACATATTGCATATCTAAATCAAGAGCAATGTTCACAGCAGATGTCTCCAGGTGATTCCCTCACTAATATTTGAATCCCTGGTTAAAGCTCGAAGACTGAGCACGGCACTTGGACGCAATTCTGTAGGAAACATTAAGGAAGAACAAAGCATTGGAAGATAGTGCAGAAAAGAGAACAAAAACAGGTTTATATAAAAAACTGATATGGAGTAGAATTCATGAGGTTACTGAGCGAGTACTCCGAATTTCGTCTTCGACCTCGTGAAGTAGTGATCTGTTAATTCTGTGCGAGTACCTAGGTATAGCCGGACCCCTACGAAACTCACTTCCTCCCTTCCAAGGTTCAATGCACCACATGCTCCGTGACTTCAAACGAACAACACCAAGGCACCAGCCCATTCAACACTTATCTCTCGACTTTTTCTATGATCAAACAATATGCTGTTACGCGATTCAGAATGCGAGGCATCAAACAAGACCGTGTACAATTGACGCCCCTGATGATACCAAAATCTCCCGATTTTGACGTCAAAGATTCTCAATTCTTCAGAAAGTTCACCAAGTTGCCCACACCGGAAGAAGTACGCTCGCAGGCCAAAGCCCAACATCTCGCAGGAGTCTGCCCAGACGATAGAAAAACCTTCTCGATAACCGGCCCTCATGTGCGACCACCACCTGTGATATTCAAGGATCTGGGACTGTTTGTTAAATGGGGAAGCGCTGCGAGAATTTCAGAGGGTCAGTGCCTCTATGCTCTCGGCCAGGTCCTCAAAGATCATGTCCCGGTTCCGGAGATATACGGATGGCGGGAGGATGGCGGCCAAACTTTCATTTATATGGAGTATTTGCATGCGCAGACTCTGGAGCAAGTGTGGGACAAGCTGGAACCTGATGACCGTATTTCGATCTGTTGTGAGCTCCGGACAATCTTCAGCAACCTTCGCTACCTTGAACAGAAGCCGGCAGAATCATTCATAGGTACGATGCTCTCAACGGCCTCTGCATTTCCTGAACTGCACCCATAACTCGCTCTCCACGTATAGGTAACATTGCACAAGCTCCTCTATATGACAGAGCATTCCACGCCGAATCCATGCCCGAAGCAGGGCCGTTCAATACCGTCCAGGAATTCCATGACTGTTTCACTTTCCTACATCGAAAACCAATGCCAGATCCATATTCTGTCCCAATCGAACCCTTCCGTCGGGACCTGCCTGATGATAGTGAAATTAAATTTACGCATGGCGATCTCCACCGGAGCAACGTCTTGATAACATGCTCTGAGCCTTATCATGTTCTTGCAATCATCGATTGGGAACAGTCAGGTTGGCTACCTGTGTACTGGGAGGCCAGAAAGGCGCAGTATACTGCTAACAGGAATGACGAATGGTCAAAAAAATATTTGCCAATGATTTTGTGTCAGTATACCAGCACTTGGGATCCGTGGGACTACTACACGACGGCTATGGGATGTTGAGATAAAGACAGCGTTTCATTACTCCGGCTTTTATTGATCTCTTTGCGTGAAATGTGATTGAAGTATGAACTACGTAGGTACGGAGGGTGGAATAGTGTCCACTGGTACTATGACTTGAGCCAAGATTCTCACCGCTGGACCTACCGCCCTATTCTGCCGGTTCTGGAAAAATCAAAGAAGAAAAATATTCTAGCTCCGCCCGAGAAATTGCGGCTACAATTGGATTAGTTCCTGCCAATATCTCTTTGGTGGTCTGATTCGAACGCTCTGTTGCCAATACCGAATATACACATTACCGCACGACATGCCCAACGTTGGGTTAAAAGAAAAGTCCAAGCGGACGACCGCGCGGTCTCCGTTCGAGAACGATGCAGCCAATGCCCGCCCAGAAGACTCCGATGTCGAGATGGGCGACGAGACTAGTTCGGACGAGGAAGATGCGCCCGAAAAGGACGAGGCGGAGTTGAAGCTTGAGCGCATGCTCTTTGGCGACGATGAGGGGTTCATGGGCGCATTGAAAAAGCAACAAGATCGCGAAGCTGGAATGGCTCTCACTCTGAACAGTGATGAAAGCGACGCCGAGGCAGAGTCCGAGGGTGAGGCTGAAGATCTGGCTGGCATGGCCGACTCCGACGTATGCAATCCTTGTCTTGTCTTCATTACCCGTTCACGACCTAACATAGTTCGCTTGATATAGCTCTTCTTCCTCGACTCAGGTGCTCCTCCCACCACGGACTTACTTCCCGAGGCGGAAACCCCTTCGGATGACGAGGACAACGGACAAGATGGAGAGGCCGCGGTGTGGTACGACAGTGACGATGACCGTCTGGCAGTCTCGCTAGCAAGCCAAGCCAAACTGCGCAAACTGCGCGATACCGAAGCTGAGGATGTGGTCAGCGGCAAGGAATATATTCGACGACTGCGCAAACAATTCACCCGCCTACACCCCACGCCCGAATGGGCAACCCTGGAGCAGAAGCGCCGTAAGACTGACTCTGACGACGAGCAAGAAATTGACTCCGATGACGAGAACGAGCATCTCACCATGCAGCCTCTGGCCAAGCTTCTCCAGAACGCCTCGGACCTCACTCGGATAGAAGACAACTCGCGCTCTGCAAAGCGCAAGTTGCGCCAGGAAGTTATCGATATCCAGAGAGTCAAGGATGTCGGCAAAGCGCAACCCTCCTCTGTCGACTCCCTCAACTTCCACCCGCATTACCCTCTCCTGCTTTCCTCTGGTCCTGCATCAACTCTCTTCATGCACCATATCTCTCCCTCCGCACCCGCTCCTAACCCTCTCCTCACTTCCCTGCACATCAAGCGCACTCCCATCCACACTTCAGCATTTGCCCCGCCGACAGGAAACAAGATCTTCGCCTCAGGCCGTAGGCGCTATTTCCACATCTGGGACATGGACACCGGCAAGATCGACAAGGTCAACGGCTCCGCTGACAGAAAAGAAGAGCAGAAGTCCATGGAACGCTTCAAGCTCTCTCCCTGCGGCCGCTTCGTTGGTCTCATCGGTACATCCCGCAAGGGTGGTGGTTTGATCAACGTTCTTGACGCCAACACTGCACAATGGATCTCTCAAGTCCGCGTCGACGGCCGAGGTGGTGTCGCCGATTTCGCGTGGTGGTCCGACGGCGAGGGAATGACCGTCGCCTCTAAGAACGGAGAAGTCTCCGAGTGGGACGGACGTGTTGGGCGCATTATCGCCCGCTGGGTCGATGCCGGTGCTGTCGGTACGACTGTTCTCAGCTTGGGTGGACGGTCCGGTCGTACCCAGCTTGGTGGTGATCGCTGGATCGCGATCGGTTCCTCTAGCGGTATCGTTAACATTTACGATCGCCGCGAGTGGGCCGCTGCGTACGCTAAAGCTTCTGCTGCTGATAAGGAGTCCTCGGCTCAGGCTGGTATCCCACGCAGCCCTACGCCTGTGCGTGTTTTGGATCAACTCACCACTCCTATCAGCCACTTGGTGTTTGCGCCTGATGGACAGATGATGGTTATGGCGAGTCGCTGGAAGCGTGATGCTCTGCGTCTTGGTATGTCTTTGTGGTTCCTGGCCCTATCTTGCTCTTTGCTAACTATTGCTCTTAGTCCATCTTCCTACCTGCACAGTGTTCCGTAACTGGCCCACTTCTAACACACCGCTTGGCCGAATTTCCTCCGTGGCAATCTCGCCAAACTCGGAGCAGTTGGCAGTCGGTAATGAGCAAGGTAACATCCGCATGTGGGAGATTCGAGGATAGGTTATATATTCCAAACAAAATATTCAATTCTCTTGTTATTAAGTATCCAACGCTTCAAATTTGGAACAGTGATTTAGTCACTGCTCTTGATATTTCTACCTACGCATCGTGAACATGGTGAACCCCATTCGGAACTTGAGCTACGAATCAGTTCTGACGGATTGAAGTGTCGACTGCCTTGACCAACCAGTACGAACAACACATAATTACATCCGGGTGGTATTCTGAAAATGAAAGAGAATGGTCAGTCATATATCATTGCAAGGCCAAAATTTGATTTTCTGCCCAAAGTTGGAAGGCTTCTAAGTAGCAAAACAAACACGCAGAGCGCCCAGACGAGGAGAGGTATAAAGCAAGATAGATAACATGTCAGCTGCGTCAATCAAATCAAGGTCGTGGTATCATTCGTAAGGAAGGTCTATACTGCTAGCTTTTTGGTTCAAGCGTGTTCAGTAACAGGGGTATATGGGGTAAATAGGAAGAAGATTGTGGAGAATCCAAGATGTCAGCAGACAGTCCTGAACATAGTGTGAAGATCGGGGTGGGGTATAGGTTGATGGATGGTGAGAAGGGGTGGAAACAGAAGACAGAGGGAAAAGGCTATTCTCCAGGTCCACTGGATGCCCAGCGTTGAGGTCGCTTCCCTTGTTCAATGTAGTTTTTGATAACACAAGGAGCGCGATCAGGACCCTGGCAAACCTTGTGGCGATTGAGATGTTTGAACTTCGGGCCAAGAGGCCCGTTAACGTAGTGATACTGGCCAGCGAATCGGTACTGGCGTTCATCGCCCAGTGGGTAGAACTTGTCGCCCCATTTGCCCTTGAAATGGAACCATTCAGTCGGGGCAGATGGGTTTAGGGTTGAGGCGCGCAGGTTTTGACTCTCAAAGTCATATGTGTAAGTTTGTGAGTTGAGTAGAGGATCCCACAATGGGCCACGATCTGTGACATCGTGCAGCAGTCCCCAAGGCAAAATGTACTCATGTATCCCGGTTGTGGCGTACATGGCGTGGCTGCCCTCGGCAGAGTATATCACGGGCTTGGCGGAGGTTGTTAGCTTAACTATACTGTTCACTCGGAGGTTAGCGACTCACTCGTTGACCTATCTTCTCAACCGCCTCGTAGCTATACGCCTCTCCACCTTGGTGGGCGCTGAAGAACAGCGCTTTCGGGACACCGTCGTGGAATCGCATCAGACAATGCTCCCAATCACCGACATGGTTTCCGAATCGGACATTGATGACAGTGTTGCCGAGATTGAAGCTGTAGAAGTAGAACCAGTATGCGTCTATGATTCCATTGCCTTTGTCCATCACTACCAAAATCGCCGGCGCATCACTTCGCCCACCCTGGCCATCATCGTGGATCTTTTGCCCACCATATCGCTTGCGCAGCTCTTCCTTGAGTATTTCCTGTGCCTGCTCATATTCACTGGGTCTTGGCTCGGGGGCAGTAATGGCTTCTTGTTGCAATTTGCGGAAGTCATACCACTTCGCACGATTCTCTTCGGTATCGCCGGGGATATCGCCATCCACTCGACCGTCCCAGTCCGCCCATGACTCTTTCATGGGGTTTGCTCCACCTTGTGGGATGTTTCTTTCACCTTCCAGCCAAGGTGGGCGCTTCTGCACATCATCATTGCTGGTCAAAAAGACAGACCTGCCTCTTTCCCACTGATTCAAAGGATCCAAGTCATTCAGCGTTGGATGGTCCCATTCAGCTTGAATGGGAGTGTAATTGAGCATGGGAGTGGTGTGATACAAGTGTTCGGCGATATCCCCGGGCCAGAATTGTTCGCCAGAATAAAGGTGGACGAGTGGGGCATAGTTCAGCACATAGTCGGGGATCTGCCGCCGAGCCCGCTCTTCGGCATCCCACTCGGCGTCGCTAGCCCCGCTAAGCCAAAAGGACCGCCAGGGTTCTTCTGGCTCCGCAGTTTGTGCATCTGCCCACTGTGTTGGGTCTCGTTCGCCAAATTTACCCTGTGCGATATGTAGATGTGCCGCACCACAGACACCGAGCCATCGGCAGGACTTGCGGTCGAACCACGAGCGCGAGGTCGCAATCCAAGACCGCTCCTCCCGATCCTCCACACACCAGACAAAAGCGTTCGGTCTGACTATGTGGATGATGCTGTTGATGGATACATATGCAATCAGGGTCGAGAGAACGGCAATGGTTGCCTTGGACTTGCGGGTCATCTGCTGAAGCGAATTCGCATAGATTGTCAAGGGGGAAGACCGTGGTGGCTCATAGACCTTCAGCTCAGGAGCTGATACAGATGCCCGATCAATGCAATGGGAGTCAAGTAGGGCTGCTGCCGTTGGGCAGTCCCCAGGGTCTATAGTGGGACGAGAGATAACGAGCGGGATAAGAAGGGCACACAACAGTACCGCGGGGTCACCTATATAAACACCGAGATCATTGTTAGCGAGATCCCGGCTTTCCGTGTCTTAGTCTCCACCGAAAAGAAGAAAAAAAATTGTGAAAAACGAATGGGAACAACAAGGGCAAAATGGATCTCAAACTAGTCAGAGTCCGGGAGCCAGCGGAAACGCTGAGAAATACATGGCCAAGGCGGATGGAGATCGCCACACGCCCCGAGCCATTGCAGTAGGCTTATCCGTCCAGAGCCGGAAGACGGGATAGACTTACGAAGAAAGGGCCCCATGTTGCGGTGAAGAGAGCCAAGTGGGTTAGAGCTGTAAGGCTGAAGGGTTGGCCAAACTCCACTGTACCACTATGTAGAGAGAGACCAAGACCAAGGAAGTTAAGGTAAGGATCTTAAGAAAAATAAGAAAATTCGGGGATTACTACAGCAGAATAGAGCCTGTAAGATCAACGGCATAATTAACCCGATTTCGCCACCCCTACTGAGCTTGTTGTGATATTCGTCTCGTATACTTGGAGTGCCTGGACCGAGAGGGGAAACCACTCACCGCCCTGGGAATTGCCCGTTATCTTATCTTTCGCTTTTCTTCTCACTGAAGGATCTCGACTCTCACTCGCTTTTAAGATGGATATGGCTACTTCGGACTCCGATGGTGAATATGAGTATGAATATGGTCCAGAAACAGAGGTGAGTAGCTTCTGGTGGTCTCGGGGTTTCCCCCTTGCTAATTGACGTCAATCATTAGACCTTCTACCTCAACCTGGACCTAACCGCCCACCACGGTGCAGTACGTCCACCGCGTCGTCGCAAGGACCCTGCAGTTTCCTTTGATACCCCTCAAATGTCCCGGCATAATGGCGGTATAGATCGTCCGAGCGAAGCTTTCGGTCCAATCCAGAGCACCGAGAGAGGTGGTTACTCAAACAACGAGCGAATCCAGGTCCTCGGTCTCCACACGTGCAACCCAATCGTCTCGTATCAAAATCAAATGTTCTCCTGCTCGTGGGCCGATCAGATCGGCACCGAGTTAGTCTTTTCAAGTCCAAATACAGCACCAGAGCCCGCCAACCAACCCGAGCCATTGCATCGCGGGCCCTCCTTCGAGCTTGTGGCCGCTAACAGCGTGAAGATCCTTGGTCGCAAAGCACACCTCACCTCGAGTTCTGGAAAGAGACTGGCCCCAACTACTGAAGCGGGGACTCCAGCGACAAACCCTCTTTTCAACACCACCTCTCAGGAACCTGCGCAAACGGGCGTGCCCCGGCGTCCGGCCGCACCCTCGTACCAAGCACAGTTCCTCAATCAACTGCAGGACTTGAAAGCCTCCAGAGGAGAGTCAGACACCGTCCGCATGGTCATGGGTGGCAGGCGAGCTGGAAATGGCGCGGATAGCTTTGACCGGCAAGGTTGGGAAAGGACTGAGGCAAGCCTTGCGAAACTCCGCCTACTCCAGGAGCAAGCAGCAAGCGGGGATGTAGAGGCTCAGATGAAACTTGAAATCATGGCTCAGGAAATCCACCCCGGATTTGACTCTGATTCTGAATACGATTGGGATAGTGACGACCTTCCATGAAGGTGGAGACCATGCGGGCGTTCCGTGCCGAACTAGATCATCGGTCTCGACCCCGTGCTTTCAAGCCGAATCTTCCGGCGTGACCAGGCCCGCCGGCTCTCGGGAATTCAATGGTGTCAACTAGCCATGATTTCATAGCCGACTTCTGTCACGTGGAAGTGAGCCGCATACCCGGCACCGAGGACCGGCACTATGGAGATGATATCGATACTATCCTGAAACAATCCTTGGACTATACTGGATTCTCCTAACCACAGGGATTCATTTCCCTTGCTGTCTTGGTTTCTTATCAGCTCAACCTGGCAGCCGGAATACCCAACACAGCAATGCCGTCGACTCCCAAAGCCGAAAAATCACCGGGTTTAAGGTGCCCCACAGGGTTCAATCACGACACCAATTGGACATCGAAAAAACATGCCAAACGAACCTTGATCCTCCGATTCACCGGGTAACGTCATGGTGCAAACCCAATGCCAGGATGATGTCCTTGTTATTCAACCCCAACAAATGTATCATGATACCATCCAGGATCTGCGTGCAACATAGACAGTTTCATTGGGAGCCAATTGTAACGTGTGTTCTGTACTTCCCCTTTCAGCGTGTGTGACTTCTGTAAGAAGAATAAAGCAGAACTGTACTACCTAGTTGATACTCCTTCCACGAGGCGAGTGACGTCGTGATCGACATGTCCTCACATGCAGCTAACACATCGTGATATTCATGAATATTTCTTTATTATGTACATAATTTGTACTACTAAGTATACAGTACCTCGCCAGTTCAGGGAGAGGAAGTCCTGTTCTACAAAGGTAAATACGACAGTGAGTCACCATCACAGAATAGACCCATTTCCCCGAGGCTAGATGCAGCTATTGAAATACGGTCACTAATAATGAAGCACGGAGCACACGAAACGTAATCTCCTCGTCTACAATGCTCTATCGAGTCGGAGTAGAGAATCTACAGTATTGCCATGATTTATATCAATAAATGTAAAATTGATTGAACCAGTCCAGGAAAAACAAGTATAACACCGTCATTCCAGACTTTTTGAGATAGACCCTTCCGACCTTCCGAAAGGAGGTCCTAAAATTGAAATCCACGCCGCAATGCACACGCTAAATCCAACAGGCGACAAATAGTAAAAGAGCAAACAAGTGGCAAAAAACGCATCAGGCTGGGAACATTGCAATATCGAAAACATTAAAGGGGCAGAACGATGGCTCTAGCTTGCAGAGTACATGAAGTTGGGTCCCGCCAGCGATTATCGAAATATCGTAGTGTTGATACAGGACCTGATAGCAGATCCAAGGATAAAGAGGCGAGACTCGGGGTTGAAAGCGAGACAAGTTACTCCAAACACAGACTGGGGACGTCGTCGTAGGAGCCCTTAGCCTTGAAGGCGACAGGTGATGGTGGGGGCGCAGGAGGCATGCCGTCGATGAGGGTTGAGCGGGTCTTCTCGGCCTTCTGGGTGGAGGCTGTCATGATTGCGCGGGAGATGTCCTGAGACATGGTGAAGGAAGGAGGCATAACGGGGGTTGCAGTCTTGGTTGAGACAGTGGCCATTGTGTTTGGTTTATGTTCGAGGAGAAGAGATGTTATATCGAGATAATAATGTGGAAGAAGATTCACAACTGGTGAGAATAGGTGTGGAAGTCGAAAGGATGAGAGGTTGGAAGGTCGTTGTTTTTATAGATGCACAAAAGTACGAGGAAGATGTGATCGAGTACCTCGGTTGAAAAAGGGTGTGTTTGACGTATGTTTTCTTGGGACTTTGATTTCACTGACAAGTTAGCTTTTGCTGTGCAAAATGCTTGTGCTTTGTACTCTGATCTGGCATATGCTTATTCCTATAGATGGAGCCTGCGGTTCCGGGGTTGCCCGAGGACCCGGGTTCGGTGGATCGGATCGGAGAGAGCAATGGGGTGTGGCAAGTACTGGCGGATAAATACTCACATAGAAACAAGAGATTGGTCGAGAGAATCTGTGATAAAGTATGTTGGTGTGGATTATTTGGGTAGGTTGTTGTAGAAGTAGTCAAGCCGGCGGGAATAACAAAATATGTGTTGTGTTCAGATGATTATGGCAGTGTTGTCCAGGTATTTAACGACTGAAGACAACTAGCGAATGGCGATAGCAAAGCTGTTGCAAATGCTCAGTATGTATGATAGTAGAAATATACAATCAAGGTGAATAGACAAAAGCAGAAATGAGACGAAACGGCGGCTGGATTGCACGGTAGTTATATCTCAGTCAGAAAATAATAAACACCAAAAAAAAAGACGAGATGAGACAACGATAATAATTAATTCTATTTTTTGAAAAAGAAAAAAAAAAAAAAAAAAAAAAAAATACACGAAAAAAACGAGAGAAAAAAATACCGCAAGGAAAAACAACAACAAACAAAAAAAAAACCAGA